GTTTTTACCGGAAAAAAAATTAGTTAATGTGCTGTTAACGGCGTTTTGCATTATATATTCAAATTATGAATTTACATTTATTAAATTATGAATTTTCTGTTATGAGATTATAAATTTACAGTTATGTAATTATGAATTTTCTGTACATTCATAATTTCATAACAGAAAATTCATAATCTCATAAAAAAATTCATAATTTCATAACAAAAAGTTCATAATATAAAAGAAAATTCATAATTTCATAACTGCACATTCATAATTTATGAATGTTGAAGAAACTTGCGCGAAGATGAAGTGAAACCGCAAAATGTGAATATGAAGAAGAAAAGTCGCGCTGTTAATTTTTTTTTTTTTTTTTTTTTTAAAGGCGATTGGTGAAAGATAACTATGTCCGGCCCATAGGCACCGTTACCATTTGAGACCATGTTCATCATGAAATGGTGAACACGATTCTATGGCATAACGATTCGCCCAATACTCCTCAGGCTACAATTTAATCTTACATAGATATTAAATTGGTAGTACATGAAACATAAATGTTTAGATATTTAGGACCCGTTGGCTGGAAAGTTTTTCTAGTTTTTTGAAAAATTAGAAAATTGAAAAACATAAAAATTAAAACATGTTTACTAGTAGAGTTTTTTAATCTATATATTTTGAATGTAAGAGACAAACAACACTCATCACCCTTGTGTTGTAATCATCCAAGATAGTTAATCTCCCTTTTTATTATTTAATCAGAGTAATATATATATATATATATATATATATATATATATATATCACTATTTAAATTTGTATTTATAAATTTATAAAAATGTCCAATAAAAAGTATTTTTACACTTTTCCTCTTATTATTCAATAACTAATTTTACTAAACACCTTAATTTCAATCATTTAGCTTATTAGCTACTAATTTTTCAGTTAAGCGTGCCAAATAGAGTCGTCGGGCCCTGATGTTTGATTCAAATTTATAATTAAGACTAGCTCATGTAGGCTCTGTTTGATATAACTTATTTTAGAGCTTATAACTTATTTTAAACTACAACTGAGCTATAAGTCTATTTGGTAAAACATTGAGAGGTTAAAATAATAACCTATTTTGAAACGTTACCTCAAGTATTCAAGTAGCGTTTCAAAATAAATAAACTCTTTGTTTGCTTTTTTTTTTTTTTTTTTTTTTTAATTTCCCATTTGTATCATCATTAATTTACAAAAATGACATCATCTACCATTTATTAATCAAAATCATAATATTTTAATTTATCATTTTATATCTTTTTAATTCAACAATTAATTTTACTAAATATTTTAATTTCAATTAGTTAACTTATTAGATACTAATTTTTCAGCTTTTAGCTAGGCGTGCCAAACAAAGTCATAGACTATTGTGGTATTATCATATTTAATTCTACGATTTTAATTTTGTCACATTAATTACATTCTTATCTACCATTTATTTGTCACAATTACTCATCATTTTAAATTTTTGTTATTCCATTATTTGATGAATATGATTAATGTATAATTTTAACATCATTTAATTAAAATAATTTATATTGAAACAAGAGATCTAAATGATAAAACTGCATATTAGTCATATTTATTAAATAATAAAATAACAAAAATTTAAACGGATAACTAATTATGACAAATAAATAAAAATTAAAAATATAATGATGCAAAATTAAAATTTTAAGACTAAAAGTGACAAAACTACAATAGTTGATAATTACAAATAAGATTTGTTCATTACAAAACAATGTGAAAATTTTTCCAAAAATTGTTAATTATTTAAAGAACTAAGAAATAATATGAAATGTCAAGTAACTAGTAGCTCAATGGCATCTTTGTGACTCTTCCAAATATGATAGGTTAAAAAAGTATGTATAAACAAATACTACATTGTATTCCGTAATAGAGTTAGTAGCACCCAAAATATATATATATATATATATATATATATATATATATATATATATATATATATATATATATATATATGAAAACCCTTTTGAAACTTGTTTGGAAGATGGATCAAATAGCGTGGATTTGTCTAGGTTATGGTAGAGACGGATGTTCTCCTAATCATACAAAAGCTAAACTCTCCCACAAGTGTTTTTTCTTTTGATCTACATGTTGTAGATCGACATTGCTAGATTACTAAATCAACTCTCACAAGTGTCTATCTTTTGTTAGACAATTTGTGAATATAGTAACTAATTATCTTACCAAGACTATGTGGTCTAATGGTACTTGGATTGGACGTTCATTTGGAAGGTTGTGAGTTTGAGTTTTAGTGAAGGCATTATTGGTTCTTTGTATTTTACTATATTGTAATAGAGCCAGTAGCATTAAAAAAAAAAAAAAAAAACTCATTATCTTACTGGAGAATTCCTTTCTATGAATGATCGATGGTTGCATGACTCTCCTGATTTCCTTTCTAATGCCCTCTTATGTGATAATAATTAATAAAGTTACTGTTTATTCTTAAAAAAAGAAAAAAAAAAAAACCAGAAATATGAGGCCCTATTAGAATTTTGGGGTAATTTATATCGTGGACTAAGGTCCACATAGCATTGTGGATCCTGAATCAAAACGACGCCGTTTGATGTGTAAGTTTAACAAATTCTATAACTTCTCGTTTTTCATGTTTCAACACAAAATTTTAATTTATTCTATGCACAAAATCTTTACATTTAATGTACAGAAATGCATAACATGATGTATAAAAACGCATACCACGATATACATACACATGTTTTCTATTTTATTTATTCTCATATTTGATTTATGTAAATAATTTATATCGTCATATAAGCACATAATTGCATAATACAAGACATAAATTCGTAAAATAAGACACACAATATGTTTTGTGTTATACAACTACTAATCAATTTCATGTACAGAATCCTTACGGTTAATATACAGAATTGCATAACATAATGTATAAAAACGCATAACACGATACACATACACATGTTTTCTATTTTATTTATTCTCATATTTGATTTATGTAAATAATGTATATCGTCATATAAGCACATAATTGCATAATACAAGACATAAATTCGTAAAATAAGACACACAATATGTTTTGTGTTATACAACTATTAATCAATTTCAAATACAGAATCTTTCAGTTTAAGATACATAATTTCGTAACATAATAGTCATAATGTACAAAATACATAACACAATGTACAAAAATATGCTTTATAGTATTAAAAAAAAACTTTGTAACGCGAATTGAAAAATAAATTAAAATGATCTCTATTAAAATTATAATTTACAGTGCATTGCGTACCTAGTCCATTGTATAACTATTGGAATTTTGGTGCATCCTGACTTAAAAGTTTGCCACTTGCCAGTGACTTGGCGAGAGGAAGAGGGGCCATTGGCGACAACGTGGGTACTATGCTTTTATGGTCAACGTAGGCCTACTTCCCGCGTATGAACCGCGTAACCGCGTTTAGCTGATTGATGTAGAGAGAGAGAGAGAGAGAGAGAGAGAGAGAGAGGATGTGTTTCTCAGAGAGGGGTTAGCAAAAAGAAAAGTAATACTAATACTCCATATTATTATTATTTGATTGTTTTTTCAAATGCCATTTGCTCATCACTTTTTCTTTTTATTTTCCCAAACCATCTGCTACACAAATGTTTTTGAATTACATTTATGCCCTTACATTTGATGAAAGAGTTTTTTAATAAAATGTTCAAATTTCATTATGGTCCCCACTATGATAATATTTTCAAGTTTAATATTTAATTAATAATTTGATCACATTTTTATTAATTTTGACAATTCTTTTATATTTAATCGTTCATTATCAAGTTTCTTTCATTTTCATGAGGTTGAGAATTGAAATACAAATTACTATTTCATTAATCGTAAATTTGTTAAATGTATCTTTAGTTAATCACCAATTTTACTTTGACAATAAAATATAGACACAAAATTTCTCTTTAAAATATATATATATATATATATATATATATATATATAGACACGATATTCAATATCTAAATCACAATTGGATTGTCAGTTCAAATAAACCGATAACATATATGTTCATATGAAATATAGTGAAAAATGTTGAGTAATGACTTCTTAGTCATAAGAAATTGTGCTACTTGCTTCAAATTCTAAAAGAACACTCTTTTATTTTTATATATATCAACTAGAGATTTCAAATATATATATATATATATATATATATATATATATATATATATATCAACTAGCTTGAATCCTTTCAAAAAAACTAGCTTGAGCAAAGTGTTTTTTAGTAAAGCAAGAACCAAGATGATCAAAATATGTAGAGAAAAAGCTAAATTTCTTCATTTTCAATTATGAATGATATAATTTCCAAAAAAAAAATAAAAAAAATTATATAAATGATATTAAGTGGTAATAAAAGTTAGTTACAGAAAACATATAATTAACTACGGAATATTATATAATATGACTATTTATTACAAACAAATGTGTGAGTTGTACTATTAGTAATAAATATTATATTTGTCTAAAATGGACAAATTTTTTGTGCACACCGACAATTTGACCATATCTATTGAGTCACTGAGTGAGTTATCGTGATTTACATAATCACAAATGTTCTATATGGTCAAGGTGTGGGACATTGAGGTTGGGGATTCAACTTTTTGATACAAGATATTAAATTTGTCCATATTATGATATAAATGCATGTGACTATTTCTCACAAATGAATGTTCCCTAAAGTTATTATAATAATTATAGTAAATAAGATTTAAAATTTTCATATTGTTATGAGGTAAATATAAAATTTCATAATTTATGCTTTAAATTTTTTAGGTAAAAAAAATAAAGAGAAAAATTGGATGGAGAAGAGGAAGGGAGGGGCAGAGCGGGAAAGATGGAAGCAAAAAAATAGAGAAGCCTGTGAGTGTCCGAATGTAATGCAGAGAGTTTGAATATAAATAGTTGATGTGACATTGAAAAGTCTACTCGTTACCGTATATAAATAATATAGTAAATAATAAGAATTAATAAATAAATAAATAAAAACGATACCCACTCTTGTCAGTATATACATCTCAGAGGTGATATAAAGTTGAACGAACCTCCGGCCGGCACCTCACGATTCATCCACTCTCCAGATTCCACAACCGCCTCTCCCTCCGCTTCCCTCCTCCGCTCTGTTCGTAGTTTCTGCAAGGAGAATGGCGGATCAGCTGACCGACGATCAGATCTCTGAGTTCAAGGAAGCCTTCAGCCTCTTCGATAAGGACGGCGATGGTCTGATTCTCCTCCCCGCTGTTTTTATATGTGTTTTTAGCTGTTTATCTATGCATTTGCGTGTTTACAGTTCGCGTGTGTGCTCAGATCTGGTTAATTTTCGCCTTTCTTCGTATTTTCCTTTTTGTTGGCATTATGATTTGATTGGTAACAGAAATATGCATCACCTTTGGATTTGTTCCACTGAATTAGGTTTGATTAGCGAAATCATAAACTGTTAAGATTTCATAGCATATGATGAATTGATGAACGAGTATAACCTCGGGATCTTACATCTTCAAACCATATACTCTTAGGCGCCACCATGCAAAGATATGTAGAAGTATTGCTAGCACAAATCGCGGTCTCATTTGTTCAATGGTTCTTTAATTTGCATTAAACTATATGCATCTGTATAGTTGTTTGATTTACTTATCATAACACTTTGAAAATACAGTTATTTGTACATTTTCCAGCTACAGTGCAGTACTATCAATGTCCTTTTGGAGTTATGTTTATAGGTCATGTAGCAGTTTGCACTGTAGATAATGTGATATTTATGATTGATCTGAACAGAGAAATACTTAATTGCTGAAACATTCTCTAATGGCATGTTTGATTAGAATTTTTCTTCTCAAAATTTTGGAAAAATATATTTTACCTTGTTTGGTTAATAGAGAACTTATTCCAATTGAAAATGAATTTCTTGGAAGAAAATGAATTTTTTCCTATTGTTTAGTATTTAAACTTTCACATTTAAGAAAAGTTATAACATGACTTTTTATATTACCCTTATATATCTTTATTCTTTAGTATTGTTGTACTCATTATTTCTAACAACATATTTTTCACCAACCAAGCAGTGAAATTAATATTCCAAATTAATTTTTTACATAGAATTTAAATTCAATTCCTTATCAATTTTTTCCATGAACCTAAGATTTTTGATAGGATGTTTTACTAGTGTACAAGTGGCGGGCAATCACATGCATATTTAGTTCTGTTGTGAATTGCTTTGTGAAATTTGTGAAGGTATTGGCATGCTTAGTAAGTTAACAGTGATAGTTATGTTCAGGTTGCATCACAACAAAGGAGCTTGGGACTGTGATGAGGTCATTGGGGCAGAATCCTACTGAAGCTGAGCTCCAGGATATGATAAATGAAGTTGATGCTGATGGTAACGGAACAATTGATTTTCCGGAGTTTCTAAACCTGATGGCCAGGAAGATGAAGGATACTGATTCTGAGGAGGAGCTGAAGGAGGCATTCAGGGTTTTCGACAAGGATCAGAATGGATTCATCTCTGCAGCTGAGCTTCGCCACGTGATGACAAATCTCGGGGAGAAGCTTACTGATGAAGAAGTTGATGAGATGATTAGGGAGGCGGATGTTGATGGCGATGGTCAAATTAACTACGAGGAGTTTGTTAAGGTTATGATGGCCAAGTGATTTCCCAAACATCTGCCAAAACTGGATGGACAGGGTCACAGCTAGTATAATGGATTGCTACTTATCATTTTCCTTTTATTTTGAGCGAATGTAATTCTGTGTCACAAGGGTGGTGGAATGCTTTCCCCCCTCTTTTGATAATTTAATTTGTATTCTGACTCTCACTCCTGTAATCTCAAGTTGTTACCTTTTTTTTTTTTTTGGGGTTAATCTAGTTGACTATACAATGTTGTCTTTATATAAACAAATGCAGTTGTTGCACCGAATAGTTGTCACATTTGATGCAGGATTTCTTCTTCTGCTGCTGCTGCTAAACAGTTGGCCTCCTTTTGATGAAGAGGCTAGTCACTGGTGGTATATTCCATAGACTACTGGATTTGGTAGAGGGGGTGGGGTGGGGGAGGGGGCAGCTGCCTGCACTATCGATCCGCCCTGCACCCAACTGTTTACACCATAATTAATAAAGATGGCAAATAATACATTTAACAATTTATCTCTCAACTCAACTAATAGTATATAGATTTGAACCTCTATAATATAATATGGATATTATATTTTAAGCTCAAGCAAGACTTAATCTAAACTTAGAAAGGTTGTAGGATGATAAGTGTGTAGGAAAATCTTTATAAGTTTGTATACATGAAGTTTTGAAAGATTAGATAATGATTAAAAGTGATTAAAAAAAAAGAATGATTAGAAGTAAAACTTTAGGTATAATGGAAGAAAATCTTTGTTGGATAAATAAAAAAGGAGAAACATGGTTTTCTTAGCTCAAATCCTTCAAGAAAAGATGTTAAAATGAAGTTTATTAGAAGGTTTGAAAATGGTGGGAGATCAACCATCTAAATTTCTTGAGTTGGGTATTTATAAGTGTCAAAAGATTGAATTGCAATAGCTAGATTGATAATTTAATTTGCCTAAAGTGATCATCCGAAGTTCAGTTAAAACAAACTAGAATGACTTCGGTTAAGGATATTGGTTGATAGGATGTATGAAATTGTTAACCAAATTAAAGTGGTAATTTGGGAAGAATTTTATATATTTGAGCTCACAAACATAAAGTATAAATATTCAAATTTGGGAATCGTTCACCCTTGGTGTCCCACATCCCGGCCTGGCTCGGCGGCTTGACAATTTGGAAGCTAGACTTTTGTTCACTGCGTACAAAGAGTCTCCTCATTTTGAGAGGTCGCTCCCACACTGGTGAGTCTCTTTTGAGTTGTGACAAATTTCACCCTTGCCACCAGACACCAGTTGAGCTGCCCATTCGAGTAAATACTGAGCATTTCTTTGTGGGCTTGTGGGGGATGGCACGTGTTTGTCTGCTGGCCATTTGATCTACCAAACTCGATCACCTAAGCGGTGGGTAGAAACTGAAGTGTGTAGTCAGCTTGACAATGGACGTTATATAATATATCTTTCAATTTCAACTTACCTAGCTACACATTTATATACACTTTGGTCTGATTTGGATATATTAAGAAAACAATGGAGAACAAAGCTTCGGCAAGAAAGATGAAGATACTATGCCTCCATGGATTCAGAACCAGTGGCAATTTCTTAAGAAAACAAATCAGCAAATGGGATCCGTCCATCTTTGCTCTTCATTTTCACATGGTACCACCACCTATCCCATCCTTTAACTTTTTCTTTTTTATATGATGCTTTTTACCTAGAAAATGTACTCAGTTCAATGAGTATTATTGATATCGTGATGACAAGTATAATAAAAATAACATATATAATTATATATGATACTATGAATATTTTTTATATTGGTGATGGTCTGATACGATAAAAGTAGCATATATAATTGTATTTGATATTATTAACATACATCAATATCTGTTATTGTTGTAAATTTTATAAAAAGAATGATTATTATCTCAGAACAAAATATTTGATTTTGCAGGAATTTCCAGATGGAATATTTCCAGCAGGGGGAGAATCATCCATAGAAGGCATATTTCCACCTCCTTATTTTGAGTGGTTTCAGTTCAACGAGGTACATACCGTTTTTTAAATTTCTATTTTAAGAAATAAATCACCAGAAAAATATAATAAAAATATGTTTTTGATTGGGTATATAATCAGGATTTCACAGAATATACCAACTTGGAAGAGTGCATCTCCTACTTGTGTCAGTACATCACAAGCAACGGCCCTTTCCATGGCCTGCTAGGCTTCTCCCAGGCATGTTCCCATCCCACTAAAATCATACATAAATTTGATGCAAAAAAAAGACATTTTGATGAAATTAATAATGTTTCAGGGAGCAACCATAGCAGCCCTTTTGGCAGGTTATCAAGCAGAGGGGAAGATACTGAAAGATCATCCACCCTTTAAACTGCTGGTATCCATTTCAGGTTCCAAATTTCGTGAGCCAACCATTTGCCAGGTTGCATACAAACACCCCATGAAGGTTAAGTCGGTGCATTTCATAGGAGAGAAGGACTGGCTGAAGCTGCCTTCCCAGGAGCTGGCCACCGCCTTTCACAACCCTCTCATCATCAACCATCCCCAGGGCCACACTGTGCCCAGGCTAAGTAATCTTTCTACCTGTTAATTTTTTAATCTACATTCTTCAATTTGTATTAGTGATAGTTTGATCCAATCATGCTTGCTAACAGATGAAGAAGCTGTGGAGAAGTTGAGGAATTGGACTAAGGAAATTGTGGATGAAACCCTAGATGATGATGATGATGATGTTATAAAACATGAGACAGTGGAGAATAATGGAGAAGCAGATCTCCTACAGATGTCCAAGAATGAAATATCATTAATCTCGGAAACCTAATTGAAAATTTATGTAGTATACGGATTATTAATGTTTCAGATATGTTATTAAAAACTTGAATAATATTATGAATGCTGTGGAGTTATAAATATTAGGGGAACTCTGTCTGGGATTGGCTTTGATACTAAATTGAAGAATGTGTTCTATTTGAGAAAAAACTCGTAATCAGAGGGTGTGTACTGTGTAAACTTCAATCGAAGTAAATCAGTCTAAGTTGCTAATAGCCGATCGGCTCAAACCAAGAAAGTTGAGATTCGGACTCGTGACGATTACAAATTTGTATCCTTAGTCATTTTGATGTAAACCAGACCAAATTGATGTCAACAGAAAACTGTGAGGCCAGACACTTTCAGAAACTCATACTATGAATTATACAAGAAAATACAAGGTAATGTTCTAACAGTGTTTCTCCAGTTTCATCATGCACTAAATATTTCTCAATACAATGGAAAGAAAACCGGCTGAGTTTCCCAATTTGAACCCAGCACAAGGGAAGAAAAGAGTTTGATTAGTACCCGAGCTGCGGTTCAAACTCTGCAAGATCAACAGAACCCGATTCAACTGGTTTCATGAGATAGGCAGCAAGTATTTCAGACACGAGCGCGGCTACCAGAGGGATTCTCTTCAAATTCTTCACCAAAGGAATGTCGTCCGTCTCCCCAACTGCAAGCAGCTTTTGGTTAATCTCCACCATCCTGTCCAACTTCCTCTTGAACTCCGGGTTCTCAACATCAAGCACAGCAGGGAAGATTCTAGCTGTGGTTCGGTTTGTCTGCAACAAATTAAAACGAAGTTTCACAAGCGTTTCAACTGCTAAACTTCAATGTTTTTTTTTTAACTAGATAGTTGTGTTAAATAGAACAAAATTCACCTCAATGATAACATGCATGTCAAATTCTTTAGTGTCAAGTCCTATGCCTTCATAGAAAGCAGTTCTTTGACAGTCATTGAGATACATTGTCACGTAAACCTGCATTTAATGTAAGAAAAGTGAGGTCGTTCTTTTCTTCAGAACAAATACTCGAAATTGTCCATATCAGAGGCAATAGAGACTACTCAATATATATTAGAGTAAAAACGTAGTTTAAGCATTATATATATTTACCGAAAGACAGAAGAAGCGAGCCCACAACTTAGCCTTCCAGTCATTAAGGAACTGGGGCTGTGCCTTCATGAGAGCAGAGAAGAAGTCCCCATGGCGGTTCTCATCCTGGCACCAGTTCTCAAAGTATTTGAAAATGGGATAACATTGGAACTCGGGATTGGCTTTGAGGTGTCTGTATATGGTAATGTATCTCCAGTACCCAATTTTCTCAGACAGGTATGTTGCATAGAAGATAAACTTGGGCTTGAAGAAAGTGTACTTTCTGGCCTTTGTCAGGAAACCCAAGTCCAATGCCAGGTTGAAGTCAGATAATCCCTTGTTCAAGAACCTGCAAATTTCAAACCATAAAACAATTTTCACAAAATGTTAATTTCCTCAGACACCCTTGTGGGATTTGGGTAAAAAGGACAAGGTTTAGAGCATACCCAGCATGGCGAGCTTCATCCCTGGACATGAGAGAAAATATCTCTGCAACCACAGGGTTTGTTTTCTGCAAAACCATTTCAAAACTATGTTAGCAGTCCGACCAAACCAAATTAACCATAGTCGCCTATCAGGTGACGTAGAGATTCAAATCCATGACCTTTGGTCTAGTTCTTATAATTGGATTTGCACATGAATGATTATATACTCAACTCAACAAAGAGAACCATGTCAGTATATCTCTAATCAGTCAAGGTCTTCGAAGGACCCCCGGGTCAGCTTGCTGGAGCAAGACTTTAAGTTGATCAGTCGAACCAACTGAGCTAGTCTCGTTGGGCGAACCATAATGTTCATATTTAATCATAAAGATAGATAGTAGATAGGAAAAAGAACATTTTTTTAAACAAAATGGAAAAGCATTCCCAAATGGTTCAGTTACAATTAGGTTTCAATGTCCAACGAATACTAAAATGGAAGATAGATTTGTGTAATTTAGAGGAAAAAGGGCACACCTTGAGCCTCCTACCGAGCTCTTTGTAGAGAAGGAAGCCGGAGAACTCAGCAGTGCAAGACCTCTCCAAGAACTCGACAAAGATTTCACGGAGAGGGCCCTGAAGCTTGTCGGCGGCTTCCTTGAACTCCTTGTTCCTCACGAAGTGGGTCTGGTTGTAGTCCGTCTTGAACTCCTGGAGCAGCGCCTCGAACTCGGAGTTGTTAAGGTTCTTGTTGATCTCCGTGTTGAACAGCATCTCCATCTCGTCGAAGTCCGTCGTGTAGAACCTCGGCGTCAGCAGCGTCTCCTTGATCCCCTTCTTCGTCGACGCCTTGCTCCCCTTCTCCGCCGCCGCCTGCGACGTGGTGGCGCTCGACATTCTCACGCTGAAGGGTGCCAGTTTCCGGCTGCCGCTCAGCCGCGGAGTGGCGGTGGCGCCGAACTTCGATATGGGCTTTACCAATGCCATTTCTGCTGCCATTTTTTTTTCTGGGTAGAGTGTACTGTGAAGCTATGGGTGCTGGAGAGGATATATAATTGGATGAAAGTGATGGAATATCATCTCATCCAAAGAAATCCATGGGATTAAATATTGGTCTGACATGTGGCATACTGTGACAGGCCAGCTTGATTACATGGTCATTTTGTGTATTTTGTGGCTGATGTTGTTCATGGTACGTTTCACAATGTTATTGGTACACAATCTATACTTAATCTTCTTCACAATATAATAAAAATCTTTATAGCATTGCACAGTGACAATATTCAGTAGTAGTATAGTATCTTTAACTTGGGTAGAATCTGGAGTTGCAGATTCTTTACCAATCCAAAGCTGATAAGATAATTGTGGAGTAAATGGAAGGAACACCAATGCTGATGCAGTTTAGCTCAGCAATCTTAAATTTGTAACATTCACCTTTATTCTTTCCTCACGGAATTACAATTTATTTCCCACATAATTCTCTTATTGCGCATGTTAGTTCTAGAGTCATATGTATAGGACAAGACACAAGGGGTTTAATGTGAAAATTGAAGTAAAAACAAAAATTACATGCATTTTTAAGATGAATCAAATTGAATTTCACTATGTTTTGAAGTGTGGAGATGCATGTACGTTGTTGCACTCAAGCTAGGAATAATTCATAGAGTCTGTGGAGTGTATAGAATTTGTAGAAATACTATTCTCGAACTTGAGTAGCTTGAAGTAGAGCTATAGAGCTTGGTCTCCTCCCTTGTTGGTTGTAGAGTCTTTTTATAGTGGTAGAGGACATAGTATTCATGGCAAGACATTCATGGTAGATTATATTAATGACTATTTGAGGGTGGACAATGGCTATTTATGGTGAAATAATGGAGAGTCAAGTTTGATGGTAGAATACTGATAAAATAATGAGAATTAATGGGATTTATAATGAAATAATTGGGGGTACAATAATAGAATAATATTTCAAGAGTTATTTTGCCTGACACAAGTAATTTTCTGTAGTTGATCTTGTATCTTCAAGAATATTTCTCGGCTCAAACCATAAAGGTCAATTGATCATTCCTTATAGTTATTAAATCAACAACCTAATTAACTTGACTAAGGTTATCCCTATACTAGAAATTGTTTGATGCCATATATAACAATGTTGTATTTTCAACAAAGTTGTGTCCTCTCCTTCACATTACTAATGAGCCAAATCCAACAAATATGAATGCTCAACACTTTTATCTCCATAAACAAACATCTTAATACTCCATCAATCCATGTATCAAACTGCAAAACCCCCGAGACAACTCATCGAAAGGCTGAGTGTAGGTATAATGCATAGCAATTACTCAATTCGAATCTGAGAGAGGATCTCAACCTGGAGGAAAAAATTTTAACCAAAAAAAAAAAGCAAAGCACTCATACCCTGCCTCATCCCCATGGCAAGAGGCGAGAAGCCCTCAGATTTAGGGTTTAAACCTATATATCAAACTGCAAAATCACATTTAAGAACATCAAAAAGTTGAGAGAAAGCAAGAACCCTAGATTAGGGAAAACAAGACTGCGAGTCGGATAACTAACAAATCCCATGATAAACAAAACGGTCTTGCAAAAGTTACAATGCCTAGCCGAAGAGGGCGAGAGATTAAAAATCCAAGCAAGAACTCTGTGCAATGGAGTTCTGTGCTACATGATACAATCCTAATATATTAGTCATCAGCAAAAGCTACATAAAATACATAGTTCCGGCAAGCCTACAAGCTACTGCCACAAAAACAACCGCTACCATTTTTGTCTATAGACCTACATAATACAACATTTCCGGGCCATGTATCAGGGCATTGCTGGAACTTTTTCCTGTCATCTGTCAAAAGAAATAACAGTATATCAGCAATTATATTTTCACAAGTGAATTCCCGGAGCAAAGATATCAGATTTCTTCACAGCACTATTACGCTTGGCAATGAGAGAGAAGGGTATGGAGCAAGGAAGGAAAATGAGTAAATAACAAATCCAGAAATAAATCACAACAATAATTCCCTTCCTTTTAAGCAGTCTGTAGTGCATGCCTCAACTGTAATTACTAAAGTATTAGGCTATAAATAAATAAACACACATGCACGCATGAAGCACTAAGACTTCTAGTCCTGGTCAACTTCATGATCTTCTTAAATTCCAGAAGAGACATGCATCAATAGTTCAATACCAATGTACAAAATGTGACATGCTGCATTACCACATGCCCTTTGCAACTTCTAGAAGTTTTTCAGTAGTAAGAACCCACAGTAATTTAATAAAATTCAAGAATACAGGGATTCAAATCAGAATTTTCTAACCTTTTTTTGCTGGAAACCAGTATGCTTTTTTGTACTCCTTTACAGAAACTATATGTTTATGGTGTCTGAAATCCCCCATAACCACAAGTATCTAGAGACTATAAATGGATCTGCCTAGACTACTAAACACTTGAGACTATAAATTTGTTGGTGCAACATCAAACACGGTATCATTTATCTCAGTTTAAATCACTATATTCATTTCAATTTTCAAACCAGACTAGAATAACTTTTCACTATAACCAGCATAGACACCAACCCAAAATAAACCCCAAATCCTAAAAGGACCTAAAAGTCCACTTAGACTAGAATTCTACAACTAAATGACATTTTCAGGTGTCAATTGGCTACAAAACATTTATCAAAACATTTTTATAACAAATTTTACACCTCAATCAGTTACAAAAAGATTTACCTGAACAGTTATTTTACACCTCATGAAGATCATTAAAATATTTTTTACAAGTTTAGATTGAGAAAGCAGAGTGAATTCATCCTGTTTTCTACTTTTCTATTAAATGGAATGTTCTTAATTAGATTTTCTTCAATGAGGATAGTTCTGTACTTTAAATCCAAACTAGTCAAGTGCAACCAAAACTTTCACAGGATAGAAACACCACTCATACAATTTCAATAAACAAAGCACTGAGAAGTCAACATAAGCAGCTAAAATGGGAGAAAATTGTTGAATAGGAACAGGAGAATAGAGGTTACTAACCTTTATGCAAAGGATATATTAGATATGTAGAACCCCCATAACTCCAGGTTGATGACTAGTAAAAATATCCTCTGCAGTTTAATGATCCACACAAGCACTTCTTCCTCATTTGCTCTGCTTTATCAGACCGAACCATCCCATAATCAAAGGTTAATTCCTGCATGGGAGGTATATGCCTGATGGCAAAAAAGGCAATATGGTAAAAAGCACCATTGTTACTTTCACGTACAACTGGCTGCCAGAACACATTGGGTGAACAACTATGGTTCATGAACCGAGCTACATTCCCATTGTTTTTTGCACTTATAACAAGAGGAAATGGGACTTTGGCAGAATCACCACTATCAGCAGGTACCTTTTCCAACGGCTGATAGTTCCGGGAGGCATCAAATATATAATTATCTTCGCTATCAATTCCAAATTCATCTGACCTAGATGCATCAATGACTTCTCCGGCATACACACAGATAAAACAACCTCCACGAATAGGATCCCAGGACCTAAGTCCCCAACCTCTGTTCTTTGTTTTAAAGACCTCGAGCCGGACCTTAAGGCCTGCTTGAGATAATCGATTTCGGCAATTGGGAGGGCAAGGGCAGGATGGACCACACTCATGTATCAAAGCCTTGTAGGTCAAGAGAACCCCTAGTGCATTATAAGGCAGAAAACCTCCATTTCCCTGGATACAAGAGCAGTTGGAGTCCCCAGGCTGGCATACACCATGACAATGACAGCTGAAAGAATGACTAGGCATTTCGTAGGGCTTTGGGTTTTTAAGAGTTGAAATGTATGTGAAATAAGCAGGTCCCTTCTCATCATCAACATCATTTACTAGAGAAACTGGTTGACTCTCCGCACCAGAAGTTAGGTCTGGAAGGATGACCCCAGTCCTTGAACTAATACCATCCTTCCATTGCTGAATTGATTTCCACAAGACATAAGCCTCAGGCTGTCCAGGTGTTCTAACCAATTTGTACTTGAAAACATTACATCCAGACTTATTTTTCTCTGCCCATGACTCCTGAATTTTGTATAAACCATCATAGACATAAATCTTCCCAGTAGTCCAAGTATCCTTCACACCCCTAATAACTCTTACGTCGTTGGCACGATGCAGACTCTTTTCCAGAGCAAGATTTCCCCTTTCAAGTTTCTGATCAAACATTTGTCCATCCCTTCTCTGTACTCCACCCTGGCCAGTGTAAATTAGCACATCCCCATCATCCCCCTCATCATCATATCCACCTGATGAGACTATGCTGACAGCAATAGGCTCATCATCCGTAGATAACTTGACACTCATATAATCTATTCCAGCCATGCTTGGAGAATGTAATCCAACCACGCATAACTCCATCCTGAAAAAGAAGATATCACCAACTTCAATCCCGGGTACATTCCCGACCCTCTTTGTCTGATTCGAACGAACTCCTTTCGTCATCAACATTGTCCCAGCCTTCAAGTCTGGACGTCTGGCAGATCCTGGAGATGGGTCTTTCATCTCTTCAATTTGGGTCATCTTTCTTCGGAACAAATCATAAACCAATAATATGCGTCCAACTAGATCCTTGTCACCATCAGCTTTTTTAAACATATCTATTTCAGTTAGTTTAAATGATTCAAGGAAACCATGTAGAATAGGTTCATAGTCCACCTCAGCAGGTGGTTCACCTTGATGGGCATGTCTCCTTGTCTTTCTCGAAGGTCTTCCCCTTTTCCTCGCAGTACTGGTGTCTTCAACATCATTCACATGAACGCCAAAGTCAAACTGATCACTCTGGTCACTATAACCATCATCTTCTACAACAGTTCTTGTGGTCCTCCTTGACCTCCCAGTATCACCATTTGACATCGGAGTTCTGAATGAGTTCAAAGGAACAGGGGAAATAGGCTGAGTAAAACCAAATGGAGTTTGCTCAGTTTGTCTACCCGAGTCATTTGGAGCCAGAAATGGGTAAAAAGGAGCAACTCCAGGAGGGAAAGGACCAGATGGAGGAACACAAGTAAAGGGTGAAGGTTGGGGAGCACCGCTTGCTGACATCCCATTTGCAGATGGAAATACTGGAACTAAACATCTCATGGGCTTTATATCCAAGATCCTAGACTTATCAATAGGCTCAGCTGCTGGAACTGAGTTTGATGTTGTACCTTGCTCCATTACACCAAAAACCCAATCCAGAAACAAAAGTCACAAACTTTGCTCCAATAAGTCCCCAAAACACTAACTTCCACCCTTTTTAAACTTCTAATTGCTATGCAGAACAACAGATGTACAGCCACAGATCTTGTTGGAAGAACAAAATGTTTTTTTATTAGAATGTGCAGCAAAAGACCAAATGTGACCTGTCAACAAATCGTCAAGAGATGCGAACATAACTTAATTACTGATTCATATTGGTCCCAGACATGTAAGCACAAGAAAATCAGTGAAACAGCCAACATATGGAAACAGAGAAAAAAAAAAAAAAGTTCAAACTCTAGCGAAATGAACAGGAAAAAAAAAACCCTAATTGAGGTCAACAACAAAAAGCAGATTCGAACTTGAGAAAGTAAGAAAACCATAAATTAAGCCCAAGCAAGCCAAGGTTCGCACGAAATGAAAGGGGAAAACCCTAAGTGAACTAAACACCAAAACCGCAGATTCAAAAACCTCTTTTAGAACTAAGAAAAAAATAAAAATAAAAAAATTACATGCAAAAGCATAAATTAAGCTCACCCAAGTGGAGATTGAAGACGACCTTTTATCATATCAGAGCGGTAGCAAACACAGAAGAGCAAGTGAGAATAAATAAAGCCGGCATCTCCTTGGTTCTCTGTGTTCTGGAAATGAAAATGACATGTAAAGCGAATAAAATAAAATGGATCAGAAATTGAAGCAAACTGGAAACAAAACCGAAAAAACAAGTACCTGAGGATTTGAGAGCGAAGTGAGAATACAGAGAGAGAGAGAGAGAGAGAGAGAGAGAGAGATCAAGGAGAGGTGTGTTCCTTTGAAATTGACGGGTTTGCCAAGTACACTGCCGGTTAGTGCGATTAAAAATAATAGTTTGATGAAATGTTTTTACGGTACTTTCCTCCCGGATGGAATTGTAATTTGTAGCACACTTTCCCACGTTCTTTATCAAGGTCCATGTGGGTCCGTCCTTCCATCCAAACGGACAACTTATCTGGAGTTTGGTTCACACCTTAACACCATGTTTGATGCGAGAATTGTTATTCCTTTTCTCTCAACTTTAAAACTTCTTTTTATTTCTTCAAAAAAAAAAAATTTACCTATTTAATAGATGTTATCGGTCTCCTATAAAAGCATCACCATTATTTTTATTTTTCGAGTTATCTGGAAAAAGTTAGATTTAAAAAAAAAAAAAAACGATGGTGCATGTATCGGGCACGTGTCGTGCATCGATAGGGTTAAACTGCTATGGAGGGGAGGAGATCTCTTTCTTCGAAAAGAACTATCTCTCCGGATAAAGAATAGAAGATTGTGGGCGTGCATTCGTAATGCACGTATGTTGGTGGAGGACAACTGTTCCCACCAACATATTTTCTGTATTCTTTTTCAAATTCTTTTGTCTCAACGATGGGCCAGACCAGTGAGACAAATGATTTTTTTAAAATTCTAAAGATAAAAATAACGATACTAATAATAACTAATTTTTTATTTGTATTTATGTATTTGTAATGTATTATTGTATGGTAATTATTTTGATTTATTTTTATTATCGACAAAGCATTTATAATATAATTGAAATTGAGGTCCACTTCATAATACATTTAAGTTTCTTGATAATCCCGAGATACAAGTATACAACTGTCACATAGACGTAAGTACACAAGGGACAACTGCTACGTAACGCACGCATGTTGGTGGGCACAACTGGTCCCCACCAACACGTTTTCTGTATTTCTTTTAATAATTTTGTCTCCAGCGGTGGGCCAGACCAGTGAGACAAATGTTTTTTTTTTTATTCTAAAAATAATAATAACTAACTTTTTATTTTTATTTATGTATTTGAAATTTTATCTTTTAATTCAAATTTTACTTATTTATTTCAATTTATTTTCATTTAAAATCAAAATTTAAAATTAAAATTACAGTAAATTTAATAAAATAATAGATGATGTGAAAGAATAGAGTCTACAAAATAAGTAGAAAATGTGGAAAGGGTTGGAGATCAAACAAGAGAGAAGATTAGATGGTGATGTGAAAAAGTTAACCTACAAAATAAGAAAAGAGTTAATACCCAAAATCGTCCTCGACTATAGTGGTTTTTTTCAATTTCGTCCTAAACGACTTTGGTGACCTAATATCGTCCCAGACTTTTGTGTTTCGCTCAATTTAGTCCTCCATTTGTTATTCGTCAAATTGGTGTTAAATAAAGGGACAATTCAGTAATGTCAATATTGATCTCTCTTTACTTTCAACTTGTGAAGTGCGAAATTCCTCTTTCTTGTACGAATTACACCTAGAATTACTCCCGGACCTGCAAATCAAATTTTATATTCGCAGTTTTAGGAGTAATTATGGGGTAATTCGTAAAAAAAAAAAAAGATTTCGCAGTTCACATGTCTATGAGTAAAGAGATGCCAATATTAAAATTACTGAATTGTCTATTTATTTAACACCAAATGGACAGAATAACAAATGAGGGGCTAAATTGAGAAAAATACAAAAGTCTGGGACTAAATTGAGCGAAACACAAAAGTCTGGGACGATATTAGGTCACCAAAGTTGTTTAGGACGAAATTGAGAAAAACCACTATAGTCGGGGACGATTTTGGGTATTAACTCAATAAGAAAATATGTGAGAAGAATTGTGGATGCTTTAATGGCTTAGGTAACACTTGCGTGAGATCGTCTCACATGTCTCAATCTATGAGATGTGTCAAAACTTTGATTAATTGGTCAAATATTTGATTAATAAGTCAAATATTTAGTTGTATTAATCAAAGATCCGACCTGCCTCACGGAGTGAGACCCGTGAGACGATTTCACACAAGTTTTTACCTAATGGCTTAGACTGAATTAGAGTATATGTTAGATGAGAGAGTAACTTGGTGTCACTAGACCACAAAGTCATTAACCACTTATGCAAGCTTTGTTATATTTTATTTTAATTTTTTTATGCAGCAAAAATCAATTTGCATCGGATATTATTTATTATTTAAGTTAATAAGAATAACCTTGACAAATAAATTAAAACTTAATAAATATTAACAAAATAAGTTAATTTTCAATATGGTCCCCGACTATAAATGCATATGCACAAGTAGTACTAAACCTACAAAATTGCTAAAATTGATCATAATCTATTGTAGTATTCTAGTAAATGGTCCTTAATTGGTATTTAAGTAAATTTGTCATTTAAAACTTAAAATTGAGTGTACAATAGTCAAATTAAGCTACTTGTTTTTTTTTTTTTCCTTCATATGCAGGTCTTCTTTTACACTAAATGTATGTTTTTTTTTTCCCATAAATTTCTAATAATTTCTTTCAAAATCATTGTATTGCGAATGGAGAAATTTGGTGGAGAGACCTCAAGGTATTCAATTAGTACAAGGAAGACTTTAATAATTTTATAAAGGAACAATTATATCTAGCTAAAACTTTTATTATATGTTATTAAGAATTGTTTGTGAGTCTGTTACAATGTAGTATTTGTTCATAGCTATTTTCTCAATCTACAGAAGGACAAAGAGTTAATACTATCCCAACTAAAGCTCAAATCCATATCCTCTGATCTGGGAAAGCCACTCTGTGACATATTTTAAAAATTCAAACTCAAAAGAGAAAAAGAAAAAAAGAAAAAAAATGCTTCGTATGAATGGAATTCTCAAATCTCAATCTCAATTTTTTTTATTTTTTATTTAAAAATAATCTCAATCTCAATTTAAAAGTATTAATTAGAAAAAAAAAATCCTTTATATGAACCAAACAAATTGTAATTGCAAATTTGCGATCTACGTGGCCATCAAATATTGGATCAGAGGAAGCAGTTGACTCTTCTCCGCCGTAGATCGACGCAATGCAGACTTGAAGGAGCTACAGTTACGCAAGGTCACACAAACAATATTCTCTCATAAAATTAAATTAAAATCCAATCGGAACCTCTTTCTTTTTTCCTCGCTGGTAATAAGTGCTCCGATTGATCGATAGTCACAGGCGATCATCGACGATGGCTTCTCAAATCGCAAGACGGCTCCTCCGAAGCAACTTCCTTAACAGCACTTCAACTGTCGCTTCGGCCGGGGGTTTCAATAGAAGCTTCGCTTCTGCAGCGGCGGCTGGGCCAAATTCCAATTTGATCCGAGCCACTCTCTTCCCCGGTGATGGCATCGGCCCCGAAATCGCCGAGTCTGTCAAGCAGGTCCGTCTATCATTGGAATTACCAAAACTATTTTGCTTTTTACTGCTGTCCGGAGCTTATTTAATGCCAAATATGTGTGATTACTGCAAAACTGAAGGTAAATTTTGTCAGAGTTCTTTCCGTGAAAGTGAAAAAGCATGTAAAAACTGAAATCCCACAGGTTAGAGTATCCATGGAATTGGCTTTTTCATGTGATAAAAAAAAAAAAAAAAAAAAAAAAAAAAAAAAAAAAAAAAACCGAAAAGGCTGCAATGCTAACAGAACTTGAAATGTTCGCTGTGCAAGTAGAATTACTTGGTCGTAGGCTCGTAGCTCATGTACATGAACTTGCAACGAGTACTTGCCCAGATTGTGGTTATTGACTTATTTCAAAAGAATGTGGTTGCTTTAATATTCTCAACCTCTAAAGTATAGTGCAACTAATGTAAAACTTTCAATCTGTCATGTATTTTTCATTTGAAGTTAACTACCTAAATAGAATAACAGGTGCCATGCTTATCTTTTCTCAAGACATCAGGTTTTCAAGAATGAGCTTTAAGTGTTTGCTAGTTTTTTGGACATGACGTTCTTATCTGCCCATGCCCCCTGCCTTCACAATCCTTTTGTTGTGTTTTCCATTTGACTATCCTCAACAATCTAATTGGAGAAATGACTGTCATAATTATGTTTTATCAAGATGTTGGTGTTATGAAGATTGAACTTTAAGTATTTGCTAGTTTTTATGGACTTGGGTGTGTTTGGTTCATGGGTTTACACACTAGGAATGAGAATCAAAATCATAGTTAGTGTTTGGTTGACAATTTTTTAAAACACAACTATGGGATTTGATTACCCCTTCAATTAAAAACTTCATTCCCTAATTAAAAATGAGTATCATTCCATCTTATTAGTAATATTTTTAAGTTTGGATTAGTACTTTTAAATTTTTGTTTTGATTTTTTTGTTCATATTGGTGCTTTGGATATCATTATATTAGGATCAATTACCTTGATTTTTTTGTTTTTGTATTTTTAAAACCTCTATTCCCATTATAGGGTTATACATAACCAAACATCAATATTAGTAATCATTCCAATTCTACCCTACTACCAAACATTCAAAATGCTTTCACCAAAACCTATTACCATTACCAAGTATTTGATTCCCATTTCGATTCCGATTCCCATTTGCGAACCAAACACACACTAAGTTCTTATCTTCCCATTCTCCTCTTTGCCTTCACTTCCTTGCTCTATCCTGGGGCTTTTGACTGTGGAGTGAGATGCAGAACTCTAAGCTCAAGCTATTTAGTCAGATTTAATACCATTCAAAAACCTAGAATATGTCTTCCCACAGATGTATGTAATTTTAGTAAAGGGAAATATAGTAGAGCTGCTTCAGCCATGATCTTTTAAATTAAAGATGTTTCCCATTTTTAGATTCCTTATTCCTTGGTTGAAAAAATGTGAGGTTAAATGCTGTTATCTTAAATCAATATAGCATAATGCAGATATTCAGAGTTGCTGATGTGCCAATTGAATGGGAAGAACATTATGTGGGGACGGAAATAGACCCTAGAACCCAGAGTTTTCTTACTTGGGAGAGTCTTGAATCTGTACGAAGAAATAAGATTGGTTTAAAAGGGCCAATGGCCACACCAATCGGAAAGGGTCACCGCTCATTGAACCTTACGTTGAGGAAAGAGCTCAATCTTTATGCCAATGTCAGACCTTGCAACAGCCTTCCTGGGTATAAGACTCGGTATGATGATGTGAATCTTATCACTATTCGTGAAAATACCGAAGGAGAGTACAGTGGTCTTGAACATCAAGTGAGTTTCTTTGCAGAATATGCCACAAATATATCTGATATGTATATCTAGATAAGATAAGACTTATTTTCTCTTGTTCAGGTGGTGAGAGGGGTGGTTGAAAGCCTAAAGATCATAACACGTCAAGCAAGTTTGAGGGTTGCAGAGTATGCATTTCACTATGCCAAAACCAATGGAAGAGAAAGAGTCTCTGCTATTCACAAAGCCAATATCATGCAAAAAACTGATGGCCTTTTCCTCAAGGTTTTTCTTCACTTCATATGCTTTCTTTGTTAAGGCACAATGCATCCATCACTCATAAACTAACTTTCAGTTTATTGTTCCAGTGTTGTCGTGAGGTTGCAGAGAAATACCCTGAGATAAAGTATGAGGAAGTTGTCATTGACAATTGCTGTCTGATGGTATCTATGATCACTTTGTATTGTGAATAAAGATTTTCTTCTGTTCATCTAGATTATTGAAAATGAATGCAATGTATTAGTATGCGACCTTGGTAAAACTATTTTTGTTTCATCATACAGCTAGTGAAAAATCCAGCTCTCTTTGATGTCTTGGTGATGCCCAATCTTTATGGAGACATTATCAGTGACCTTTGTGCTGGTTTGATTGGAGGTTTGGGTTTAACAGCTAGGTATGTTTTTTTTTTTTGGTGACTTTGCCTCATGTGAAGTTGAATTTGCCTTGTATCTCTAAGACTTAAGTTCCTGTGCAGCTGCAATATAGGTGAGGGAGGTATTGCTCTAGCTGAGGCTGTGCATGGTTCAGCACCTGATATTGCTGGAAAGGTTTGCATTACTGTTACTGTACATAGTTTTTTTTTGGTACACTGATGCTCCTATTCTGGAATTGTTATTCTCAGTTGTGTTAGTACTTAGGGTGTGCTTGGTTTGCACATGGGAATTGAAATCGGAATGGGAATCAAATACTTGGTAATGGTAATGGGTTTTGGTGAAAGTATTTTGCATGTTTGGTAGTAGGGTGGAATTGGAATGATTACCAATATTGATGTTTGGTTGTATATAACCCTATGGGCATAAATGTTTTAAAAATACAAAAACCAAAAATCAAGGCAATTGATCCTAATATAATGACATCAAAAGCATCAATATGAACAAAAAAAAAATCAAAACAAAAATCTAAGTCTAATCCAAACTTAAAAATTAGATTACCAATAAGATAAAATGATACCCCTTTTTAATTAGACAATGAGATATTTAATTGAAGGGGTAATCAAAATTCATAATTATGTTTTAAAAAGTTGTCAACCAAACACTAACTATGATTTTGATTCTCATTCCTAGTGTGTAAAGTGTAAACCATGAACCAGACACACCCTTAGTAAGAAGGTGAAAATAAACCTTCATTTTTTTTTTAAATTTTATTTTTTTCATTTGGGCCCCTTTTATACCTTGATTGATTGAACCTTGCATATATGTTGAATTTTTTCCATTTAGTCATAATAGTCTATCCGTTAAATTTGAGAGTATTTAGACTGTAGATGTTTACAAAGAAAATATTAGTCATGTTGGTATTCTCATTTGATTAGATACTGAATTTTCTTAGATGATGATTTATAGGTGCCATGACTAAGATTTCAATAGTGTTCACCATAGGTCATGCCTTGGGACTGAATTAAAATATTCTGATTTTAATGTTTTGTATAGAAGCTTTGTGCCCAGTTGTAGTTAGTCATTTAACTGCTGCTATATCTCTGTAGAACATGGCCAATCCAACTGCCTTGCTCTTGAGCAGTGTTGCAATGTTACGCCATCTGGAGCTTAATGATAAAGCTGACCATATCCAGGATGCTATCCTGACGACAATTGCAGATGGAAAGTACCGAACTGCTGACCTTGGGGGGCACTCATCAACTACTGAATTTACAAATGCAATCTGTGACCATCTCTGAACGATGCTGATGCGTATATATCATGAGTGTTTTTTTTTTTTTTTTTTTTTTTCGATAGGTTCAAGTCAATTGGGTTTTTCAAATGTGCAGTTTAACCGTTTGAAGCTGGAGATAGCCATGCTTCGTTGGGAATATGGAAGCAGATAGATATTACTGTTAATTGTAACATCCCATAAGCTTTCAACTTTTATCTGCACTGTGGCAGAATAAAAATGTTTCGCAATCTTGCACGAAAGTAGATTGATTTGTTCTCATCAGGGCAACAATTGCAAGGGAATATTGTTCTATCATTTCATGTCATCACCACGTTGAGTAATCGCTTCCAACAATCTATGCTTTATAAATGGAAATTGTCACTTGTTTATAATTTTATTAGTAATCTTGTGCAGTAGGTGAAATATTATATTGTCTTAAAACGTTATCATGATTTACATCTTCCCAGATGCTCTGTCAGGTCGAGGTGTGTGTGGGGAGGGGGGGCGGGGGGGGCTTGGGGTTGGAGATTTAACCTTTTGGGAAGAATTCAATGAATTCATTTTAACTAGCAATGGACAATGTGCATGGCCGAATGAGATTTGGATGGGTAGCTCGGGATGAATACGGGGTCATGATAGGGATGGGGTGGGAAATGATGGATGGTCTGTTTTTGGTATGGGAGGCGGAGGGAGTAGGGGTTCGGGAGGCTTTGAGTTGGGTCAAGCAGAAGGGGTGGACGCGAGTGGTGGTGGAGACTGATGCAAAGCTTGTAACAATGGCCGTCTACGGAGATCCCAGCAATGCTCCATTTGGCCTTATCATCCATGATATTTGTTTACTTTTAAACCAGCTGGCTCTCGTAAGCTTAAACTTTGTGAGACGGGATGGGAATATGTTAGCCCCAAAGAAGTCTTTGGATAATTCGAGTCCGGGCATAGTTGATTATTCGGACTGTATTTCGAGCTTTGTTTCTTGTGTTGCCAGTATGGACCTTTTAGTTTAATTAATATATGAGGTTTTGTTGGTTTAAAAAAAAAAAAAAGATCAGTTACGGAGGAATACATTGTAATATTGTGAATAATAATGTAAGACAACAAGAGAGGAAGAGTTTGCTCCCAATCTGCTACACAACTTTAGCAAACCAGAATTTTGAGACACTGCAAATATTCATATCATTAATAAAACAGGATCATCATGCTTTTTGAAGTGGCTCCATTAATTAAAACACAAACCATATGGTTGGTTCTTTGTTTTTGTATAAATCAGATCAGTAAAGAAACAAACAAAGCCAGTTCAGTTATAGGGAATCCAGTTGCAAGAACAAACAATACTCCACTACAGGCGCGGCAAAAGCAGTTTGTCATGATGCGTTTTCTTACATGAATTCTGGTGTCTCGAACACACGGGCGGTCCCGTCAATTGAAACGGAAACAAGGAAGTTCCCATCTGAAGATGCAGCTAGTGATTGAATGGCATCAGAATGTCCACTAAAAGTTCTCACACAATCTCCTGAAAGGCTATCCCATACCCGTACTTTCCCATCAACACAACCTGTAGCCACATATCTCGATGTGCCTAACCACAACAAGCATGTCACTCCTTCCTGCACAAATTAATTAAAGATTAACAACAAGATCATCCAAGCCGGGAACTTTACTCCTACAGAAACTGATGCCAAACGCAAGAATAATAGAATCATATAAGTCAGTTCATGTATAGTTCGAACAAACCTCATGTTCACATGTGCATCGAGGCAATGAATGTTGTACATCCCAAATAATGAGCTTCCGATCCATGCTTCCAGTTGCAGCCCAAGGAGAGCTGCCAAGACGGTCATTTCAAGTTTCACCAATCACATTGAAGTCTATATTATTACTATTAAAATGAAAATAAGGCCATAATGCATACCCAAGCTATGCATAGAACAAAGTTCAAGATTCTTTGCCAATCACAGAGTGACATTTATAAATTTATTTTTTAAAAAACAAAGTAGGCTTCTATTGAAAGAAATTAAGCAATCCTGAGTAGGCTTCTATTGAAAGAAATTAAGCAATCCTGCCTCATCATGTCAACTATTAGTTCAACTAATGAGAAAGTATGGCTCTGTCTGGTCATGTTTAATCTACAACTACTACTAATATTTATTGCAATTCAACCAATGAGGACGTATGGTTTTGTCTGGTCATGTTTAATCAACTACTACTACTACTAATATTTATTTTGAGGTGTTAAATCTTGTTTTTAACTTTTAATTTATTAGACAAATGAACAAATCATTCACAAAAGGCCTAGAGAGAGAGAGATAGAGAGCAATAGGGGTGTCAAGACTAGGCTGCACCTTGCTGAAAATCCAATACATTCAATTGAATCTGAATGACCATTCAAAGAGCTGACAACCTGAGAATTTTTTTTTTTAAAAAAAAAAAAAGAAAAAAAAGAGAGAGCATGTATTAGTGTTATTCCAGAACATGACTTCAAAAAATCCTATTCATATGAATACATCAAAATTGGAAGGGAATGAAGGTTCCAGTGGTGTTATCATGGTAGGACTCCTAACCTTCCCCGTCTCAATGTTCACAAGGTGAGCAGAGCTGTCTTTTGAACCCGTGAGAACAAGTGTTGAATCTTTGTTGATTGCCAAACATGTCAGCCCCTCTGTGTGATATGGATGACCTAGAATGGTAAAGATTTGTTATAATTACCAATCAGCTAACAAATCATTGGTCAATCTAGAAACAAGGCACCTCAACTGCAAGAGAAATTAGCCGTTTGTTGCTCCTGATGATTTACCCACCTCAACCATCACAAATTCACAACTCCACTGGAAACTATTTTTGAAACAAGAATTCAATATATGCACCAAAAAGTCCTTCACACTAGTCAGTATATCATTTTCAATAAGGTGCAGTTTATGAGGTAAGGTAGTTGGAATTTGTTTTCATAACACTTTCATAGAAGTTCTCCTGCATACTTGGCACTGATTTTATTTTTATTTTTTAAATTATGGATTATGCAAGTGCATTTACTTTTCACTCACTCAATGCTCTTGACAAATACTAATAAGATTTACCTCTCACAACATGAATGCTTTCACCACTCTTTGGGTTCCAAATCCTCAAAGTTGCATCATCTGAGCCAGTACAAATCGTTTTACCTTTGGCAAGAAAGGATTCAACATCAGAGTTGCACTTGGAATATACTTTGCCCAAATGGAAACAATAATAAATTTCATAGAACAAAACGAGAGTACCATCAGGCGTGAAATCCCCACAGGTCACACTTTCTGCATGACCTGTAAACATATTAAGAGAAGCACCCTTGTCAGCATTCCACAGCCAAACAATACCATCCTCTGAACCAGTCAAGATCAAATGCCCTTTCGAATGCCACTTGAGCCACTGAAACCACAATTCTCAAGTTTAAAAAGCTAATTCTGAAACACAGAAATTGTTACAAACAATATGGAAGAAATTCCACCTCAATTCCCTTATCAGGACCTTCAAGTGTACACTTCAGATTTCTGGAAGCTACATCCCAAACTTTGATGAGTCCATCAAGGCTTCCAGACGCAAGCAGCTTTCCATCAAAACTGAAGGCTAAGCTGGATACTGAATCCTTGTGACCTGCAACAAGATCCCAAAATACGTCAGTAAAGAAATACCAAATAACAATTAACAACCATTATGATGATCTGATGAAGGCAGATGCATATTAACAAAGCTGGCAAGCATATAAAGATGCTAGAAAATCAAACAAGGGTATATAATCAGCAGATTGGCATGCACCTTGTAACTCAAAAGCAAAATCTCCTTGACCGATTCTCCACATAAATCCTCTATCATCTCCACCCCCTGTTGCAACTAAGGTAGCATCTGTAGGGCTGCAGCATGCAGCGTAAAGTTCACCTAAAAATGTTGATACAGAAGCATTCATAATAAGAAATACTACTGAAATAGTCACATAACTTCAATTTAGATATCACTGATTAAAAAAGCTACAAAGTTAATCGCGGTTGGTAGGCCATTAGTTGGGTTTGTGTAGCTACATGACTTCCGACGAACATAAAATTCAATTGTGATGACAAATATACTAGAATATTTACTTAAAGAATGATGATCACTTCATAATTGTATATTCAGTTCAGATAGGTGAACACTATACTGATGAGCAGTTCTGCAATGAATGGCTCATAAATGAAACAAGAGCCAGTGCTCATTGCATAATATGAGGTTACATTGAATAAAGGTTTCCACAATTGCCATCTAATTCAAACTAATAAGCAGCAAAGTAGCCTACCACTGTGACCTGTGAAAATATGCACTGAATCATCTTCTTCATCTGAAATCATCATGCCAAATGGATCCAGTTTAGTAATCAAGTAAAGAAAACAAAGTAAAAGTGCATCAAATGAAAATCACACAAGTATAAAATCTGAACGCAAAACAATTGGATAACCACAAAATTGAGTAAAATTAAACATAAGTTCATTTTAAATGCAGCACCTATTGCTCCTTCAATACCATCATCTCCATCTTCATCATCAGCATCTGGAAGCTCTATTACAATACATAACCACTTCAGTTCATCAACCATTATTTCAGAACAGGAAAAAAAATAGTGAAAAGAGATTGGATACAGGGGAAAATTTTACCTTCTTCATCCACGGGGATTTCCTGTATGATATCGCTTTCGTCAAGGAACACATCGTCGCCGTCGTCGTCTTGTTCTTCGTGGCGGTAAGGAGAGCTAGGGTTCATGGTTTAGCCTCTACAAATACTGAAAATATATACTGGAACGTATAATTAATTGAAGTACTGAAACTGTGAAACAAATACTGAAACATATATCAACAAGACAACATAAAATTATACTGGAAATATATACTGAAACATATTTTTACCTGGCTGTGGACGGACTGGAGTACTGGACGGATTGCGACGGAGATGCTCGACACACTGGAAATCTGGAATGCGTTTTTGGGTGTGACGCTGGCGACGGATGCGAGTCTGCGATGTCGTTTCTGGCTGGGACACACCGGAATGACTCACGGAGACACGGACTACGACGTCGTTTCTGGGAATTCTGGAGCTGTGTCGCTTCTAAGGTTGGCAGAAGAGAGGAAGAGTGAAGCTGTGATTACTGATCCCTGTGAACAGAAGGCGTCAGGGGAAATGGAATTTTAGGCGGATGGCAGCTATGGATGGCAACGGGGCGGGGCGAGGAGTCCTGTCCCCGAAATAGATCCCGTTCCGGGGAATCCCGGCCCCGTTTTTTGAATGATGCCAATGAAAAAAAAAGTCTATATTCTTCAAGCAATTCAATGGTTTGCAATTCCAAGCAGGAAAATTTTAATAAACTAAGATAACTAGGTGTAAAATTACTATGCCAACTAAATTAGAGCAAATACACAACCTTTAGCTAGCATATATATAGCAAACAGAACAAATTCAACCGGACAGGACCAATATTACCACGAAATTCAAGATTCCAAGCATCAATTTAGAGAAGAAATATAATAGCAAAGCTTTTTTTCTGAAAGAGACTGAAATTCTGAAAATATATAATGGGTTGAAAAATAGCAAAATTAATGCTGAACAACATGAAAGTGGCAAAACCTTTGCAGAGCTCAATCTGAATAAAGACTGAAAACAGCCCAAAGTAGCATTAATCAACACAAAGCTGCAATTGTAAACACCGAAAACTACCCAAATTAGCATTAATCAACACAGAAAAGAAGCAAAGATTGAAAACAACCCAAAGTGAGAATGGAGGAATTACCTGGCAGAATCGCAGAGCAGCAGACTAGGAGTTTGGGATGGTGACGGTGAGCCGCAGCCGACCAGAGAGGCAGAGTCGTAGTCTCGTAGAGCCGCAGCCGGCAGAGGCAGACCGTGAGTCTGGGATGGTGACGGTGAGGGAGTCTGGGACGGCCGCAGAGTCGTAGTCTCGTAGAGCCGCAACCGGCGGAAGGGGTTTTTAGGGGATAAAGGGTGGGGTTTAATGATTAGTGATCATGTATTTTAGGATTTTAGGATTTTAGGTTAGGTTTAGGCGTTTAGCATTTATGTTTAAAAAAAAAAATTAAATATTCGGGTAAGTTAATTTTTTTTTTTGACCGGACAAAACATAATTCTTCTTTTAAAATGTTGAATCTTCAATTGCAAAAGCTCTCCGGACTCAATAGAGCATTTGAGATGATATATAGTGTTCAAAAGAATTGTCTATTTTAAACATAATCCTTAAACCACCGTTGCTGAGGTTCGAATCTTTATCTATTTTCTCAAATACTACATACTAAATCAGTGAGCTAGATCCTTACCGGCAATAAATGATAAATGTAGATAAAACTAGCAAACCCCACATGGACAAAACGCAATCCTTATATTATGATCAGGATTCACAATGTGGACCCTTGTGCATTGTATATGTCTAATGTTGGAATTTTTGTGTATTGTGTTATGAAATTTTATACTTTAATAATATGATTTTTTAGAACAAATTAGTAATTGTACATTATGTTATGAATTTATATTTCTTGTAGTTGTGAAATTCTGTGTCTATAAACACAAATTATGCACACAAATTAAATTTTAAAAAATAAGTAAATATATAACATGTACATACATCTTGTATTGTGATTTTTTTTGTGTCTCGTATTATGAAATTCTATACCTTACAAATATGAATTTTGGATCTCATCATTTTTATTCAGAGTTTATAATATAATGCTATATAGACCCTGCCAAATTATATCGTGCACCACGCCGCACATAGCAATATGCGCCCAGGGACAAAACGCGCGCGTTTCATGCTGACGTCATGTTGACTTCACTCCGTCCATCTGAATAGACCAAACCTCATTATGTGTATTCAGTTAAAATTTTATGTATATTGTGTTATGAGTTTATGGGTATTCAGTTATGAGTTTATGTGTATTATGTTAACCAAACCCCATTACGTGTATTCAGTTAAAAGTTTGTGTATTATGTTATGAATTTATGTGAATTCAGTTAAGAGTTTATGTGTATTCAGTTAAGAGTTTATGTGTATTATGTTATGAGTTTATGTGTATTATGTTATAGTTTATGTGTATTATGTTAAGAGTTTATATGTATTATGTATTATGTTAAATTATGTGTATTCTGTTATGAGTTTATATGTATTATGTATTATGTTAAATTATGTGTATTCTGTTATGAGTTTAAGTGCATTCGAAACAAATGATTTTTTTTGAACAACTTAACAAAATGACGTCATTTTGGGAGGCGCGAGGCGTACATTGCTGGGCGCGCCCTGGTGCACGGTATAACGATTGATAGAACCTAATTTATGATATAAATTTTGACAAAACGAGTTAACTTGTTTTTACAACATAACCTAATTTATGATATAAATTTTGACAAAACGGGTTAACTTATTTTTACAACTCTAGAACGAGTCGTTATGCTGTGGACTCGTGCCCAGCGTGCATCATGGGCACGGTAACGGTGCCGTCAGGCACCGTTATTTTTTATTTTATTTTTTAAATTTCAGACCGCTTCGTTATAGGAGCATATATTCACAGTTTTATGTTCATAATTTCATAACTGTACATTCATCATTCCATAACTGTAAATTCATAATTCCGTAACTGTACATTCATAATTCCGTAATTGTACATTCATAATTCAATAACTGTAAATTCATAATTTTCGAAGCTCTATGCCTCTATGTTCATAATTGTAAGTTCATAATGTCAGAGTTTTGTGTTCATAATTTCATAACTGTACATTCATAATTCCATAATTGTACATTCATAATTCCATACTGTATATTCATAATTCCATACCGAACATTCATAATTTTCGAAGCTCTATGTTCATAATTCCATAACTGTACATTCATAATTCTATAACTGTACATTCATAATGTCATAACTGTACATTCATAATTTCATACCGAATACATTGTTAACGCCGTTAATGGCCTTTTGAACAATTTTTTTTTTTTTAGTTAGAACAGCATCGTTTTCAGGGGAAACGACACCGTTTTAGAGTCGTGCGCATATCATAATTTGCCCTCTAGAACACACACATCACTTTTTATGGGCTTAGCTTCTTGTTGTGAAGAAACCCAAATGAAACTTGGGCCTCGGCTCCTATCAATGGGCCAGAAGATCAAACTCGGGAAAATCTCCAGCACAGTGTAGTGCTTCTGAACAGCGAACTGTCACCGGAAATGAGGAGAGGCGCGAACGCCATAGCTCTATGTCGGAGGGGCCTCAGATCATACTGCACTGAAAACATCGATGGATTGCAGAGCTCCAAACTTAGAATCTTCGATCGCCAGCTTAAACGCAAACAGGTACCTGTATATTTCCGGTAATTTTATTTGTATGTTTCATTTAATTTGAATTTTTGGATTTTTTCCATGTCTGAACAGCGTGATAGAGCGGCATGGTTGATGCGCCCCAACGATTCCTTGCTTGATAATGTTTCCGAGAATTTGCTTGATCGTTTGGAGGTAAGTGCTAAGTTTCTAAGTGTCTCTTCTTTTTTAGTTTTATTAAGTATTGTTGTTTCATTTTCTGCTGTCAATTGTAAGTCTACCAGTGTTGCAAAATTTATCTTGTTATGAGTTAGTGGTTGATCACTCTGCTTTTATAGATGTTGAATGATTTGTCCTTCTGCATTTGTTAGGATTGTAGAAAAGCATTTCCTACAGCATTGTGTATGGGGGGCTCCCATGAAGCAGTTAGGCGCTTGTTACGCGGGCGTGGTAAGACATAAAATCTTACTTGAGTTTCTTATACTTTTCCTTGCTGTTTAGTTATATGTGACAGTATCTTGATTCTGACAAAATGGAACTATTGAAAATAAAATTAGTATTTTTATGCATGTAATGGATTTTTGGAGAAATATGTCTGTGCAAATTTATACTCTGTATCAGTTATTAAATCCTAATACATGTGTTCCTTGGATTATCTATTGTCTACCTAAGGCTGAAGCATTTAAGTTTCATTACTTACTAATATAAGAAAATTAATTCACATCATTGGCTATGCTCTAACGGCATTAACATATTCAAGGATGAATGTGAGGTGTTTCTTTTCCCTGCAGAAAGACAGTCTTGATCTCCAAAAAAGTCATGTTTTATATCATTGTATGATAATTTTCATATTTGGATAACTATGTAATACTGCCTCATGGTGACCCTTTGGTCCTTCATCCTTCAGTAATGATTTCTGCCTTTATTTGAACATACTACTAAATTCAAAGTATAATAATAGGTGCACTACTTTTTCTTTCCCAGGCGGTATTGAAAAACTAATTATGATGGATTCATCATCCGACATGATCAAAGTATGTAAAGATGCTCAGCAAGATAACCCCAATGAGAATGTTGAAACATCATTTATTGTTGGTGATGAAGAGTTTTTGCCTATCAAAGAAAGGTGTGTTTATAAGTATAAAATGGATTAAGAAATCTTTGCTATGACACTTCACCTGAATTTGTGCACCTGAATGTGTGTTATTGGAAGTGATTATTCATTGTCTTTATATTTTGGAGGTAAAAGTTCCTTGGATCTCGTCATTAGTAGCTTGGGACTACATTGGACAAATGATCTTCCTGGAGCTATGATCCAGGTATGAGCTTATTGATTTTCTATATTTATTTGCTTTTCTAAAAGCGGATTGCAGTTCACTTTTATGTTGATATTCTTTCTTTTACCTAGAGTCTTGTTTTCAACTTTTATCAACTTTATCGGTAGGTTGCTTACAAAAGTTCTGCATTGGAAATTATCAGGCATTTATATTTTCATGTTTTTTTTTTTTGCATCTATGGCAGTGTAGATTAGCACTGAAGCCCGATGGTCTATTCTTGGCAGCAATTCTTGGTGGAGAAACATTAAAGTTGTTTATGTTGTTTAAGTCAATTTAACTTTTTAACAAAAGTATGCTGTTTCTAAATCATTTGACATTCTTTTTCTCTCGCTCCATATATATGTAGGGAACTGAGAATAGCATGTACTGTAGCTCAAATGGAACGTGAAGGAGGCATTAGTCCACGGATGTCACCTTTGGCACATGTATTTTTCTCTATTTGTTGACTCCTCTTTGGCATTCCATTCCAGTTTTTTGGTTGATATATGAGAGATTATTAATCTTGAATTCCAATCCTTTTTATTGATTATTATCAATAAACACTGTGTGCCATATTTTGTCCTAGTATAGATCCAGGTAGTGGTCAGGTGCTATTGCTACTTCAATGATATTCCAATAGTAACACATTGTCAACTTTTTCTTCGGGAAAATAAGATCTATTATTTTCCATGTCTCGCGAATTGTTTGTATAGGTGCGGGATGCTGGAAACCTTTTGACCAGGGCAGGCTTCACTCTTCCTGGTGTAGATGTTGATGAATATGTTGTCAGATATAAGAGTGGTGAGTCACTGATCTTGCTGTTGGTTTTATTTTTGAACTTAAATTCATGTTAATGAGTAGGACGATTATGTTACGACAAACATGAGTTAATGTTTGCAAACACAGTGATTTGAAAATTTGTTTGTTTCTCCTTGTCATCTATCTTCTTATTCCTTTTGTAAAGATTTCCAATTATTATTGAGAAAGCGTGTCATCTTGTTAGTCATTAAATCAATTAACATATAGGCTGTCCATTGAAATGACAATTGTGAATAACTGATATTGGACCCTTGTGGTGTGCACCGCTGCAAGTTAACTTTGTTTTTGAGCATAAGGAATTCCTCTCTTTTTGTACTCTCATTGGCTTACGCAATCTGCAGAACTCAGGAGTTTGTTTTGTTTAAAAATTTTATACACAATTCGAAAAAACATGTAAAAGCACAAAGAGTGAATGAATGTGTGATGTGAAGTTGCTTACAGCTTATAAATGCCCTAGTTCAATCGTAAATTTGACAGCAACTGTGGAATTTATAGTGAACCTGAAATTGCATATTGATTACAATTGCCCTAGTCCATGAAAAATCTTCAAGCAAAGTGGAACGTAATTTTACTATTCGTATAGGTGATTCCTGATCATGTCTAATTCATCTTTTTTCTCCTATTACATTTATTGTACTGAATGCATCTTCCCATCTCTATGCTGAGGTAGCTTTGGAGCTGATAGAGCATCTTCGTGCTATGGGTGAAACTAATGCCCTCTTACAAAGAAGCAATGTATGTTTTCAACCCAATCAACCTCCCTCCTCATCCCAAGAAAAAAAAAATTGAAAAATGTGATAAAAAGATCCCATTTTTATGCTGTCTGCATTTAATGCTTTCAAACTTCCATTTGGGTTATAGATCTTGAAGAGGGACACAGCTATTGCTACAGCAGCCATTTACGAATCGATGTTTGCTGCAGATGATGGCACCATTCCAGCAACATTCCAGGTTACTATAATGGCCATTTCAATTTTTTGTAAAATTGACCGATCTTTTTTTGTAGTTATTGGCTTATTGCCAATGCACTGGAATTGTGGAATCCATACGATGTTTTTGGAATCCCCAAATTTGATTGATCTTTTTTTAAAGGTCATATACATGACTGGGTGGAGGGAGCATCCTTCTCAACAGAAGGCCAAGTGTAGAGGCTCTGCCACAGTATCCTTTCAGGACATTCAGAAGCAGTTTGGTGGCAATAGTAATACCTGAAGTGTTGAACCATCCACATGTGTTGTATAAATGTATTCTGATCTGTGGACCTCCGCAGATTTTGATAGGTGCACAAATAAATCATAGTATTTATTTACTAATTTCTGTATCCCGTGAACAACACAAACCCTTTTTCACTTGACCTAATGCATTTTCATAAATAATATTTCATTTTGGTTGTTTACAAGTCTGTGTAACAGTTACGGGTGATCAACAGGAATTTATTGATTCTGGCAAACAATACGCTCATGTACAAGCTAAGGATTGAAAAGACATTATTTGAATACAACAATCTTTTCTCCCTTAATCTACACTGACAGACAACCAAGCAAGCACTGGTGGCCAGCCGGTTGGCCGGAGAATGGGTCAGCGCCACCGGATAATTGCAGAACCCCAGGTTAGACCGGCTCCGAACCCAGCAGCAGCAATTGTCTCGCCGGCCTGTATCTTCCCAGCTCGAACAGCCTCATCCAATGCCAATGGAATAGAAGCAGCACTGGTATTTCCATAGTTCACCAAGTTTGATATGACTCTGTCTGCCGGGAACTCCATACGCGCCGCCACTGCATCAATAATCCTTTGATTTGCCTTCACATTCCAACATTATCAACAAACCTTATTATACCAGAAATCCTCAGTTTGTAAATATGATAGATGATGATGATATGTTCAGTTCATGAATGATAGCCAAAGCTACTGAAAATAGTTGAAGAAAACTGAACAGAACTTGAACCTGATGAAGAAGTAACCAATCAATGTCAGAGAGAGCAAGACCTGTCTTCCCCAAGGCAGCTTTGATGGATTGAGGCACGACGCCAACTGCAAACTTGAAAACCTCCTTACCATTCATTTGCAGGCAGGAATAAGAGAAGCCGCCTTTGTGTGGAAAACCATTGAGTGAACCATTTGTGGTTGGAGAATGGTTTGGTCCATCCTCTTTTAGAGGAGAACATAAGTGCCTGCAACACCCACCTTCACATTACGTTCCATCTCAATTAAAAGTTTAAACTATCGTCATTTACCTTAAACCTTCACCATTACTATGGAAGTCAAAACTAAACAAAAAATCTTCACTTATATCACACTCCTGTAAAAAGTAAAAATGCAGACTCATGAGTTATGTGATTCAACATGAGTCCCTCCCTAGAACAATTTAAAGAATAAAGTAATCAATGTCATAACCTGCCTGGATTTTGAACATGGTGGATTATTTGTAAGAATTTTTCCTTGTATTTTATAATATAATACGAATCGGAGTATATTAATTATTCAGTTTAGCTTAGTAAACGTTAGCTTTACGGTCCTCCCACAGCTCCTATTGTCATAACACACTACATCATCTAGTATTCAGGAAAGAAGCCAAGGGTAGACAAAACCACTAACGTTTTTGTGCAGGTCTACTATTCCAAATTCCAATGGTGATATCAACTATGGCAAGAGATATTCAGATCGTTCTAAAGCTTCCGCTACTATAAGATTAGGTTCCTTATACATTAAGTTCCATTAAAGTTAATGTTAGTATATTTATATCTATCTAATAACATGATTTGAATGTTGGAAATACCTGAATCAGTACAGCACCTGCAGCATCACCAAAGAGAATACAGGATCCTCTATCAGACCAATCAACAAACCGGGAAATAGCATCAGCCCCAATTACAAGAACATTCTTAAAGCCACCAGCTGTGTTTTGTACAGTAGTAATTAATGAACATATTATCAGTTCAAGGGCATTAACAAGTATGTAAGGAAACAATATATGAACATTCTCAAAGATTTGTTTTTCTAGTATAGGCCGGAACATATATATCATTGTTTCCATCCATTGCCATAATCATTATTACACTCTCTTCAGCTCTGGGAAAAAAATCCCATGATGTTCAATCTTTATAATTATCTACCTTTTATATAGCAAGAAGCAGAAAACAATCCCAGCATGAACCCGCTACAAGCAGCACTGATATCAAAAGATAATGGATAGCTTTTGCACCCCAACAAATTTTGTATCTGAGTGTTGAAGACATATATAGACATTGGGAAATCAGATAATGGGAATAGCATTAATTAGAAGAAAAAGTAAATAAACAGAAGGTATGTATGTAGTTAATGTCCAGGATAAGACTTGAAACCGGCCTATACAGTTTAACAGTATTAAAATTGTGAATCTACACAATTATATATACCTGTGGGGCATTACCAAAAAGTTCATCTGGAGTGGAAGAACACAACAAAATTAAATCCACATCTTCAGGGTCAACTTCAGCCATCTCAAGAGCTTTCCTTGAAGCCTCTACAGCTAGAGATGTTAAACTTTCTTTGCCTAAACAAAGCAAAAAAAAATAAAAAAATTACAAGATTACCTACCCAGTCCCAGTTACTAAGAATAGAATATGATAGTATTACATTAAACAATTGTCAAGTAGCAAGCATATAAATATATAAAAATAAATTTACCTGAAAGAACTCTTCTATGTCGAATTCCTGTCCGTGTTGAGATCCACTCATCGTTAGTATCGACCATTTTTGAAAGATCATCGTTCGAAATTCTTAAACTTGGCACAGCAGAGCCACACCCAACTAGTTTGCAGCCTTTGTTAACAACACTGTAAAACCATTAACATTACTTAGCTTACATATTCAGATACTCCGAATTCAAGAACATGCATGCATTGCATGCTTCTTTCTTCACAATCTCATGATCGACTTAAAACTAAATCAAGATTCAAGAACATAACTAACCTGAGCCCTGCATCTGTGTTCGAAGCCGGACGAGATGCGGATGCCGGCGTGGAAGACGCCATCAAAATCATCTTATTGGGCGTGTCGACGCGATGGCTGATGGGGTTAACCGGAAGCGTAAGAAAGGAGAAGACGCGCTTCTGCAACCATGTATTATTGCAGCAATGAGAGAGCATGATTATATATATTGGGCAATTAAGAGAGAATTGAACTACAATGGTTGAATTGGAACCCTTTGATTGAATTATAAATTCCTCCCTTAGCTTGTTTGCAGAGACCAGATGGAGAAGGAAGGAGAAATGAATGACAGACACTAAGGAAGAAGTTGGGTGACAGTAGGTGGCTGTTGGGTTCTCTCAAAGTCTAGGAAATATATATACATATATACACACATATGGGCAAATTAATTGCTGATTTTATAAAGAGTTTAATTGTACGTGTACGTATGTTTGAGATTACTGTTACATGCAGGCAGGAGATACCCCATGAACATGAACAACATGCCTCAGGTTTAAAATAACATGAATATAATCTGCGATTATGTACTATGTTATTATATTTCACGTTTAAACCCACAATGTACTATATTACTCCGTATTAATTTTAAACCTATAAACTAATTAAACTCCATCGTTTGCGTATTAATTTCAAATTCAACTTCATCAAATACTATAATATATATAATCTGCGATTATCCCAAAGTACATATATATGTTGATACACACCTTTTTCCTTGAACGTGAAACATATGCATTCAAGTTTCAAGTGAAGAACAATGACATTTGATTGAAGATGAAAAAGGATGTTTTAATTACCTATACTATTTACCATTTTTCTCCGATTTTAAGTAAAAAAAATGAAGATCTGAACTAAATTCAAATTAGTTTCATAATAATAGATACTTTTAAAAAAATTAAGAAGGTTTTGAAAATAATATCTAGAGTTTAAAGTTGCTATAACATTGAACAAGTGTATGCAAACAAAGGAAAAAATGTCACCCAAATAAATTGATCAAGTAAATCAACCTTAATAATAATTGAACAGTCAAAACGGGCTAATTCGTGGGGGTGGTGGGTCAATTGTTATACAGTGGACTGTGGCGTTATATGGACCATGGTCTAATATGATTGTTAAATGAAACTATAGTTGAGTTAAAATGATAATTTAGTGTTATTAAAATGAAACTAGTATGTGTGAACAAATGAAACTAAAAAACAGAGTTCATGCAATTAATAAGGTATAACATCAAATGAAACTGTAATATAATTAAAATGATATTTTAATGTTGCTATAATGAAACTAAAAAACAGAACTCATACAATAACATATATATTGTTAAATGAATATGAAGTGTAATTAAAATTATACTTCAACGTTATACAATTAAACTAGTCTGTATGTGTGGGAAATGAAACAATAAAATAAAACAAAATAGAGCTCATGCATGCAACAACCTATATTATATTGTCAAATGAAATTGTAGTAGAATTAAAATGATAGTTTAGTAATTTTTAAAAAAATGATAGTTTAGTATTACTAAATAGAACTAGTGTGCGTGGAAAATGAAACTAAAAAACATAGCAATATTGTCAAATGATATGACATCGTTTTGCTTTATGGTCAATGTTGCTACATGGACCATAGTCTATAGTAAAATTTGTCGTGGTGGGTTATGCAGGTTGGTCCGTGTAACTCGCAGGCCAACCTGTATAATCTGTGCAAATTATGTTGTGGAATCGTATCCATCTAAGAAGAGAATGACTATTTTAGTCCCTCAACTATATTAGAATAGGTAACTTAAAATGTGAATCCATTTAGTCTTTAAATTGTTTGTCTGTTAGTCATTTTAGTCCGTCCCCTCAAATAGCTGTTAAAATTAACGGTGATAGAAGGATAAATATGTAAATTCATTTCAATTTATCACTGTTAATTCTAATAGCTACTTGAGGTGAGAGAATGATCAATTTGATCACCCAACAAATAATTTAGGACTAAATAGGATCATGTAGCTCAACTGGTCATAGAGGTGAAACTTTGGAAGAATGATCAGGGATTGAGTCTTACTAGCGGCAGTGTGGGAGCAATCTCTCAAAGTGAGGGGGGCTCCTTGTGCGCAGTGAGCACCGGTCTAGCCTCTGTGGTTCATGTTCAGTTGAGTCACCATGATTTACATCCTCCCAAATGCTCTGTCGGGTTGGGGTGAGGGGGCCCTAAGAGGGGAGCTCCTTGGCCTCTGTGGTTCATGTTCAGTTGAGTCACCATGATTTACATCCTTCCAAATGCTCTGTCGGGTCGGGGTGTGGGGGCCCTAAGAGGGGAGCTCCTTGGCCTCTGTGGTTCATGTTCAGTTGAGTCACTATGATTTACATCCTTCCAAATGTTCTGTCGGGGTGGGGAGACCCTTAGGGATGGGGTTCAGCCTTTGGAAGAAGATCATGTATTTAAACACACATTAGTCTTTACAAGTCAGTATATATTTTCTCAATTTTTATTTAAAGAATCAATTACCCTACCATTGAAGTAGTGAATAAAATTTTGAGACTATTCTATTACTCTATATAATAAAATGTTCGAGGAAATTTCAATTTTTGTCATATGACTATATGGGTCTTGTTAATTTTAGTTCTTGACTTTTAAAAGTGTTAATTTAGTACATTAACTATGCAATTTTTGTCAATTTTGGTCACTCCGACCAAATTGCCGGTCAAATTTCGCCAAAAAATTTTAATAATTAAAATAATAAGGGTATTTTGATCGTTTCGTGCCTCTTTTATTCTTCTCCGGCGAGTCCATCCCTTTCTCTCCTATTTCCGACTTTCTTTCTCCCCGTAAACCTTATCTTTAATATCATCAAGCTTCCTTTCCTCATCATCTTAGTTCATTTCATTCGACGGAAACGAGAGAGGAAGGGATGGGCTCGCTTGGGAAGAAGAAAAGAGACGTGAAATGATCAAAAAATGCTCATTATTTTAACAATTAAAATTTTCCGATGAAATTTGGCCAGTAATTTAGCCGGAATGACCAAAATTAACAAAAATTACATAATTAAGGTACTAAATTAACACTTTTAACAGTCAAGGACTGAAATTAACAAGATCCATAGGACAAAAATAGAAATTTCCTCTAAAATGTTCATTCAATTGAAGTCACACATAATTGGGGTAGAACCGTAGAAACAGTAAAAAGATAGGATAGGAGTGCCCAAACAGGCAAACAGCAATGCTTATTATGATTAAAAAATGAAGGAATAAGGGTCAAATAGGCCACTGAACCGCACACAATAATGCAATTAGGCCATTGAACTCAAAAAAACAACAATTAAGTCCCTAAACTAACCCATTTCAAACAATTTGTTCAATTTGCAGGTTTTCCCCTTTCTAACAGGTCACCCATTTTAAAATATGTTTAAAAATATTTTTAAAAAAAATTAATTAAAATAAACTAAAATTATTTATTAAAAAAAAAAAAAAAAAAAAAACTAACTAACTTCGTCTCCGCCGGAAACGAAGAACGCATCATCGTCTCCGGCCATGGAGACGAAGATCCGTTCTTCGTCTCTGGCCGGAGACGAAGATCCGTTCTTCGTCTCTGGCCGGAGACGAAGATCCATTCTTCGTCTCCATGGCCGGAGACGAGAGACTCTTCGTCTCCGGCCATGGAGACGAGGAGACTCTTCGTCTCCAGCCAGAGACGAAGAAGGGATCTTCGTCTCCGGCCATGGAGACGAAGGGATCTTCGTCTCCGGCCATGGAGACGAAGGTCCCTTTGTCTCCATGGCCGGAGACGAAGATACGTTCTTCGTCTCCGGCGGACGAAGTTTAAGTTTTTTTTTTTTTTTTTTTTTTTTGTTTTTGTTTAATAAATAATTTTAGTTTATTTGGATTAAATTTTTTTAAAAAAATTATTTTTAAAATATATTTTAAATTGAGTAACCTGTTAGAAAGGAGAAAACCTGTAAATTGGACAAATTGTTTGAAATGGGTTAGTTTAGGGACCTAATTGTTACTTTTTTGAGTTCAATGGCCTAATTGCATTATTGTGTGCGGTTGGATGGCCTATTTGACCCTTAATAAACACCAAACAACCGTATCATCATCATTATTACTCACTTACTCTCCCGATAACTTTTGCCGACTCACACTCTCACTCCCTTTGTCTGCGTCCCACTCTCACATCTCCATACTCATCTCCTCTCTCTCTCTCTCTCTTCTTGTGTCTATGCATTTTCTCAATCTGGGTTCTTCTACTTCTTGAAATTTCAGCATCTTAATTAAAGGTATAATAGCTATCCATATTATATATGCCATTTACCTCTTCTTTTTTTAGTACTTCCCTCATTTCTTTACTCTTTTTTTTCGTGGGTCTCTTAGTATATGGTTATTCTTTAGATTTGGTGCAAAATGGGTACTCCGATGATAATGAAGTAACTAGTGAATCAAGCCTCTAAGCTTTCAGATTTGTTGATGTTTTGTTATGAAGGCATAAAAAGCTTTGGTCTTTGGGTGATGGGTTGATGCATTTTTGTGAAATGAAATGCTACTGAAGTTTGCGGGATTTAATTAATCCTAAAGTGCTGTAGATGATACTGTAATCTTCTGTTTATAACCTTTCTTGTTGGTTTATTCCAAATGCTGAATCTTGATCCTCTTTCCATTTCTTTTTATATTTGTTAGCTTCTTTGAATCTGTAAAAGTACAGAGTTTCTGGTGTGATTGGTGCCGTGATTCATGAATGACTGAAAACAGCTAGTAATTGCTATTACATCTGCTTTAGATATGATTCTACAAATCTATCTATAGTCTTTAGGAAGAATAATTTATTGAAAAAGAAAATAATCTATGATCTTTAACTGAACTAGATGCCATCTGGGATGGATCAAGACAGTGAATAATGTGTGTTAGTAGCTTCAAGTATTGTAATGTTTTGTGCTGGCTGTATTGTTCTTCAACTTTCCACTCCCTTTAATCTTGATGGAACTCGATAGGATAATACATCTGGGGCCGAGAGGAACTTGGATAAAGCGAAATCTGAGCTAGGGAGAGTAAGGAATAAGGATGTCAAGTGATAGATGCAGCCATTGGTGCTATACCTGTAGACAACCGGTATATCTTACAAGAGAAAACGTGGCATGCCCGAACTGCCATGGAGGGTTTGTGCAAGAGCTTGATGAGATAACGACGACAAACCCTGAATACGAGAACCAAAGGCCAAGGTTCATGGAAGCTATCTCGAGTTTCTTGAGGAGGCAAAGATCAGTTAGAGGTAGTGGCTCTGGCAATAGGGGGATATCAGATAGGGAGCCTGAGCGCAATAGCTCGTGGAATCCATTGCTGATCTTCAGTGGTGATATGCCAGTAATGATACCCGACAATGGAGGAGTTCTTGAGTTTCTCAACGAGGCTCTTGGTTTCAGAAGAGAACATGGTGGCGATTATTTTATTGGTCCGGGAGTGGAAGAATTCTTCGAAGATATCATCAGTACCAACCGAACTGTTCCTCCCCCGGCCTCACGATCTTCAATTGAATCCCTTCCTACAGTCAAGATATCGAGGAAACACATCCGGTCTGATCTTCACTGTCCTGTTTGTAAAGAGAAATATGAAATGGGGACAGAAGTAAGAAAACTGCCTTGCAAGCATTTATATCACTCTGATTGTATCATTCCATGGCTACAACAACGCAATTCATGCCCAGTTTGTCGCCGGGAGCTGGGTCCCGAGAGATTGGGCGAAAGTAATAGTCAGAACTCCAGGAGTCAGAATAGAAGCAACAGTAGGAGATTTGACAGAAGGGAAAGTAGGAGGGAGAGCACTAGCGAAAACCAGCGAGAGAGGAGGAGACCATGGTCTTTCCTGTGGCCCTTTGGTTCGTCTCGCTCTCATGCACGCCATACTGCAGTTGCAGTGCCTGAAACCAACATAGAGACCAGCCAGGAATATAGTCATTATAGCGAGTACTCTAATTGGCCATTTGAATAGCTAGCAAGGTTGGTCAGCATCAAACTTTCTTGTATACTGCATTCAATTCTTTGTTGTGATAATAATATTGTACCTTTAGTCGAACGAAGTCTCTAATGGTAGAGACAACTCTCCTTGTTCCCATGCTGTCAATGGATACATGTGTTTTCTCTTTTTGTCATTTCATCTTGATTCCCAGTAAATTAAATTAAACTCATACTTGTTTGATCCTTTCCCCTTTCCCTTTCATGTTGTTCATTGCTTTTACATTTATTTGGTGTCAAATATGTGCCAGCACAAAAAGACAAATAAGGCAATGTTTGATGAACAAAGGCCACTTTCTTGGGAAAAGCATATGGTCAAACTATTCCCATTCTTACTTGTGTATCAAGATTTAAAGGCTCGATGGCATGAAAATTGAAAAGGGACCTTCATTGCTTCAGAGACAAGCTCTTTGGCTGCCAATCTTATCCACAATTTTTCCATTTAAGTTTGAAGAAATATAAATATGAATAATAGTATTAGATTAGAATCACATTTTGGACTTTTACATGCAAAAATTGTTGTCTAATCCTTTACCTTTCGAATCATTTGCACATGTATACATGTGATCAACTGAGCATTACAGTCTGATCTGTTTCATTAAGCATGTGACTTCCATCTTTAAAAGTTAATAAAAGGACTGAACAAATAAATGAGAATCCTAGAGCTCTATTTTTTGGTTCTGTGAATGAAGTAATTTTTCCGATCAGTACACTTTGCCTACGCCTACAAGAGCTCTTCAACTCTTCATCTCCTTTAATCGGTCTCATACATTGAAAACATTTAAATGATAGATAAATTTTAAATGACTTCCACAATTTTACATAATGTTCAACAAACCTTAAAAAATTTTAATGTTCAACTATTACAAATATCATTATCCCACAACCATTTTACCATTTTATTTATAAAAGTTCTAATAAATTCTTTTTAAAACAACTTTTAAAGAATTTTTTTAAAATCTAAATCAGATACCACCAAACTTTTAAAATGGTTAAAAGTTTATAAAAAATCTTGATTGAATTCACCCCTCTTTGATTGAGTACTATGAATAGGACTAAGAATCCCAACAAGGGACAAACAACAGAATAATCCATAACATTTAATTTCATGCTCAAACTCATCTCTACCAACAGACAAGAACCATAATAGATATCAAACACAAGGGCAGAAATACATGAGTTCAAAATTCAAGGATCCAAACACATTATATAATAAAAAGAAAATATCACTCAGAATGTTATAAAAAGAACTAAAAGAGGATTTTCTAATTTGTAAGCTCCATAATAGCAGAAACAATATCCCCATCAGCAGCCTTGAGAGCTTTGACAGCCTTTGCCCTTGAAACACCTGCTTGGGTCATAACCAACTCAATGTCCTTGGGCTCTACACCGGTCTCATCTACATCCTCATCATCTTGAACTGCGGTGGATGGCTCAGGCTTTGACACCACATTGCTGAGATTAGGAGCCTTGAATTGCTCAGCAGCTTGAGTCTGCAATTGTGAGCTCAAATCCTCAATCTTCGCCTCACCAAATATAACATATGTGTCTGATGTGGGGCTCTTGAAAACATCTGGTTTTGAGATGACAAATAGAATCTGAAAAATAACATGAGATAAGAATTAATCACCAAGAAAGATGTCATTTCAATAAGTAAATAATATGTCATTTCAATAAGTAAATAATACTCCCCCCGTCCCTAATTGATTGTCTTACTTGCTTTTTGCACAGTTTTTAATACAACATAACAAATGTTACTAACTTTCCAATTTTGTCCCTCAAAAGTATGTGTTGTTTGTACAAAGTACAATTGTACTTACCTCTAGAAATTTGAAAAGTCAAAAGGGTAAATTGAAAAATGTAGAGTGATAGTTATGTTCAATTTTAGAAATATGACACTATTTTGGGACAAACCAAAAAGGAAAGTAAGACAGGTAAAATGGGACGGGGAGTATATGTCATTTCAATAAGTAAATAATTAACTAACATTCTTGCTCTTCTTGACCGTGACACGGCTCACGCCAGCAATGGGCTTCATTCCTAGCTTTATCATAGCCTTACGACTCTTCTTCTCACTCCTGCTCTGCTTTGACCTACCAGTACCATCTCCGTGTTCTGCCAACCATGAAAGACAACTAACTTAGATTTATACATCCAACATTATCTTATACATAAGCTACAAAGGAATAAAGAAATGGTGAGAATGAATGATTTATACATCCAACATTATCTTATACATAAACTACAAAGGAATAAAGAAATGGTGAGAATGAATATATATACTGAAACAAAGCATACTGATCAACATTAAATTACATGAACCAATATAAAAACACTACTAAGCTGTCAAACTGCATATTAAGAAATTTAAAAAGTATGTTATCTTCCCAGAGGAAGGTGAAATTCTCACTTCAGGCTGAAATAGATATGAACAGTCAATAAACTATCATACTCTTACCTTCATCTTCATCTTTGTCATCATCATCGTCGTCATCATCATCTTCATCATCGTCATCCTCCACAACTGGCACCTCAGTCTGCATGAGGTATGTTCAGTACATAATCTTAAAAAATTAAACCTAAGGCCTATATTGTCAAAAAAAAAATTAAACTTTCAAAGTTACTAGTGGTCATTCATGAGATCTGATATGTCTATATTTTCCTGTAAAGGATGCATAATGTTGTCATCCATTCACTGCAACTACAAGGGTGAAAGATCCTTGAAGAAGATCATTGAGCACACAATGCCAGAGTGCTATGATGCATTGTTTTCCTTTGTATTTATTTACTTACATGATATTAACATCTGGTTCTCAAAAAATCCATTACACAAGTGAGTTGCTATGCAAAATCATAAAGTGGAGCACAAAATTTGCACTTGTTATAATAAGTGCTCAAATAATTAAACTAAAATTACATTAATCTGATATCAGATACTATAACAGATTTGTGTACACCCTCCCAAATTTTCACACAACAATCATTGACTCTTTCTTTCTACTCCCCATTTACAACTTAAGAAAGGTCATTACTTGTTTAAAAACTAACATCCTTTCCAGTACTTTTTTGGTTCAAGAGAAAGCCTAAACGGGAGAAAATTTTACTAAAATCATTCACCACCCACCTCCAGTCAGCAAGAAGAGAGTTAAATATCCCTAATAGCTTCACCAAAAGATCATAATTTTCCAAACAAAATAAACAACTGCATCTTTTTATTCAATCTTCCCAACTATACTCTGAATTCATCCAAGATCTCACTACTATTGAGATTCATCTGGTCTGGAGTTTGAGTTAAGGATGGAGTGACAGTAAAACAAACATTACTTTAACAAATCAAACGAAAACTAAAATGACATTCAATTCACATCAAATATACCAAACAATCGAACCCAATTAACAGATTGCTCTTAAATCAGTAGCGGAAACCTCCAGATTCAACCTTTTTTCACTCTTAGGGTTAAGTGACACACACAATAACATGAATACAGAAGCTTGCGGCAATAGAGTGAGGTCTCACCTCGATCTTCTGCTGTTCGAGATGCGCGGCAAGAAGCTCTTCTTGGGATTGAGCAGTCATGGTTACAAGATAGAGTGGGCAAGAGCGCAGATGAAGACTGGAAGGATGGAGACAACAACGATCCTAAAACCCTAGTAACAGTAATCCCTTCGGCCTGGATCTCTATCTATATACGCGGTGACCACGTAGCCAGGACGCGCGTGGACTGTTGGTTGGAGTAGGAAAAGAAAATCACCATTTTGTCCGATAAATGTTAGTATACGAATCAAGCCCAATTATATTAGTTGGGCCAGCCCGTACTCACCATGAAATGTGCATTTCTTATACCCTTTATTTGGGCCATCCCGTATTCACCAAGAAATGTGCAATTGTTATACCATGTACTAAAGTCCACAATGGCCCAACAATTATATGCATGTACTAAATATATTATGGCCAATTTGGTAAAATGACTGTTAGCTTTTAACTGGTTGTGTTAATTAGAGGGTATAACTAATTGATAACATTAGCTAATTGTAGAAATATGATTGGTAAATTAGTTGTTAGCTGATAGCTGTTTGGTATAATTTTTTTTTTTAAAAGTTAATTGAAAAAAATTGAATTAAACAGTTTTTTAAATTTTAGCATTTTGGATTTACAAAAAACTAATTAACCAAACATTTTTATTGATTTTTTAACGAAATCAAACAATTAATAGTAGTGAAAAAGCTAAAATTGACTTATAGACTGATTATTTTACCAAACAGGGCCTATGTATTTTTCGTTAATAAATTATATTCATGTAAATAAATTGATGAAACATAATATACTAACTATACACACATAATATATAAACTACATACATATAATATCTTAACTAGTTAACATATTATTATATGTTTGTAGTTAACATTTTATATGCTTTTAATTTATTTACATGCGCATAATAATCTGTTAACTATATATACATAATCTAAATGTCATTTTAAATCAAGATCCACAATGTAATGTAAATCATAATTGAGTATTATTTGTCAAAAATGGTAATTTGAATAATTTACATTTCAACCGTTTAGATAAGCAGTCTTACAAATTCTTGATGTAAACACTTTTATGTTGACTCACCTGATGAAAATAATTAATTTTTGTTTACCAAATCATAAAATACAAGGATATACAAGTTAAGAGTATGCATAGTATAACTCTAAATTGCAAATCGTACTTTTCTCTGCTTCAATTTCAAGGAGTAATCTACAATTTAACTCATTAGGGAAAAATAGTATATAAATAAGTTGATTAGTTGAAATTTAATTTGATTAAGGTGTGAAGTTCCAAAAAAACAAATATTAATAAATCTTCCGAGACTTTGAGGTAGGGCAAGTTTTGTATTTATTTTGAGGCGGACGCTCAACCAACTAAAACCTCCTTTTCGATTTCGATTTCGATTGTGAGCCTAACTCATTTGCAGGTAAACCAATAAATCAGAAAGCATAGCTCACAACCAATTCCAAAATCTTAATAATTTTTTATTTTTTTTTTACTTTCATTTATTATTCACAAGTAGACCAAATTTTGTCTCCATTTTTCTAAATTTGAAAAAATAAAATAAAATTATACAGTCAACTGACTTGACTATAATTTATCAGAATGCCTCATAAATGCTGTATATAAATTCTGAGACATGAAATTAAAGTAAACGGACCTATTTTGATAGACAGATAAATATTGCATTGCAACATCATATAATGCAAGATTTATCTGCGAATATAATAGATTTAGTTTGTTTTTTCTTTTTGTTTTGTTTTGTTTTTTTTTTGTTTTTGTTTTTTTTTGGATTCTTTCTGCATTTATTGTAACCTACTACAAGCAGGGGTATTCAACATAAACTTGAATCTTCTTTATAAAAGATAACAACAATGTCATGTCATCTAACCACAAAGTAAAAAGTTTACTCAAATATTTTTTTTTTTTCTTTTTGCCTAAGGAGAGACGTGAAACTCAATTTGTAGGAGGATTTATTGTGCACAATAAGCAAATGTCTAACCTCTGTATTCAGTTGAATTACCATGATTTATATCATTCCAAATGCTCTGTCAGGCCGGAACATGGTGCCCTTGAAGTTGGGGATTCAACCTTTTGGAAACAATGAAACTCAATTTTTAAAATTTGATTTTTTTTAAAGCAACTAAGTCGGTATATATTAGAGATAAGCTAAAATAGAGTCAGGAGGGATATCATCCCAATACATAGCAGTAGACTGACCAAATGCTATAGAAGCTAAAGTGTGAGCTAGTAAATTATCCAATCTAGGAATAAACTTGACTAGACAATAATTGAAATAAGAAATAAGAGATCTGCAACTGTCAATGGCATAGCCGGCGTATGAACGAATTGGAACACTTGTGGAAGACAGATAATGCTGAAGAGTTAGGCAACCCGTGAGAAGCTCTATAGACCGTTTTCCGCGATCCCTCAGCTAAGACAAGACTTCCTTGCATGCGAAAGCCTCGGCCATTAACGGAGAGAAACAATCCTGGAGATTGGCATTGAAGGCGGCAAGAAAACCCCCATTCTCGTCGAGAATCACCACCCCAACCGAGGCTTTGCTTGTCGAAGGGTGATATTCGGCGTCGAAGCGGCATGTGCGTGACGATAGTGCAACTGCATGATCCGGATCGGCAGAGTGGGTTGCAACAGTCTCGGCTGGTCCGACAGTGGTTGGCTGGTGGCCGCTGCCCGGATGCACCCGACGCCAAGTGTGCATGGCGGCAGTGGCAATCGCCACAAACTTCTTCGGCGTCGAAAGGTAAGTATCCCAAATCGCACAATTTCTTGCTCTCCAAATATAATATAGAATAGCAGCAAACATGAGTTCATTAGTGTCTAGAATATTCATAACTTCATCAAACCAAGAATGAAAAATATTTGTCATAATATTAGGGATTGAAAGGTGGGATTCACGCCACAGATGGAGCTTGCAAAATCACACAACACTAAAGAATGCATAGTATACTCGTGAGTAAGACCACACATGACACAAGTAGGATCAATCTCTACTCTCTTTATAAGCAAGTTCTTGATAGTGGGAAAGATATCACTTAAGCTCACCATAGAAATATTTTTTTATTTAGGGAGTTTTTAATTTCAATAGTGAGAGTCACTCATCAAAAATAAATGTGAATATCAAAATTGAAAATAAAGGTGGATGGGATAATTAAAAAAAACTTAATTTAGTATAGGAAAATTGAAAATGTGATCCGTTTAACCCACTCAAAATTGGGAGGTCTATATCAAACATTAAACAATTGTCAGTTATAAGAGGCAAATCAAGGCGTGTGTTTCATGACAATTGAGAAAAACAAAAGATACAAGTTTGAAGTTTATGTCTAAAGATTAGCACTTAGCAGCAGTAGAGTTACTTCTACAGTTCTACCATTCTTAGTTCCAACTTCATTTCTAACCCAACAACGACTGTTATTCTTAGTTTCTCACCAAGAAAAGCCTTTTTTCCCCTCTCTCTCCCAACACACAAAAGGGCAAAAGGGAAAGAGAAGGAAGGGTCGAGAAGATAGGCATGGGGATGGAGACTCTCTCACCAAACCACAACAGCTATGGAGACTAACAAAAACCCGCATTGCTGCTATTACCATTACAACTGTTCCTCCCAATGGGGAAGGTAGATGAAGAGCAGTCATTGCCGACAGCAGCAGTGGGTCAGCAGGGCACGGGGTCGAATGCAGCCAACAATAGATGCTGCAGCAGATTCAGGCTGTGGGTGAGCTTCAGATGTGTGTTTGCTCTTCTGCTTGCTCTGGCCGTCTTTCTCTCTGCCCTCTTCTTGCTCCCATTCTTCCACTCTCCAAATCCTGAGCCTCCGGATCCCGATTCCAGATTTGGAGGTACCCACTTTTTTTCTCTCCATTTTTTGGTCTATCAATTCCAGAACTTCACGCTATACCGACAGATCTCCTTTATTTTTTTAAAATGGTTTCATTTTGGTAAGTGGGTATTTATTTAAATTACAAATGCGAGCTAAGTTATTCATTTAATTTACTTGCTATTTTGAGTGATCATTTTTGCTGTTGGATTCTTGATCTTTTCTGGGTTAAGCAGAGCATTTTGAATTTTGAGTTTGTTTTAGTGGGATAAATTAGGTCAATTTTACTGGTTTTGAAGTGATAAACCTTGTCGGTGTTTTAGCAGTTTATTTCCAAATTGTAACGAATTTAGATGTGGATTGCATTTTGCTGGGCTTCAAGAAATGGAATTGACTAGGATAGTTTTTATAATGGTTTTGCTCAGTTTCTTCCCCCCTTTAGCTATATTTGAGGGTAATATTGTAACAGGGTATGATTTCAGTTGATTTCCCAAAAGTGAAAATTGGCCAACTTGAAATTTGAAATTGACATGTGAATGTAGGATTAAAGCTTTTTTTACATTAATTTTTCTGCATTGCCATTAAATCTTGTGAGTGGAAGTTTAAACATAAATAGGATAGATCACGCAAATTTGAAACATTTTCGCAGTTTCTGTCTTGCGAAATTTCATTTTGACCCTTTGCTTAATTGGCTTCTAAGTTTCATTTGACACTCAATAATCAGCTAGGGATAGTTTATCTGTTTTTTAATACTTGATATTACAAGAACTTCTTCTGCCTTCACTGGTGGATTTATTAGCAGTGCATAACCGGGCACTCTTTAGGTTCCCCGAGTGGTGTATGCTCACTCCCACAGGTTTTGAATGCCAATAATAAAGCTGGATTTAACTAACTAGTGCAAGCAATAAGGTATATCATTTTTTTTTAATAATTTTATCATGTTAGCAGTTCTTGATATCTGCATGACTAAATGATCGTGGTACTCTTCTCCAAGAATTCTTGGTTGTGGTGATATGGTGAAAATCAATATTTAACCCACTCCTTTCAGAAAAAAGTAATGTAATATTTCAATCCCGCTCAGTCTTCCTCATGAAGACATCCTTAGAGCACAAGTGACAAGTCAGACTCATGAAAGAAGGTAAGTGAGACAAATAATGTGGTATGGAGCCCTGTAACCTTAATGCATAGTTCTCCGCTCTGGTGATGTTAAGGTATAATGATAAATGACTTCCTGATGATGTTGGATGTAAGTAGTTAATGTTCTTATTGCTTCACCTTTCTTTTAAAAAAACATGTCAAACAAAGTGATAATTATCTGTAGATTGCTAATGAGATTGGATACGAATTTATGACCGTTAATGGTGTTTTCTTTCATGAAGTTTATTCCCACTGTGACCTGAATTTCATCTGCCTTTCTTCAAATTTGGAAGGTATTTGCTTTTTCATTTTTGTGTAGTAATTTGTTTTTGTATTGTACTATTTTCCAGGTTATGACATAGTAGCTAGGTTCATGCTCGATAAACCAGACTGGTTCTTGGAAGATTATATCTTGCAACTTGAAGATGATATCTTTGATGAAATAAATGTTGCTCAGACAAAAGTATAGTATTCCCTGCAACCCTTCTTTTGTTTTTCCTTTTTGTACTTGTCAGTTTTGGCTATTTCTTCCAATTCTCATCTCGGGGGTTTCTTATAACAGGTCGATATAATATCTTTTGAAACTTCACCCGGATTGAACACAACAACAGTTATCTTTGCTGTTGATTCTGATGTCAAAACTATGAGGGTCTCTCCGACAGCTCAGAGTTTAGTCAGGGCCAATTTTGAATCTATACTTGTTCATCAATCAAATCTGCGCTTGACTACTGCATCTTTGTTTGGGGATCCGTTATCTTTTGATGTGCTGAAGTTCAAAGGAGGGATTACTGTGAGCCCGACGCAGAGTGCATTCCTCATGCAAAATCAGCAGTTCCATTTCAACTTCACCTTGAACTTTTCCATTAAGGAAATACAAGATAATTTTGATGAGCTACGGGGGCAGCTCACTTCGGGCTTGCATCTTGCTGCATATGAGGTCTGTCAATATGATTTGTTTTCATCCCCCATAAGATGCACCAAAAAATATCAGCTTTATATGGTATAAATGGCATGATAATTACAGTTTTATTTGTTTCTTTAATTCGTGCAGAACTTGTATATCAGCTTGACAAATCTAAGGGGTTCAACTATTGATCCTCCCACCATTGTTCGGTCTCAAGTTCTTTTAGCAGTTGGGATTAAGCCTTCAAGGTCTAGAATGAAGCAGTTGGCTCAAACAATTACTGGTCCTCATGCCAAAAACCTTGGCCTCAATAACACTGTTTTTGGTAGAGTTAAACAAGTGAGCCTTTCTTCAAATTGGACGCGCTTACTTGGGGGTCCCGATGCTGGCAGCCCCTCACCTTCTCCGGCCCCTCTGCCACACCATAGCCACAACCAACATACTAATCTTGCTCCTGCATTTTCACCTTCCACGAAAACTGGGAAGAGCGGGGAGAAACCACCGGTGCTTGCACCTGCCCCTGCGCCTTCTCCACACTTACATAAGATTCATCAAGTCAAGCCTCCCGCTTGTCCTTTTGGCCCAAAGGGGAGGCCTCCGAGTAAAACACATAAACAAAATCATATGGCACCTCCAGTATATGCACCAAATGCTGCTCCCGCTTCCTCATTGAAACCACATGGAGAGGCTCCAGCACCTAGCCCACATGAAGTTCCTACACCGAGCCCACTGCCAAATGTAGTTAATACCCGTGTTCATCCCCCGTCAGGAAGTAATTCTGATGCAGAGCCTCCTGACAAATTGCGTTTAGTTTCGCACATCCCATCATCAGGTGAGTACAGTAATCTTTATCAGAAAAGTGACGGCAGCATGAAGCTAATGCTCATTTTTCACCAATGGCAAAACCAATTTGGCCAAAGTGTGCTCCTTAATTGGACTGGCCCGGTGCGAATATGGATTAGTCTGAGTATGGTACGGGCTTAAAGGTGCCTCCTACAATTAAAGCCAGCTCAGGACACCTTATGGTCTGACCAAAAAAAAAAAAGTCTCTGGCCTTACAGGCAGTATAACAAAATTCTATTTTATTCTGTTTTCTTTCATTTCTCCGTGTGATTGTTAAGCTGATGCGCTTCTTCTTCTTGCAGCATCCACAGTTCTTTATTCAAATTTATGGGCTCTTCCTCCATTTCTACTTGCACTACATCTATAGCAGCGGAAAGAGAAGCAAAAAATTTTTTTTTTTCCAACAAATTCACCTCCTATATTCGGGGAAGGAGTTCAGTACAACACAATGGAGGAAATTTGAAGGCAATGTGAGAGCGATGATGCGGCATGCCCCTCAGCTCACTTTTGAGTAGATACCATATATATATATATGTATTTTGTGCGTGTAAATATGTGATAAAACTTAAGGTGGTAGATGGATTTTCAGGTCAAAGTCACAGAGGTGACGGGCCTGACATGACATGCATTGTTAATTGTTATGTATGATCTGTCTTCTACGTAAGATGTAAGGAGGGAATGAAATGAAACTAGCAAATGTATAAAACTATGCCCTTTTTGTTTCCATCATTGACCTTCCATGTCCAGTGGTTAGCTTTTGTTCAGTGTTCATTCAGATTGAACGCTATATCATATACTCATATATCATTTGTGCAATCCAAGTGTAATTGTCCTCATTTGAGACATTGAGGGTAGAGTGTAAGGCATCAAGTTGATACTCCTCAAATGTTGCACGGAATGGTGGTGTGGATGAAGATGCTTAAAGGATGGCTTATGCTCCTCAAGAGAGTGGCTTATGTTCGTTTGTAACATAGATTACTAAACAGGCAACAAACCAACGCCAAGGATGAAGGGATAATTAAGTCAGGGTTATCAGTAAACAGGCATTTTTAAAGTATTTTTTTTATTTAAATCTTAATAATTAAGTCAGGGTTTTAATGGGAGTTTGAAATTTAGTAAATTTAATAGAGAATTAATATTAGAATAAAAATTTAAATGTAAAATTGTAATACGGATAGAAAGATAGAAAATAATATATTATATTAAATTATTTTATTAGGAATTGTATTACACTATTTTACAATATCAGAATAAAATTTTTAGAAATTAGGCGGGAAATTAAAGTTGATGATTTTGTTTGTATATATAACTAGTATTTTCACCCGTGCGATGCACGGAATGGAATTGTTGTAATATATTAAGAATATTTAAATCGATATATAATTATTTAAGAGTTAATTTCACCAGAGGTCGTTTATCTTTCCTGACAATTCCAAATTTAATCCTAGACTATAGTTATTAATTATTACAATTTATTCTATGTTACAACTCTTACGTTAATATTCTTACTATTATTATTAACACTTAATTACTTTTAGATATTATTATTATTACCACTTATATTATTATTATTATTATTATTATTATTATTATTATTATTATTATTATTATTATTATTATTATTATTAGTTTCTTTTCAAGTACTATTAGTATATAATGGTCGTGGGGCACAATAATAATATAACCATAATTAAATATTTTTGTATTGTATTCCGGAGTTAATGTCATTTTTGGTCCTAGACTTATTGAGGCATTGACACTTTTCATCCTCCATAATAAAAATTGTCACTTAGTAGACACTGTTATTGGTCGTTGGACAGTTTTGATCTTCCGTCAATGAAGTCGTTTGTTGACCATGAATTAGAAGGGCTTTTCTGTCTTTTTATGTCTTATTCTTCTAATCTTGTTTAGACCAGCGCTGCTGTGACTCCTGTGAGGTGAGATGGCGAGACTTGGCAGCTAAGTAGTAACCGTCGGTAGTGAGTAGCAGCGAGGTTCTTCTCCGGCGAGTTGTGGGTACGGCGGCGAGCATACGAGGCAGTAACTCCTTCCGGCGACGGACCTGTAAGGCAGATCTGGCGGTGCAGCAACAGATCCGGCGAGGTTGGGGCCTTCACCGGTGGTTTTTGGTTCCAGCGAAGCAGAGAGGGCAGCAGGTCGGCGAACCCTCCTATGGTAAATAGCAGTTGTAGTTGTAGATGGCGTGATGTAGAATTTGCACCTGTAAGTCCTCCCTTCCATATTGACCACAAACATCCTTCACATCTCTCTCTCTCTGACCACAACTACTTGGTGCACAACCTCAAAAACTCTGTTATTCTACCTGAAATTCATTGAAGTTTCAAGCTGAAAATGTGGAATCCGCCGCTCCCCAAAAATCACATTGTCTGAGGTGTTGGAATGGCCGGTGTTGACTTCCTGGCTGCTATAGCTTCATTCCCCAACCCGGATGATAAAATTCGGAGCACCAGCTTTGAGGTTCAAGGAGGTGGTAACACTAGCAATGCGTTGATAAAATCCGGATGATAAAATTTGTCTTGGTCTTAATCCAAGGATCATATCTAATGTTGCTGATGACTCGCATGGCGAATGAATACTTGATGAGCTTGAAAGGGATGGTGTTGATACATCTTTTATGGCGGTGTCCAAAGGAGGAAACTCACCATTCACATATGTCATTGTTGATAACCAAAAAAAAAAAAAAAAAAAAAAAACTCGCATGTGCATTTTCACTCCAGGATATCCGCCCATGATATCTGAGGGTCTACATACCCAAATCAAAATTGTCTTCAGCGCTTGGAGTAAATATTGTCTACTTAGATGGAAGACTGCATGGGACTGCTTTGATTGTAGTGTAGGAGGCAAAGAGTAGGGACATACCTATTATAGTTGATGCAGAAAGGTTAAGGGAGAGGTTGGGTGATATTCCTGACTTTGCTAGTTATGTTGTATGCTTGACAAAATTTCCACAGGCATGGACTAACGCCCTTTCTATTACAACTGCACTTGTTTCCATTATCTTGAGATTGATGTCAAATGTAAAATTTGTGATTGTTAGTTGGGTGAAGATGGTTTCTTAATGTTAGAAAGGACTGAAGCGGATAACCTCAGTTTGAAGAAATGGATGTAGCAGTGACCAATGGATGGAGAAATACAAGGATTAGAACATAAAAAGACAGAAAAACGTAACCCTTCTCATTCACGGTCAACAAACGGCGTCATTGACGGAGGATCAAAACTGTCCAACGATCAATAACAGTGCCTACTAAGTGACAATTTTTATTATGGAGGATGAAAAGTGTCAATGCCCCAATAAGTCTAGGACCAAAAATGACATTAACTCTTGTATTCCGTGAGTCACAATAATAATATAACAATAATTAAATATTGTTCAATTCTATATTCTTCTAGGATTTCTATTACCATCATTAATTATTCCTAAATTTACCATAATTAAATAATTTGACCAATTATAAAGAAAGATTATTAAATAATGTACGGGACAATTGTTTAATTAAAATTTTTAAAAATTCATTAATAAAACATAAGGTTCTCATAGTTTTTTCTTAAAAACTCTTTAATAAAGTATTTTTTTTAAAAATTGGTGGGTCAAACCGCCTACGGCAGTTTGCGGTGGATAGATCTCGAAAAAATACGCAATTTCAAAAAAACATTTGTCCAAAACGGACAAGGGAGTCAAAAGTTATGCCTTGCCGAACTTTTGACAATTTACAACTTAAAAAAATAAAAAATAAAAAATTAAAGGCCGGTTCAGCCGGCGAGGCAGCCGCTGAGGATGCCAATTCCGGCCTTCCTCGCCGCGGCCAGCGACACGATTTTTGCAACACTAATATATAAAATAGATATAGATAAGAATAGGAATAGTATTACACAATTTTATAATATTACAATAAAATTTTAACCCAGAATTATTGTAGAAATCAATATATTTTATTAGGAAGAGAGATTTATTAGGAATTGGGCGGGAAGTTAAAATTTCAGGATTTTGTTTTTATACATAGTATAGATAGTATAGATTGTATTACACTATTTTATAATATTAGAATAGAATTTTAAAGCAGAATTATTGTACGAATGGGACAGTAGAAATCAATATATTTTATTAGGAAGAAAGATTTATTAGGAATTGGGCGGAAAGTTAAAATTTCAGGATTTTGTTTTTATATATAGTATAGAAGTATAGATTGTATTACACTATTTTATAATATTAGAATAGAATTTTAACGCAGAATTATTGTACGAATGGGAAAGTAGAAATCAATATATTTTATTAGGAAGAGAGATTTATTAGGAATTGTGCGGGAAGTTAAAATTTCAGGATTTTGTTTTTATATATAGTATAGATTGTATTACACTATTTTATAATATTAGAATAGAATTTAAACGCAGAATTATTGAACGAATGAGAAAGTAGAAATCAGTAGATTTTATTAAGAAGAGAGATTTATTAGGAATTGGGCGGGAGGTTAAAATTTCAGGATTTTGTTTTTATACATAGTATAGATATAGATTGTATTACACTCTTTTTTAATATTAGAATAGAATTTTAACGCAAAATTATTGTACGAATGGGAAAGTAGAAATCAATATATTTTATTACGAAGAGAGATTTATTAGGACTTGGGTGGGAAGTTAAAATTTCAGGATTTTGTTTTTATATATAGTATAGATATAGATTGTATTACACTATTTTATAATATTAGAATAGAATTTTAACGCAGAATTATTGTACGAATGGGAAAGTAGAAATCAATATATTTTATTAGGAAGAGAGATTTATTAGGAATTGGGCGGGAAGTTAAAATTTTAGGATTTTGTTTTTATATATAGTATAGATTGTATTACACTATTTTATAATATTAGAATAGAATTTTAAAGCAGAATAATTGTACGAATGGGAAAGTAGAAATCAATATATTTTATTAGGAAGAGAAATTTATTAGGAATTCGACGGGAAGTTAAAATTTCAGGATTTTGTTTTTATATATAGTATAGATTGTATTACACTATTTTATAATATTAGAATAGAATTTTAAAGCAGAATTATTGTACGAATGGGAAAGTAGAAATCAATATATTTTATTAGGATGAGAGATTTATTAGGAATTTGGCGGGAAGTTAAAATTTCAGGATTTTGTTTTTATATATAGTATAGATTGTATTACACTATTTTATAATATTAGAATAGAATTTTAACGCAGAATTATTGTACGAATGGGAAAGTAGAAATCAATATATTTTATTAGGAAGAGAGATTTATTAGGAATTGGGCGGGAAGTTAAAATTTCAGGATTTTGTTTTTATATATAGTATAGATATAGATAGATAGATAGATTTAATTTAATTACTCTTTAACAATATTAGTAAATCCATTATAAATTTATAGACATGTTATGTTTAACAACAATAAATTAATTTTTATTGACTTATCAATTATCATTAAAACTCTGCATTGAGAGAACTTCATTAACTTTAAAATAATTTGTTATGACATAATTTTTATTTTTATTTTATTTGTATAAAATGTAAAAGTTCAGCGGTTTATTTGACATTTTTTGCGCCCACCTAATCATCAGCATCGTAACCGATCATGATCCGTGGCCTTTTTCTCTCCACCGCATTGTGGTACAGCTTGGCATGCAACTTGGCTATCCTGACATCCCGCTTGTCTACCTTGGCCTGCATCTCCTTAAGCAAACTGTGTATTCTCATCATAGAAGCCTCCAATTTCTCATATCCCGCCATCAATTTAACACGCTCACTATCACTCAGTTCATTGTTGCTCAACTGAACCTCAACCTGGAGGAAACAAGTGTAAAATTTTAAATCCAATTAACTCATTTAATCCAAATTCCAAGCAATCTAAATCTGAAATGCAGGGATTAAGAATTCAAAATTGCATAAGAGAAATTGAAAAGAATACAACACAACACAATCTAAATCTGAAATGCAAGAATTAAAAATTCAAAATTGCAATAGAGAAACCGAAAATGATACAACACAATCTACAATCGGAATGCAAGGGATTAAGAATTCAAAATTGCAATAGAGAAAACGAAAAGAATACAACATAATCTAAATCTAAAATACAATGCAGGAATAAAGAATTCGAAATTGCAGTATGAAAATCGAAAAGAATAGAACACCATCTACATTTAAAATACAATGCAGGGATTACAAATTCGAAACTGCAGTAGAGAAACATAAAAGAATACAACACAATCTAGATATGAAATACAATGCAAGAATTAAGGATTTAAAATTGAAGGCAGTAAAGAAACCAAAAAAAAAAAAAAAAACAATCTAGATTTGAAATATAAGGATTAAGAATTAAAAATTGTCGTAGAGAAAGAAGGCTACTTTTGGCATAGAAACACAATACAATATTGAGATGTATACCCTGGTAGAGATTAGCAATGATATATTACTCCAATTTATATATATAACAAATTATATAAAAGTCAATCTATATTAGAGAATCGAAATGAAGGAATCACCATTGCCACAGCTGCCCTTCACCCCATCCCACCCTATATATAATCTTTGTTTTTATATATATATATATATATATATATATATATATATATATATATATATATATATAGTACATATTTTAGTATATGTCAGGGTAAAGCTTGTCTACCTTGACAAGCAGCTCGTCAAGCAAACTTCGCTTTTTCGGGATAGAAGCATACCACTTGTCATATTCCGTCTCAAAATTAGCACACCTCTGACCCTCACTCAGCTCATCGTTGCTCGTCATAACCTTAACCCGGAAAGAAGTGCAGAATTTTAAATCCAATTAACTAATTTAATCCAAATTCCAAGCAATCTAAATCTGAAATGCAGGGATTAAGAATTCAAAATTGCATAAGAGAATTTGAAAAGAATACAACACAACACAATCTAAATCTGAAATGCAAGAATTAAGAATTCAAAATTGTAGTAGAGAAATCGAAAAGGATACAACACAATCTGCATCCGAAATGTAGGGATTAAGAATTCGAAATTGTAATAGAAAAACTGAAAAGAATACAACAGAATCTAGATCTAAAATACAATGCAAGGATTAAGAATTTGAAATTGCAGTATGAAAATAAAAAAGAATAGAACACCATCTACATTTAAAATACAATGCAGGGATTACGAATTTGAAATTGCAATAGAGAAATAAGAAAAGAAAACAATACAAATAGATCTGAAATACAATGTAGGAATTAAGAATTAGAAATTGAAGGAAGTAGAGAAACCAACAAAAAACACACACACAATCTTGATCTGAATTATAGGGATTATAAAATCAGAATTGTAGTAGAGAAAGGAGGTTACTTTTGAGATAGAAAGACAATACGATATTGAGATTTGTCCGGTGTACCCTGGTAGAGATTATCAATGATATATTACTCCAATTTATTCTATATATAATAACAAATTATATAAAAGTAAATCTATATTAGAGAATCGAAAAATTAAATAAATTTTAATTTTGCATCAAAATGAAGAAATCACCATTGCCACTAAAAAACGTGTGGACATGAGAAGAAGTCATGACATTTATATTTTATATTTTATATTTTTCAACTGTTTTCTTTTTAAGCTAAAAATTAAAATATAATAAAATTTACTTAATTTATTTGGTTTCTTTTAGCCATGGAAAATGTGAAAGATATTAGTCTTTGTTAGTATTTTATACTTGTACCTCAACTATGTAATTGGTAATATTAGATTAGGACTTAGCTTAATTGGTTTGTGACAATTGAAGATGTGTTGAAACAAAACATGCACACCTTATGCATGCATTTTACACATGGTACTAAGATAAACATCTTAAGGCAATTTACAAAAATATACAAGTATATTGGGATATTTATGGTTAAGGGATGATCTCAACCTTACGAGTGAAAGGATAAATTAAATTTACATGAAAATCAGAGTATTAGGAAATACTTTGATTGGATGTCCCAAGGCTTTGCTTGCAGCTATGTCAACATAACAGGGCATTTGGTTAGGCGGAGGAAATGAGAAGGATAATGAATTGTAATTCAGTGGGAAAAAAATAAGGTGAGAATAAAGTAGAAATTTGAATTACATTGTTTGGTAGAGAGAAATTGAATTATTAAAAATGTCAAAGGAATAAATGATATAAAGACTAAAATGTCTTTTGTAATAATAATAACTAAGGACAAAAATGTCATTCTCTTATCTTTTTCCTTTCCATACTAGATTGAGTTGGAATTCAAAGTGGGAGACATGAATTCCAATTCAAACCCCCTAATTGGTACAGAGCAGTCAAAAGTTAAAACACTGATCTTTTAGATGACTACAATCTATCTTTATCTTATTCGTAATATTTGCTCAACAACATGATATGTCAACATCATTGATTCTTGAACATGTGACCTTCCATATAAAAGGACTACAATGATACCATCAAACTGCAAAGTTCTTGCCCACCACACTAATCTATGCATCATGGAATTGCACCTATGAAATATGAAATTTGGAACAAGTTTTCCTACTTACAACTTTTCTACTCAAAATTTTTTATACCATAATAAAACTAGATTTACTGTTTCCCATCAATACTGAAGAGCAAATTTTGCTTCCAATCCTTTCATCAACAAAAAATAGTCAAAATGGAAAATCCCTCTAAATATTAAAGATTTATTAAAACAATTTGGTAGAATCCTATCTGGCTAACATTTTTGGAGGATTGTTTAGTTAAGAGCAACCCCAATAGGAATTTTTTTTATTGATTTTTGCAATAGTACAAAATTAAAGAGTTGGTTTTTGTCAAATGGGAAACATAGTTTTTATCCCTTTTTTTTAAATGAAAATACATGATTTTTGTAAGAAAAAAGAAAAAAGAAAAAGAAGGAAACACGCGTTTGGAGCGTATTGCGCACCCCAGCGGGGCAGCAGGTGCATGTTTCACACGCCCCAGTTGGGACGCTTCAAAGTGGACTCTGAGATGGTTCTATCTTTTTTTTTTTGGCCGTTGCAAATTTCTTTTTATTTATTTATTATTATTTTTTTAAAAACCTCTATTTATTTGTCAAACACTTATACTATTGTTAAATTTTGACCTCTTTTTTTTTTTTCAAGGGGGATACCCATACAACCTATGCCTACACTGAGGCTCAAAACCTAGACCTCCCACATAGGGGAGCAATCCAATACCAGTGGACCACAAGCCACCGGTGTTATACTTAATTTTGTTGTTAAGTTCTTTACAATTATAAATTTATTTTAATTTTGATATGTTTAATTTAAATATAATAAAAATAATAATTGTAATTATAATTTTTATAATGACAATAAAAAAAATAATTAAAATATAGTATAGTAAATTGGTGGGTCCATCAAAATTTGAGAAAAAACTTAAAACTTAGAGATATGGAGAGAAGGGTTTTTGAGATTGAGTGAAATACTTAGATGATGAGGTAAATGCTGGGATCCACCAAAAACTTAGAGAAAAAATCACTAAGAAAAAACTAAACTATTGAGGTTGCTCTAAAGTCTAAACAATGAGATTACTTATCCCAAACTTCCACCTTCCCCAAAGACTATTCGTATCCCTACTTTTAGTCCAATCTTCCTATCCCATGAACCAAACCCCTTTGCAATATGAAATTGTAGCATCTTATCACAACTACCATCATTCTGGATTGACTACCAAAAAAATTCTCTCATCTGATGCTTTATGTTTCTGGCTTTCACTTAAGATTCATAAATAATGCATAGCTTAACCTGTTCAGCATGTACATTTAAAGCTCTAAGTCTACAGCTTCGGTTTTTAATTTCTAACCTGTCCACTGAATTTAATTTCTACATGGTTCGATTTCTCCTTAAACACATAATTGTCCACCACAATTCAGCTATGAAATCAAGAACAGCAGTTGCAGGAAAGCTGAAAGAACAATTACACTCATAGATCATCATATTTTATAGTGTTTCACATCCAAATTTAAAAGTCCCAGAACATAACTTGTAAACCTACTCTGTAACATGTCACATCTACAACAACCAGGTGTAATGTTGTTGAACCATAAGCATTTACATTCAATATTTTACTCATTCTCGATAGAACTTATCACATATATATCACCTGGAATTCACTGCAACAAATATAAAATGAATTCAATTGCAACTCCAAAAACTACAAACAATCTAATGACAGAATACAAATCAGCACAATTATAGAACCAGTGTTCGTTGTAGCCAAAGTAGAAAGAAAAAGCCAGAAACTTCTCCAAAGAAATAGCACAATAAATTTCCACTCTGTATTTCAATTAGACTTGAGGTATGAAGAACCTATATGCTGCACATTCAATTCTATCAAATAAACGGTAAGAGCGAAAAGCACCAGAATCCCAAACGCGGCCAAGTTAGAAAGGTGGAAAACCCTAAAAATTTAAGGGAATCCATAATTCAAATGCAGCTTAGCAAAATTTCACAGGAATCCGCAGCAGAGTTTTGGTTTGGAAAAAAATTTGGACCATTTCTCGATTTGTGCGTGTCATCCTTGCGCAGGGGCCATGCTAATCTTCTCTGTATCGTTCCAATTTTATCGGATGTCCCCGAAGGGACGTTCTTGTTCTTCAATGGCGAACTATGTGTACTGGAAAATAGCTGCTTCATCGCCCGATGTGGGAGCTGCACAGAGAAAAGCGAAGTTCTGAAGACAGACCATTGTTCCAATGTTCCTTATAGCGGCCCATTAAGGCAGGTAAGCCCAGTCCAAAATTTTCAATCTATCAATTCCAAAATGTGTAATGTGTATACAATAAATATTTTCTCCCGTTTCTTACAAAATATTATATTTATTTATGTTTGTCCACATATATTTAAACCAGTTTTCAATACAATCATTATACCATGGTCTATCTTGTACATTTTTTTTTTATTGAATGCCTACTAACTCTATTACATTGCACCAAATAATGAACCTTCAATACTTACATAATGTACATTTTTAATATATTAAATATTCACTTTTTGAATGTACATTATGTAAGTACCGAAGGTTCATTATTTGGTATACTATCAAATAATGTATCTTCAATATATTAAAACTGAACATTTATTCATAATCCACAATATAATGTGTTTTCAATATCATACTGGTAATAAAAATTATTTTTCTTGACCCATTTCCAAATGGCAAAATTTCCATTTTTATTGACATAATATCGTATAGAAAATTAAATAATTTAATCTATGAATTTTGCAATAGAAAAAAAAATTATGAAAATTGCTTACTAAAATTATATGTATATGTTCAACTGAAAATGCATTGAAACCCTTAAATAGGACATGAATATATCAAGAATATCTAATAAAAAGCTCTACCAAATTACAATTTAGGTACAATAATAATGAAAAAATGGGGATCGTCAACTTAAGAAAGCAATAACTTTTAGCATCGTATTTTAAATCTTCAATCATAATAAAAATCGGATCTATTATTTCATATATTTCAACTTGTGCTAAAACAGTAATAATTATTTGTGTTTCGCCCCAGATCGCTTGATCACTGATAACATCATGGTGGCTTTTGAACTACAACACTACTTTAAAAGGAAGACTGCTTAAATTGGCCATGAGTAAGGCGTATGACATGGTAGAATGACCCTTACTACGCAACATTATGCTGAAAATGGTGTTTGAAAATCATTGGGTTAACTTGATGATGGAATGTGTGTCCTTTGTTGATTACTATATTTTAAAATAATGGAGAGGAGATTGGTCCAATTATCCCGCAAATAGGGTTTTGCCAAGGTGATCCTTTATCTCCTACATCTTCCTTATTATTGCGGAAGGATTTAGTGCCATGCTCAATGATTATGAATCTAGGGGTAATCTATGCTCAAGTGTTTTGTGTTTTTATGTTTACTAAACAATCAACACATACGTTAGCTCGACAGTCCATTTCTAAGTCTGATTGTTCGGAGTGGTTATCCAACCCTCCCCTATCATCTGTAATATATTGTCTTCGGACTTGTATTAATGTTATATTTTCTTCAAAAAAAAAGAGGCTATGTTTAAAGAATCAACATATAAAATAACTGCTGCTAAAGCCTCCCGTTTTAGCGGTTTAGCCTATCTAAATAGGGGCCAAAAAATTTAAAACCCGTCCCGTCTTTTTTGTGGGACGGGACGAGTTAATCTGGCAGACTAAACCCATTTTGACGACTTTAATTGTGGTAGCCAACCGAGAAGTCATCTTCTGGTCCTCCTGAATGCAAAAACCACACAACTCAAAGAAACAGAATACATCATCTACTAATAAGATGATAAAAGAAGCAATATACTAATAGTATAGTTGAAATTAAATTTTAAAACATCAATTTAGTTATCCTGATCAGCTCCATTTATGATAGATTGGAAATTGGAATTACTAGAGTAGCTTCATAAATAATGTCATCAGCATGCAAACACTATATTTGCAATTGTGTTTACCAAAAGTCAAGAAAAAAAAAAGAGGAGAGTTGATGTATAAGTTGGAAAAATGAATGAATGTCATACTATAATTATGTTAAGAATGTTATGCCTTTTCTTTGATTAAATCAAACCTTCTTCATTGTAACATAATTTTTATTTTTATTTTTTTAATATCAAAGCTATATTGCTTTAATTAGAATATACATTTTATTACGAATTGTTCTACTATATTTTGGACAAAATTTCTCTCCATTTTAAAGATTTAAATACAAAATTTTGTTATCATTAACTAGTATTTTCACCCGTGCGATGCACGGAATGGAATTGTTGTAATATATTAAGAATATTTAAATCGATATATAATTATTTAAAAGTTAATTTCGCCAGAGGTCGCTTATTTCTCCTGACAATTCTAAATTTAATCCTAGACTATAGTTATTAATTATTACGATTTATTCTATGTTATAATTCTTACGTTAATATTCTTACTATTATTATTAACACTTAATTACTTGTAGATATTATTTTTACCACTTATATTATTATTATTATTATTATTATTATTATTATTATTATTATTATTATTATTATTATTATTATTTATATTATTATTATTATTAGTTTGGTTTCGAGTTTTGTTATTATATAATGGCCGTGAGGCACACAATAATAATAATATAACCACAATTAAATATTCTTGTATTGTAATCCGTGAGTCACAATAATAATATAACAATAATTAAATATTCTTCAATTCTATATTCTTTTAGGATTTCTATTACCATCATTAATTATTCCCTAATTTACCATAATTAAATAATTTAAAAATTCATTAATAAAACATAAGGTTCTCATAGTTTTTCCTTAGAAACTATTTAATAAAGCATTTTTTTTTTAGAAATTTGTGGGGCAAACCGCCTGCAGTAGTTTGCGGTGGATAGATCTCGAAAAAATACGCAATTTCAAAAAAACATTTGTCCAAAACGGACAACCGAGTAAAAAGTTATGCCTTGCCGAACTTTTAACACTTCACAACTTTTACCCAGAATTATTGTACGAATGAGAAATTAGTAATCAATATATTGTATTGGCAAGAGAGATTTTTTAGGAATTGGGCGGGAAGTTAAAATTTCATGATTTTGTTTTTATATATAGTATAGATTAGATGTGCAAAGGGAATTGTATTACACTATTTTATAATTTTAGAATAGAATTTTTACCTAGAATTATTGAACAAATGAGAAATTAGAAATCAATATATTTTATTGGGAAGAGAGATTTTTTAGGAATTGGGCGGGATGTTAAAATTTCATGATTTTGTTTTTATATTTAGTATAGATTAGATGTGCAAAGGGAATTGTATTATACTATTTTATAATTTTAGAATAGAATTTTTACCCAGAATTATTGTACGAATGGGAAATTAGAAATCAATATATTGTATTGGGAAGAGATATTTTTTAGGAATTGGGCGGGAAGTTAAAATTTCATTATTTTGTTTTTATTTATAGTATAGATTAGATGTGCAAAGGGGAATTGTATTACACTATTTTATAATTTTAGAATAGAATTTTTACCCAGAGTTATTGTACGAATGAGAAATTAGAAATCAATATATTTTATTGGGAAAAGAGATTTTTTAGGAATTGGGCGGGAAATTAAAATTTCAGGATTTTGTTTTTATATATAGTATAGAAGTATAGATTAGATGTGCAAAGGGAATTGTATTACACTATTTTATAATTTTAGAATAAAATTTTTACCCAAAATTATTGTACGAATGAGAAATTAAATATCAATATATTTTATTGGGAAAAGAGGTTTTTTAGGAATTTGGCGGGAAGTTAAAATTTCATGATTTTGTTTTTATATATAGTATAGATTAGATTTGATGTGCAAAGGGGAATTGTATTATATTATTTTATAATTTTAGAATAGAATTTTTACCCAGAATTATTGTACGAATGGAAAATTTGAAATCAATATATTGTATTGGGAAGAGAGATTTTTTAGGAATTGGGCGGGAAGTTAAAATTTCATGATTTTGTTTTTATATATAGTATAGATTTTAAGGGAAAAAATTAGTATTGAAAATATCAAAGGAGAGTTTTCAAGAGAAAGAGTTCACATAAAACTACAATTGATGTTTTCAAGATATTTTAATACCCAAAATTATACTCCTGTAATATTTAAATTAAATACTTATTTGGGATGTCGTTGGAGTTTGAGTGGGCACTTGTACTTCACGCGCTAATAATTTGTATTTTGTAACGCCTATATATATTGACCAGTCCACCTTCTTCTTCAGTGCTTCTCTCTTTTCTCCTAAAATCCTGAAGACCTAAACCTACCTCCATGACCATGGCTATGGAAATCGGCATTGTTGAATACGTTGACCAATCCCCCGATCTTTTTAACGTTCAATTCCACAGAGAGTGTATCAAAACCTTGGTCACCCATGAAGCCAGAAAGGTCGATGAGTGGATCTCTGAGGTGGAGGCCATCCATCGCCACCGTCTGAACCACCTGATCGTCGGCCTCGACGTAGAGTGGCGCCCCAATTTCTCCAAGGCGCAGCAGAACCCGGTGGCGACTCTCCAGCTCTGCGTGGGGCGCCGCTGCCTCGTATTCCAACTCCTCTACTGCAGCCGCATCCCGGACAAGCTCGTCAGCTTCCTCGCGAACCCCGCCTACACCTTCGTCGGGGTCGCGATCGACGGCGACGTGGAGAAGCTGGTGGAAGACTACAATCTGAGTGTGAGGAAGGCCGTGGATTTGCGTGCCCTAGCTGTGCGGCAGTCCAACGATTCGTCTCTGAAGAACGTTGGATTGAAGGATCTGGTGAGGATTTATCTGGGGGCGGAGATGGTGAAGCCGAAACGGGTGACGATGGGGAGGTGGGATAAAGAGTTGCTAACCACAGAGCAGATTCAGTATGCGTGCATTGATGCTTTTGTGTGTTTTGAAATTGGCAGGATTTTGAATGCTTCTTCTTCTGCTCATTAGAGTAATGACTAATTCACTAGACTATATATGAGGACTGCTTTATTTTGCTAATGCCAACTGCAGCTGTTATATTTGATTCTGTATTTCTGCAACTATGTAGTAGGAGGAGTGTTATTAAGATGATCAATTAATTAGTATATTGGGGATTATCTCTAAGCCAGTTTCGTTGGTGTATAATTGTATATACATTGGTGTGTATAAATGTCTTCTTTTCCTTCACCTCCACTTCTTCTTCAGTGTCAGGGCTGATTACAATCACAGCTTCAGGTTTAGGCTTGACAGTAACCTTCTTCTGAGCAGGCTGCTTTCTAGGCACTTTAGCTGCCTGATTTGCAGCAACCCCACCCACATTCACAGCAGCAAATCAAGATGAAGGCAGGACAAGTTCTTTAGAACAGATTTACAGCAAAACACAATAATGGGTCCTAAGCATTCAAAACACAAGTTCTTATCAGCTGCTGCAGCTTGCGCATTAGCCAATAGTTGTGCACAAAAACCCCTTGTGAGGGGGCGAGACACCTGAGGAAGCTGGTGCTTGCTTTCAGCCCCTCAAATGGTAACCATATTGCCAATATCCCCAAGTGCCCGCCGGTTCCTTCCCTCTGCTGCCATGTTCTTTTGGTTTATTCCCCAGGGACTCCCTCAACTGCAGTTAATTTGCATTAGGCAAGAAAACACCCAAAAAAGAAGACACTATATTTCTGATCTATAAAGACAAATCTCTCTTTTAAAATCTCATATTAAATTAGTCCTTCAAATAAATTGAAAGTAAAAATTGACCTTTTAACACTATTTTTCATACATCAAATCAGAAAAACTAGTAAATCATGAAAAGAAAAAGGAAAAAGGGTCAAATCAGCCCCCTAAGTGAACCGGATAGTGCAATTAACCCCCTAAGTAAAAAAAGCTCCGTATAAGCCCCTAAATCGGCAAAATAAATAAATAAATAAATAAATAAATAAATATATATATATATATATATATATATATATATATATATATATGTATTTTGTGCGTGTAAATATGTGATAAAACTTAAGGTGGTAGATGGATTTTCAGGTCAAAGTCACAGAGGTGACGGGCCTGACATGACATGCATTGTTGTTATGTATGATCTGTCTTCTACGTAAGATGTAAGGAGGGAATGAAATGAAACTAGCAAATGTATAAAACTATGCCCTTTTTGTTTCCATCATTGACCTTCCATGTCCAGTGGTTAGCTTTTGTTCAGTGTTCATTCACAGATTGAACGCTATATCATATTCTTACATACTCATTGTGCAATCCAAATGTAATTGTCCTCATTTGAGACATTGAGGGTAGAAAGATAGAAAATAATATATTTTATTAGAAATTGTATTAGACTATTTTAGTATTTTATTAGGAATTGTATTACACTATTTTACAATATCAGAATAAAATTTTTAGGTTAAAGTTGATGATTTTGTTTGTATATATAGTATAGATAGATAGATTTAATTTAATTACTCTTTAACAATATTAGTAAACTCATTATAAATTTATAGACATGTTATGTTTAACAACAATAAATTAATTTTTATTGACTTATCAATTATCATTATTCATTAAAACTCTACATTGAGAGAACTTCATTAACTTTAAAATAATTTGTTATGACATAATTTTTATTTTTATTTGTATAAAATGTAAAAGTTCAGCGGTCTATTTGACATTTTTTTCGCCCACCTAAGTCATCAGCATCGTAACCGATCATGATCCGTGGCCTTTTTCTCTCCACCGCATTGTGGTACAGCTTGGCTATCCTGACATCCCGCTTGTCTACCCTGGCCTGCATCTCCTTAATCATTCTCATCATAGAAGCCTCCAATTTCTCATATCCCGCCATCAATTTAACACGCTCACTATCACTCACTTCATTGTTCCTCAACTGAACCTCAACCTGGAGGAAACAAGTGTAAAATTTTAAATCCAATTAACTCATTTAATCCAAATTCCAAGCAATCTAAATCTGAAATGCAGGGATTAAGAATTCAAAATTGCATAAGAGAAATTGAAAAGAATACAACACAACACAATCTAAATCTGAAATGCAAGAATTAAAAATTCAAAATTGCAATAGAGAAACCGAAAATGATACAACACAATCTACAATCGGAATGCAAGGGATTAAGAATTCAAAATTGCAATACAGAAAACGAAAAGAATACAACATAATCTAAATCTAAAATACAATGCAGGAATAAAGAATTCGAAATTGCAGTATGAAAATCGAAAAGAATAGAACACCATCTACATTTAAAATACAATGCAGGGATTACAAATTCGAAACTGCAGTAGAGAAACATAAAAGAATACAACACAATCTAGATATGAAATACAATGCAAGAATTAAGGATTTAAAATTGAAGTCAGTAAAGAAACCAAAAATAAAAAATAAAAAAATCTAGATTTGAAATATAAGGATTAAGAATTAAAAATTGTCGTAGTGAAAGAAGGCTACTTTTGGCATAGAAACACAATACAATATTGAGATGTATACCCTGGTAGAGATTAGCAATGATATATTACTCCAATTTATATATATAACAGAATCGAAATGAAGGAATCACCATTGCCACAGCTGCCCCTCACCCCATCCCACCCTATATATAATCTTTGTTTATATATATATATATATATATATATATATATATATATATATATATATATATATAGTACATATTTTAGTATATGTCAGGGTAAAGCTTGTCTACCTTGACAAGCAGCTCGTCAAGCAAACTTTGCTTTTTCGGAATAGAAGCATACCACTTGTCATATTCCGTCTCAAAATTAGCACATCTCTGACCCTCACTCAGCTCATCGTTGCTCTTCATAACCTTAACCTGGAAAGAAGTGCAGAATTTTAAATCCAATTAACTAATTTAATCCAAATTCTAAGCAATCTAAATCTGAAATGCAGGGATTAAGAATTCAAAATTGCATAAGAGAATTTGAAAAGAATACAACACAACACAATCTAAATTTGAAATGCAAGAATTAAGAATTCAAAATTGTAGTAGAGAAACCGAAAATGATACAACACAATCTACATCCGAAATGTAGGGATTAAGAATTCGAAATTGCAATAGAGAAACCGAAAAGGATACAACAAAATCTACATCCAAAATGCAGGGATTAAGAATTCAAATTTGCAATAGAGAAACTGAAAAGAATACAACAGAATCTAGATCTAAAATACAATGCAAGGATTAAGAATTTGAAATTGCAGTATGAAATCAAAAAAAATAGAACACCATCTACATTTAAAATACAATGCAGGGATTACAAATTTGAAATTGCAGTAGAGAAATAAGAAAAGAAAACAACACAAATAGATCTGAAATATAATATAGGAATTAAGAATTCAAAATTGAAGGAAGTAGAGAAACCAACAAAAAAAATACACACACACACAACCTTGATCTGAATTATAGGGATTATGAAATCAGAATTGTAGTAGAGAAAGGAGGTTACTTTTGAGATAGAAAGACAATACGATATTGAGATGGCCGTACCCAGGTAGAGATTAGCAATGATATATTACTCCAATTTATATATATAATAACAAATTATTTAAAAGTAAATCTATATTAGAGAATCGAAAAATTAAATAAATTTTAATTTTGCACCAAAATGAAGAAATCACCATTGCCACTAAAAAACGCGTGGACATGAGAAGAAGTCATGACATTTATATTTTATATTTTATTTTTTTTCAACTGTTTTCTTTTTAAGCTAAAAATTAAAATATAATAAAATTTATTTAATTTATTTGGTTTCTTTTAGCCATGGACATCTGAACATGCAGAGAGAAAAGAATCAACAAACAATAAAAACAAAAACTAGGGGTTGTGCTTTACTTGGTTTCCCCTTAATATTCCCCGGAGAACAAGGACCTCTAATCAATAATCACCACGAGAACTCGAGAAGGGCTTCCACCAGTCCACCACCAACTCAACAAGTCACCAACGGCAACCAACCACCGGACAATCAGACAATCGAAGTATCCACAGAGTCTCAGATAGAGAAACTAGAGAGTAGAGACTCAGAGTCTCAGACAATCAGACTCTCAGAGAGTAGAGACTAGACAGAGGTGAGACTGTGAGAGACTCAGAGGATGAGAGGATTGAGATTTGAGAGGAGTAGAGAGAAGTCAGAGAACAAAGAAGAGAGGTTAGAGAGTTGAGAGTCTCAGAGAAGAGAGCTGCGCATTTGACTTTCACAAGCATTCAACATACATATATACTAACCTTAAACGACGTCGTGTAGCATATACCTAAATCCCAACCCTAGCAAACTTCGGATAATCGGACGGGTCGGATGAGAAAAAACCAAACCTTATCCGAAGTGTTTTATCCGACGTCGTATAGGATGCGGATCGGATATGGAATGTCGGATGCGGATCGGGTCGGGTGCCTTAGTTTCGGATTTTGGGTCGGGCGGTTTTCTCGGATAGGGTCGGGTTTGCACAGGCGTAATTATTCTTTAGGTTTTTTCAGATTGAGCAGAAGAAGTAGCTTGCCTTTGGACTATTGTGTAGTAGAGCAAGTCTAGTTGGACTGTTGTGTAGTAGAGCAAGTCTATCTACTGTTAGGCTGTAAAATTTTCAATTAGTGGTTGCCTGAAAGAATAATTGTTTTCTAGGCATTTGAGAGTTTCCGTTTTCTTCCCACACATTTGTGGTAATATACTCATGTATGTATTAGGTATTTTGTATAAACTTCTTACAAGTATATATTAAAAAGATTTGAAATGTACGCCTTCAATATGGATAGTTATGCTGTGCAATTGCAAAACGACGTCGTTTTGACTAAAAGCGCGCGTCCCATTAGCTATTACCAGGACCCTAGCACGTCCCATTAGCTATTACCAGGACCCCTGATATTAGCCTATTACTGAACGCTCAAGAATAAATTTTATAATCTATTTTCTTTTTTTATTCCTTTCTTTAACCTAATTTTTTAAGTTAATCTTTCTCCCGTTCACTCCACCTCTTCTCTCGCCATTACTCATCAACTTCTTCTTTCGCCAGATCAACATCAAATTGAAATTCATCATCAAGGTATTCTTTTAAATTTGTTTTATAAATTATATATATATATATATATATATATATATATATATAGAAATAAACATAATAAGCTTCAATGATAGTTATATCCCTGATTTTTGTCCATTTTTTAACTGCTAATTGTCTTATACATTATCTTATTAATATTGTACATTATATTTTTATTGTCAAAAATGCCCAAACATATCTGTTACTGTTAGATGTGCCGTTAAATATAATACTAAGCTATTATCGTTAGTTTTTCCTCCATTAATTTTAATCCTCTTCCTCTATCCTAGGCCTTCTTCCGCTCCTTCCTTTCATATTTCTAGCTATGCAGTTCTACTCATAAGCATAGATTGATTTCAACTCAACCTTCCAGAGGCTCAATATCATAGATGGGAAAAACCAAACCAATAAATTCAATAATTTTGCAGCAAAATATAGGCTATAAAGTTTAAGAAGAGAGAGAGATCAGAGGGCAACCATCTTGGAGAGTCTTAATCTGTGTTTGGTATTCTTCTTCATAAGCAAATGCTGCTTCCCGGCTCTCCTCCTCATGATCTTCCCACTCCTGGACACCCAAAACCGCTTCGCGGACGCCTGCAAATTCAAAGAAACCCGAAAATTCAAACACCGATTCCGCAGAACCGCTCTGCACTTCAATTGGGGTTTAAAATTCCAATGAATTACCGTGTGCGTCTTCATCTTATAGCCTTTGACGCACACTACGGTGAATGGCTGTGGGGGTTTTTGCGGCGGGGAGGGAACGCGGCTGAGAACGAGCGGCGCGGAGGTTGAGATGCTGTGTGAAGAGCTGTGGTTGAGAGTCATTTTCTTTGTGGAGAGTGAAGGGGTGATGGAGAGTCGAGAGGCGGAGAGTGGTGGGGTTCGAGAAGAGAAGTTGAATGACAAAGAACAGTGTAAGAGTGAAGAAGACGCCATCGTCATCGTCATTCCTTTGCTGCAAATGAAGCTTTGGAATTTGGATAATGGCTTCCCAATTTGACGCTTCAAGGCCACAATTTTCTTTTTTCTTCTTTTATTGCTATCCAGTCTCCAGGTATTTTTTTTTTTAAAGATCGCATTCAATCAATCATTCACTTCTTTTTCAAAAAAAAAAATAAAATCATTCACTTCCTTCATTCTCTCCCTAAGAACTCTGCCAGACATTAAAACAAGGTACCCTATGCAGAGATTTCGGGAAAGGATTGAAGCAATTCGTTGCAGAGATTTGAGATTCCGTTAAAGAATTGAAGCAATTAAAGGGATTCAATGGGTTTGATCGCTGATCGCTGTTCAATATCCAAGTGGAGTAATTGTTGCATGTTTTTGGTAAATTATTTGATTAATTTTGTTAATTTCATGAGATTGGGATGACAATTTAACAATTTAGGATAATTTTGTTGGAGTTAAATTGACGATTGTATAAGAATTAGAACATAATTGATAGTGAATTTAGTATAGAATGGTCCTGCAAATTTGCACCAAAATAATTACAAAATATTGGCTACCGAGGATAAAATCAACTCATTGTTATGATTATGTCTACAATTAATAATTTCTTGATTTATCTTCATTTACTTTATTTAGTTTTGGAATGTTGCTTGATTTTAGGAGGTATGTAGCTATTTAAAGATTTCATTGTAAAGTGAAGGCACCACAGAACAATTGCTACCTTTTATTTATTTTCTTCTCTACAAATTTAGTATGTTTCTCCATGCACAAGTTTCTTGAGAGGTTTGTTTTTCTCAAGAACTTTAATTAATTCTATATGTTGTTAATTTGATTTTTTTTCCCTTCATGTGATAAATATGTGATTGAGTAGAAAGAAGATTCTTTATTATAAATTGTATAAATATGTGATATCTCCCTCCCCTGTGGTGCACAATGCTTTCATGAATATCTTGTATTGCTACCAACATTGTTTATTGGGATTTGTCTATAAATTCAGTTGGAAGATCACTGGACCTGTTATCAAAGGTAAAGTCGTTGTTTACTTATCGAAATAAATAAATAATCAATCTGGTATTCTTAGTGACTGATTGAATGTTGTGGTGGTAGAGGTTTATTAATCTTGTACTAATACTATCTCCACTTTTTGTGAAAGCTTGGTTATGGAAGACTAGGTTCGTATATATTGAGGGGAGGAAAAGAGCAAATTTTGAATGCAATAATAATATTCTTTAAGTCCTTAGAGAACATTCAAATTTACAACCGTATAAGCAGCAAGCTAAAAACTTATCTAATCTAATGCAACACTGCAATGTTCTCATTATTTCACTCAGCACTGCAACCAAATCTTTTACTTACCGTTCTTACACTGATGAAGTGATGAGATATAATTTGAATAAGTATTGCATGCCATTACTTAAATTTATAGTTGTATATATTCATCACAATGAATTTGTATTTCTTGTGTTAATTTCAAATACATCAACAAAATAAACTTGACATGAATTTTTATGTAACTTCGTCAATAAAAAATAAAATAAAATAAAAAAACTTTACAAATGCATTTTATATGTTTCAAAATGATTTACTAATGGAGTTTAAATATTGGGCACAAATTTTCGCGCAAAGCGCATAGAAAAACTAGAGTTATACCCCTGATTTATGTCCGTTTTTTCCGTTAAGTTTTTTTGTACATTATGCTATAAAGGTTGTACATTAAAATATTTTGGACAAACATACACCTACCGTTATAACTTCCATTATCTTTTCCACTATTGTTACCATGCACATGCATCTACTATATATTTTCTTATCTTCTTGATTAATAATAATATATACACATTAAATATTTGAGGTATATGTTAATTATTACATAAATATAAATATCAAATTTATAAAAATGATTTACATTATTATTATTATTTAGAATAATTTAAATATCTAAAATCTAAATAAATTTAAAATTTTAATATAATGTATTAATATTGGGCACCTATTTTTCGCGCATAAAAAATACTAGTACATATATATTGAATCAGAAACCATTACTAATTCAATCACGATAAGATCATAAGATAAAACAAAATCAATTGACAATACAAAGTTCAAAATTAGTGCAAAATTTTTATAGGCTATTTATCATGTTCCTAGAAAAGAAAGCTCAGCAATTCATTATCTACTGGACAGATTTGTCTAAAAATAGGCATAGGAAGTTAACAAAACACAATAAATATAAAGCTCCAAATCCGTAAGCTTAAACAAAGATTAAAGCCATTGTAAATTGGTTGCTTAGTTGCTACACAAAATAGAATACAATAAGGAAAAGAATCAGAGATTGCCAAGTCACTGCCGCAAGCTGCTGACCAGACGAATGCGCCGGAATTGGTTGTGCCAACCAAGATTAGATTGCTACCTCCAAGGGTTTCGCCGATGCCGAACGAATAAATTCTAGCCACCGTCGATCGGAAATCTCCAACGCCACCACCATAATTAGTCTGGAGTAAAACTTGATGGTCGTCGCAGAAACTTCTGTGAACCACCGCCGAAAATCACCGGAATTGGTTCGGGATAAATTGGTGATCCTGAATGATGAATCGTAGCTTCCTTTTATATTGTCCGGCCAAGCTAAGCCACTTCTATGCTATGTTCTACGGAGCCATGGAGAATTATTCTCCTAGTTAATTGGATCGTAGCAGTAGCAATGAACGAGAAGAAGTTTGATCCCTTCATTATTGATAATAATAATAATAATAATAATAATAATAATAATAATAATAATAATATTTTTTGTACAAGGGCATTTATGTTTTTTAAACATATATTCTATTCTTATTTATTAACCAACCAAACATTGAAATACAGTTCTCAATGTATATTCCTGCAAACCAAACAACAGAATACAATTCTTATTATATTCCTTACCTATTTCATTCCTTATGGAATAATATTCTTATTCCCTCCAAATTTATTCCGTGAACCAAATGGACCATAATAGTTTCAACAATTGATAAAATCGTTATCTAAACGAATTTTACCTTATTACGATCTAGTAGAAATTATTCTCGGAGATAATAGAACCCGAGATGTTTGACACTGTTGTATAGTGGAATGGAATTTGTTTTAGCGTTTTCTTAAAAGAAGGGCAAAATGTGAGAATACAAAAGAAGAGAGAGGTTGGTTCATAATTAAGCTAAAGTTGCCCAGTAATGATGAATTCAATCTCCGAGCAATAGCATCAAATTCAAATATAACGCATGGAAAGACATAACGTCCCGCGGGGCTTTCTTCTTCTTCTCCCAAGCTCACTCCCTCCCTGCCATTGCAATCTCTCATCATTTCTTTCTGTTTTTCTCTTAACCGCCTCACGTTACTCCTGATCTGCTTCCGCTTTTCTCCGTTATCTCATTTTAATTACCTCTACTCCGCCCCCCGCCATTAACACTGTCTCTGTTGCTGAATAGAGAATACAGAAACAGAGTGCATTAGGGTTTAACGTCGGAATTGTTTCTGATAGAGAGGTTAATAGTTCCTGTTTGATGCAGGAATTGATTACTTTCGCTTTTAGCAACACGATGAATAAGGACATTTTTTATTTTCATGTTCACGCTTGGTGATTGTTTATTAAGCCTTTCCAAATTCAAACTGTTGTTTCCTGCAGTCCGGCTTCGTGTTATGGACGTTAAAAGTAAAAAAGTGGCTGAAATAGAACACAACACAGACGTTGATTCCTGGATACAAGAGTTCTTCACCCCCAACTGTAATCCAGTATATGGGAATGCAGCGTAATTCTTCAATCTGCTTCTGGAAATTCTATTTTAAGTTTTACTGTTCATTTGGAATCGAACATTATTTTATAAACTGCTTGAGAAAACAAAATGTTCTGGTTTTCGATATTTATGAAATCTGTACATGAACTATGGTTACTATACTTGGAACTTGGAATGATGCTTAATTTGCTGCATGTTTCTTTTAAATGCAGGTCTGTTATATGTTATAAAAGTGTTTATGCTTATTTACTTTAATTTAATGTGGTTGCTGAAATGGAAGCTTGATTAATAATATGTTGAGTATTTAAGAAGAGTGTAAACATCATTGCTTATATATATATATATATATATATATATATATATATATATATATATATATATGAATAAAGCTGAAGATCTTATTATTTGTCATTTGGATTTAATTTTTGGTTTCTTTGAGGTAAACTATTTTGCAAACTTCAAGTTATCAATAGTGAGTATGTCCAGTTGTTAAACATGAAAAATTACATTATAGTTACAAATAATTGTTGAGACAATTCGATGGTACAGAACTGAGGGAAGGACAAAGTTTTCTGGATTTGATGCTGATTATGTGTGCCCACCGAATGTAGCTGGGTGTTCAATGGACAAGTCTTCTAGCCATGCTGAAACCAAGGTATATGTGTATTATGGGTTTCTCAATAGTGTTATTAACTTGGATACTGGAATTACTTGTTTAATATGGAATTAGAGCCGATTTTTAAGTAGCTGATGTCCTTTTGTTCTCAGACAGATTTTGTTCCTGGCTTACCTTGGAACTCAAAGCCCATGAACTGCAATTCAGGTAAGAATACGTTTTTGTGTTAGTGCTGGTAGGATCTGTGTATATTTTGATTTATTCCATAGAAGATATGGCAAGCATATTGAAAATGCAATTCTCCTCCTTTCTTATTGGTTTTCAATTTTATTTCTTGGTATTTTTTGCTAGAAATCACTTTAGAAATGCATGAGAAAAATGTTTATCTTACCAATTAATACTCTGCTTTAGAGGGCTCCTTATAATCTTGCTGATATGATTTATATGTAATATTTCTATGATTCACAACTACACTTAGGTATAGCTTCCTTTTAACTTAATCATATTCTTAACTTCTACTATTGCTCATGTATAACATGCCTATTAGGACTCTATGTATTTGAGTTAGATTATGACTCCCTATCCTAGTCATCTAAGTGTGGTTCTGCTATATCAGACTTGCGTGAATTATATTAAATGAATTGGATTTAAAATAAATGGTGTAATTAACTTATTTAATAGCTATTTGCATCTAATGTATCTTGTGCCATAGATCCACAACAGGCAAGAACAAGTGAGGCTCCAGGTCATATTTCCCACCTGCTGAGTAAACCTTCAAGATCGCATGATCCTTATAATATAGTTGAAAGCAGCATACATTTGAAGACTAGTTTAAAGTCATATGGCAGTCAGGTTTCAGAATCACTGATGCAGGTCTCACAACAACCCAATAATCAATCCTCTGCAATGCAATCAAGTGCTCAAAATTGCAATCAGATACAACTAAATAAAGAGCAATATTCCCAGCATTCTTTGTCTACTACACTTGAAGAAGAGCAATGGCACAGGGATCGGGTAGGTAATAATACATCAGTGATGCAAAAAGGCCTCCAAGATACTCCACACAACAATATTGCTGGAAAGTGGCAGAATCTCCAAGCATTTCAACGTGACGTGATTTCTTCTCGATCACAGCCTCAGCATTCAAATGGATTTTCAAGCTCGCAAGCTCGTCCTTATCCATTGGATATCCCTTGGCATTCTCATCCAACCACAATTCAGAAGGACTTTCTGCATCTAAGGAGTTTTCAGAGTCAAACTGATTCATCACCTTCACCACAAGGTTCAAACCAAATAATGCAAACATCTTCTCTTCTTAATTCTCAGAGTCCCATGGCTGGTTTTTCTCATTCACAAGGCAAACTGGCAAGAGGCTCATCAGGTAGCATTCAGCCTTTGGTATTTTTAAATTGGAAAAAGTTATAAGGACACCCCCTTAGCTCTAATAAATAATTCTTCAGCCCCTAACAAATCAGGATCCACACCTCAAAACAAACTGACAAATTCTACTGAATGGAGTGACCATGCCTACCAACAGGTATTTCCATCTGCTATTCTTTGAAGCATTCTTTCCTAATTGACTTTGAAATGTTCTTGGGACCCTTGAAGTTGGCTAAGTTATCCTGGGGTTTATCTTTATTTTCCCCCAATTGGTATCATCTATTCTGCCTATTCTGGCCGTGTTTCTAATCAAACAAAAAACTTTCGTGAATATAATTTGGGCATCTTTTTCTTAAGCAGATTAATGGATTACCATCAAAACATTCTTAACTTTAAGTAATAAATTGGGAATCAAGGAATGAATTTGAATCCTTATGTTTCTCCCTGGTTATGTAGACACTGAAAATAATACGAATTATCAGGTTGTTTGGTCCTCCAATATATAACAAATTTTTAGTTTGAGGTGGATTCTTGTGGGGCTTTACGTTGGTGCATTGCATATTAACTTTAATTTTGTTTCATTGAATTACTACTATATTATTGATAATACTAAATTTTCAGCTTCAAGTAATGAAGGAGATATACTGGGTTGAAGTTATTAAATTGTACAAGAAAGCACAAGAATCGTGTCTTAAGGTAGTCTCTAACTTTCCATTTTATCAAGTTCTAAGTTTTTCTCTTCATAATCTAGTCTGCACTAACTCAATTATATAATTGTTTCATGCAGCCACCAAATGCTGAGCTTTCTGTAAAATATGAAAACACCAGAGTGTTAGTGGAGAAAATGATCAAGTTCCTTCAAATGTCTAAAGTGGATTTTATTCAACATCCAAAGGAGAAAGTTTGCCAATACATGAACCTTATAACAAATTACCTTGATGAAGTAAGAATGAAGAATTCTGCTGCATTGCAGAAGCATCTGCAGCAACTTCAGGTACCTAGAACACCTCCAATAATGCATCAAACAGGAAATGGTGACTTCCGATTCAATCAGTCAACGTTAGGATCATCTGGCAGCACTCCTCAATCATCATCACAGCTAGAGCCTTCCCACCCAAAAACAAGCCTTCTCAATTCTTCTGGGGAGGTTTCTATTAAAGGCTGTGAAGCTGCAGAAACTTTATCAAGAAGTTCAAAGCGGCCTATGCACCAATATATAATAAGCCGGCAACAAAATGCAAACATATCTGCATCGTTGTCTCAATCTAGTTCTCAAAGTGAACAGGAAAAGAGATCTTTAAGATTGCCAGGGTCAGTGGCAAATCTGGACAGCGCTCTATCCAATCGTGATCATGCAACTTCCCTGCCTGCAAATACTGTAAATCCCTTTGCTTCTGCATTGACACTATCACAGAAAATGAAGCAACCTATGTGGCAGGCAAATCCCTTGCTTACAAATACTGCTAGTGCCCTTGGCTCTCCATTCACACAATTACAGAAAGTAATGCAACTTGAGGGTCAGATAGTGACTGAGCAAAAGAAATTGACACAGAAATCTAACGAGGTCAATGAATCCAAGGTAAAACACATGGTGAGATCCAATACACAAATGCTTCAGCATAATATCCTAATCAGTAAACACACTGAACATTTATGTCAAATGTCACCGTCAAATTCAAGCCAATTTCAGCCTGCATCTCCTCAAAATTCTCAGCAATCTTTTCCACTATCTGCTATATCTCCATCCATTGCTCTGTCACCTTTAACCCCCTTAACCCCCTCCTCTATGTCTGAGAGTCCCCAGAAGGTTTCTTCAAGTTTAGGACTATCATTATTTGCACAAGGCATAAAGGCCCCCAAGATACAGTCTGAGCCAGACAAATTGGATTCCCAGTCAATCAATACATTTGGAGCGCATAACATGCCCTTAGTCATGAAGAGCACTCACTCAGAAGGCAATCAGCAGCCTAAAAGAGCCTTTGAAAGATTGCTAGATGCGGTTTGTATTGCTTATCCCACTTGGATATGCTGAAAATCATTGCATCCATGAATTTGTTTACATGTGCATCTTTGGAAATTTACATAATTACATTCATATAGTTATAAGCTTTTGTCATATTGTTGTGTACTTGTATTATGTCCTTTTCCTGTTTAATGTTGAATCTTTATGCAGATAGGATCAATATCAAAAGAATCACTTTGTGCATCTGTCTGTGACATTGGTAATGTTGTCAATATGATTGACATGAGAGCTGGAACATTGTGCTACGGAGACTTCAGAGGTTCAATTGGTGATGATTTGATGGATGATGTTAGATGTTTTCTCCGAAAAGCTAAGCTACGTCGACATGGAACTATCATGGATGATAAGATGAAGCGCAACATAAATGCCACTGATTCTACTGCTTTTTGTAGATCACTTCAGGGAAGTGATGTTATGGATTGGGCAAGCAACATGTCACCAGAAATTGTGGCCAAAGCAACTTCTATTATCAAATGCCCAAATGCTGAGGTATGCCAATGGTGATTAATACTACTATATGAGATATGGAAACTTTTAGTGGAATATGTAGAGTCCATTTATGGTTCCTTTTATTAATGTAATCACACCTTAGTTTCATATGCACATTATTTAATTCATATTTGTACTCCTCCATCTCTTGGCAGCTCAAAAGTGCAGTATTAGAAGAAATCAAAGAAACAAATCGAAAGCTTGTTGAAACACGAGTAGAGATGGTTGTTGATAGCAGTGAAGACGATGTTCACAGACTCGGAGCTGAAGAAAATATCATCATTAGGTGTTCATACTCTCCTATGGGTTTGTGTGAGAATACACTTGAGCGATGCACTTCATCCGGAATAATGGTATATCAGCTATCTTTTAATTTATTACCCATATATATAGCAGCATAGAATAGATTTTTTGTTTATGATTCACCTTTAATTTGTCCATTATTTTCAGTTCCCAGAGATGGTTGTTCTGCAGCTGCTCGTCCTGGGCAACTATCCTAAAGCATCACCTATCGTGTTGGACAAGTCACCTGACCTCTTTAGGTAAGCAAAGCAATTTCAATTCAGGGACATGTATTATATAGCAATTTCCTGACCTGAAATCAAACTGTGACAGCACTGAAGAAGTGAGAAACGGATACAGGGAAGTGAAGCTAAGGTTCAACTTGTGTCTCCGTCAACTTTCTGAACCCAAGTCGATTACAGAAATGGCAAAAGCGTGGGATGTTTGTGCACGACAAGTTTTTAAGGAGTTTGCAGAGCGAATGGGTGGCGGCAGCTTCAGCTCAGTATGTGGTGTGTGGGAAAAATGTGAAGCAGCAGCTACCTAAAAAGCTGGGTAACAACTAATCTTTTTCACCATAACACGTACAGCTTGCATCCTTCTTGTGTATTCTGTTCAATTGAGTTGTTTTAGCACGTAATGCATGCTCTTCATCCACATCAGCGCGCGTATATATGTATGTTGTACAAGTGGAGCTTTACAGGGGTATTGGTAGGCTAGGTTAGAAGGTTTTATTTCCAAACTGGGAAATTCTACTGTATAAAAGTCTCATACTATAAATCAAACTAATATTCAGTCCTGTATAATTTCTCTGCATAAACAATTTTAAAAACTTGATTATTAAAGATAAGTGTATCATGTCTTGATTAGAATACACTGAACAGGCGTTGCTAGTTGTCTGACTCATTTTGCGGTGCTGTAAGTTTTAACTGCGAATAGGGAATTTATTTTGCTGGAAATTAATTGACATGATGATGACTCCACAGATACTAACTCTGTTTTCTTGCCTTTGGCTACTTACTTCAGTCTTCAAACACTCAGTTCAAATAGTATACGCTTATATCATTAATTATTACCATAGATCAGTTTGAAGTTATTAACCACCACTATCCACTTTCTAAGAGTGTATATATACTTTTTTTTTTTTGAAAACAGAGTGTATATATACTTGAAAGTATATCTCTTGCAATCGTATGTGACAATTTTTAGAATAATTTTTTTAAAGTAACCCATTACCCATCACTAGAATTGCAAATGTTGCTTTGCAATCTTGACACCACCCTTTTGTTGACTTTTTTATTTTTCTTCAGAGTTTACTTTTAAAAGTAAAAGAGTTATAGGGATAAAGATAGTATTCTTAGACATGTCAAGTGCGTGATTCATCTGTTAAATTTCACTATCAAGTATCGAGACTAAGTTCTCTTTCAATTTCTATTTCTCATTTCAACCCTAAACTCAAAACTACAAAACCATGAAACCATAAAACCCTAAATCCCCAAATGCGAAAACCCAAAACACCCAAACCCCTAAACTCCAAAACCATAAAACCCTAAACCCTGAATTCCAAAATCTTAAACTTGAAAACTCTAAACTCCAAACCCTAATCACACCTTAGTTTCATATGCACATTATATTATTCTGCAAGCTATTTAATTCATATTTGTACTCCTCCATCTCTTGGCACCTCAAAAGTAGAGTATTAGAAGAAATCAAAGAAACAAATTGAAAGCTTGTTGAAACACGAGTAGAGATGGTTGTTGATAGCAGTGAAGACGATGTTCACAGACTGGGAACTGAAGAAAATATCATCATTAGGTGTTCATACTCTCCTATGGGTTTCTGTGAGAATACACTTCAACGATGCACTTCATCTGGAATAATGGTATATCATCAGCTATCTTTTATTGCCCATATAGAGGCATAGAATAGATTTTTGTTTATGATTCACCTTTAATTTGTCCATTATTTTCAGTTCCCAGAGATGGTTGTTCTGCAGCTGCTTGTCCTGGGCAACTATCCTAAAGCATCACCTATCGTGTTGGACAAGTCACCTGACCTCTTTAGGTAAGCAAAGCAATTTCAATTCAGGGACATGTATTATATAGCAATTTCCTGACCTGAAATCAAACTGTGACAGCACTGAAGAAGTGAGAAACGGATACAGGGAAGTGAAGCTAAGGTTCAACTTGTGTCTCCGTCAACTTTCTGATCCCATGTCGATTAGAGAAATGACAAAAACGTGGGATATTTGTGCACGACAAGTTATTGCAGAGTTTGCATAGTGAATGGGTGGCGGCAGCATCAGCTCAGTATGCAGTGTGTGGAAAAAATGTGAGGCAGCAGCTACCTGGGTAACAACTAATCTTTCCTTCTTCACCGTAACACAGTATGCTGTGTGTGGGAAAAGTGTATTAGAATTAAGTGAAATATATACAAGATACACTAGACATGTCTTGATTAGTAACAAAATATACAAAAATAACATAATTAGGGAAACATGACTCAAATATAGAAAGAAGGTAAAAATACATCTTTTTATCTGTCAAAAGTAAGAGATTTTCGAAATAGAAATGAGTCGCAATTCGCACGAGAGATGCCCAGTCATTGCCTGATTTATGCCCAAACTTGGTTGGAAGTTAGGGCAAATTTTGAGTATTGACAATTCAGGTGGGTCCAATACAGTATGAAGATAATAGAATGAGCTGAAGTAATAATTTATTTTGTATTCACGTTTCATTTGACCATGAAGAGAAAAAAAAAACGTCAGTCGTCATCATAGAGTGAATATTGAAATGTTCCAGATTTCTGGTTGGAAGAAGCAAGGCCTCAAGTTTTCTGGGGTTAATTCAACACATTAAGACTAAAAGAGGAATTGGGAAACTTATGATTGTGCAAGCCAATCCAAACCCTAGCTAATTAGTTGATTTAGTTCTGAATAAATTTATTCTACTAAAAAGAGATAATCCCCAATATACTAATTAATTGATCATCTTAATAACACTCCTCCTACTACATAGTTACAGAAATGCAGAGTCAAAGATAACAGCTGCAGTTGACATTAGCAAAATAAAGCAGTCGTCATATATAGTCTAGTCAATTAGTCATCTCTAATGAGCAGAAGAAGAAGCATTCAAAATCCTTCCAATTTCAAAACACACAAAAGCATCAATGCACGCATACTGAATCTGCTCTGTGGTTAGCAACTCTTTATCCCACCTCCCCATCGTCACCCGTTTCGGCTTCACCATCTCCGCCCCCAGATAAATCCTCACCAGATCCTTCAACCCAACATTCTTCAGAGACGAATCGTTGGACTGCCGCACAGCTAGGGCACGCAAATCCACGGCCTTCCTCACACTCAGAGTGTAGTCTTTGTTACGGTTCTAGGGTTTAGGGAATTTGAGAAGAAGAGTTGAGAAGAGAGTCGAGGTGAGAAGAATTCAGAATAGCATTGCATTTGGTAAAAACATAGCTTGATTACATTCTAACTGTCTATTTATCTGAAGGATTACAACTGCTAGCAACTGCTTAACAGCTTAAACTACTCAAGCTACTAAACGACGTCGCATGGCCTTGCCTTTGACCGTTCTGCAACTGACTCCTCAAACGCTGCGTTTTAGGTTACTGCACAGTTCAGTTCACAACTGTCACCCGTCCGATAATTCTGTTATTGTAGTCTTACGGCGTCGTTTGCTACTATAGGCTTTCCCTTTGGATCATTACAGTCTTCAACCAGTTTCTCCACGTCGGCGACCCTCTGCATATCACGACGAATTCACCCGTCAGAGGATGAAAGGCTCTGCATTTACAATTAGGTCCATATCTAAAATTAAACAACAGGCAAATTAACACCCATTGCTTCCATAGTAATATCACATTTATAATTTTGACTATCGGTAGTTTCTTCTCAGTACTGATAATACGGGTCAAGTCACTATTGTCTTCACTTGTGACTGCCTATCTTCCTCCAAAGTAATATATTGGTGATAAAGCTCTACCCAATTTGATAACATTTATCTTTGTATTTTCCAGCCTGTGTAACAGGGAAACATTCTGCATATCAAAAATATTGTTTAACTACTCAAAAAAATAATAATTATTGTTTGGCATTTTCTGTGTGTTTTTTAGCCTATATTCACCTAACATGGTCTCACCGAGGGTGTGCTATATAAATAATTTGTGTAAATAATGGATTGCATGAATAGTTTGGTATTTTATGTTACTCTGTATGATAACATTAGTTTTTTTACGCGCTTTGCGCGAATGGGATAATTTCCAATGATTATTTTTAAATAAGTATTTCACAGTATATCAACGTAATATTATATCGGAGATGTTCATACATATGTAAATAAATATTGAATTTGTTTATTTAAATCGGTAATTTAAAATATATAAATGCAAGATAATATTTATTGAATTTTCTAATCGATATTTGGTAGTGATAGTTTTCCCCAACATGTTTCATGCATTATGAGATGTGTGTCGTAGGTTATCATGTGAAAGTATTGAACAAAATATTAATATTTATTATATTTGTATAAAATACTTGGTAAATAAATATATATAATGTATTTTGTATTATAACTTTGATATTTAATTACAAGATAATGTAAAAAGAAGACAATGGACAACGCAGTGAATATAATAAATTAATAAATTTGAAGGTAATGAATCTTTGAATTGTAGAAAATAAAGATAATATAACTAATGAAATTATATCTATTTTTAAATTTTTTATAATCAATCATTTTTTTAAAATAAAGGCATTATAGACATCTAATTCTAAATTAATTAAATGCATATGTATTATTTTTTGTTGTAGCTACTGCTTTATTTAGTTTAAGAGCAATAAAGTGGGCAAGTTATGCTATGAAACCGTGTCCACCTTCCAAGGTGGACATGCATATCGGAGATGTTCTTGCATATGTAAATAAATATTGAATTTGTTTATTTAAATCGGTAATTCAAAATATATAAATGCAAGATAATATTTATTGAATTTTCTAATCGATATTTGGTAATGGTAGTTTTCCCCTACATGTTTCATGCATTGTGAGATGTGTGTCGTAGGTTATCATGTGATAGTATTGAACAAAATATTAATATTTTTTATATTTGTATAAAATACTTGGTAAATAAATATATATAATATATTTTTTATTATAACTTTGATATTTAATTACAAGATAATGTAAAAAGAAGACAATGGACAATGCAGTGAATATAATAAATTGATAAATTTGAAGGTAATAAATTTTTGAATTGTATAAAATAAAGATAATATAACTAATGAAATTATATCTATTTTTAAATTTTTTATAATGAATATTTTTTTAAAAAAATAAATGCATTATAGACATCTAATTCTAAATTAATTAAATGCATATGTATTTTTTTTTCTTTTTGTTGTAGCTACTACTTTATTTAGTTTAATAAGAGTAATAAAGTGGCGTATATACTTTTCATCAACAATAATGCAATCATTGATTTTTTTTAAAAAAAAATACATACAAAAAATATTAATGCAAAAGTATAATTGAAATATTAAGTTTTTTTCTGATCTAAATAATCAAAAGAATATTAAGTTTTTTTTCTTATCAAATGATTTTTAAAGTTCTTGATTTATAATCTTTGATGCTTAACTTTGAATGTTATGTATTTAGGCAGACTAATTATTTGAACAAAGTTTATGTTAAATTTTATATTATATATATTTTAAATATATTTTAACATATTCGTAGTATATGTTTAACAATTATGTCAATTGTAATTGGGATGTGGTTCGAAACTAAGACTTTTCTTATAGAAATTAATGTGTAAGTTAAAATAATAAATACTTAACGGAATATTCCATTACTAAAGTTTATGCTAACGGAATTTAGGTTATTTAAGGGAAGAAAATAATATAATAGAGGGTAAATAAGGAAAATCAATAAAAAATACTAAAATAAAACTAATATGAACCATTCATTTTAAGAAACAATAGTATAATATGAACCATTCATTTTAAGAAACAATAAGATCGACATTTTTTTGTTCCAGTTAAGGGCCTAACATTATTGGCTCTTATTATAATTGTAGATTAATGATTCTTTTGCTTGAACTTACTATGTAATCTAAAAAGTAAAGATATTATTAAAAACTGGTGAATAATAATTTGTTAATAAATATTTGTTTATAGTTATGGAAATGGCATTGCACCCGGGACCGATTGATCCAATGTTGTTAGTATTTCTACAAAACCATCGTTCTAAAGCCATTTGGATAAATAGAGATTATAATCCCCGACACAACGTCGGTCGGTACGATATGCAGACACAAAGTCGAGATGTTCGTCATCCCAAAATGCTTCATTATATTACCTACGTGTTGCAGGGTTTTACGGAGTTGCTCACCTCACAAATATAAAGTTAGACCACGCATTAATTGTCACCATTATAGAGCGTTGGCATCCAGAGGTCCACGCCCTTCAGTGAGGTGGAATTACACTTCAAGATATTGAAGTGTTATTCGGATTGAAGGTGGATGGTCTACCAGTTACGGGGGGAGATAAGCGGTCTGTCCAAGAGTGAAAGTCTGTTTTTTTTCGAATTGTTTGGAATTGAACTTCTAGATAAATTCATTACAACTAGTAAGGTTAATTCAACAGTCGTACCCAAAGTTATGAAACTCATGCCTAACAGCTCAAATGTTGAGGTGAAAAAAGCCACGCAGATACTTATGTTTCACTTATTAGGTGATTTTCTATTCCCAAAACAAATAAGACAGATATAAAATTATTTGTGCTTGAGTATATTTGTGATTTTGAAGTGTGCGATCAATATAGTTGGGGATCAGCAACTTTAGCGTATTTGTAAAGGGCGTTGTGTAGAGAGGCCCATCATGAAACTAAGACCGTATGCAGATGCTTATTATTGGTACAAATTTGGGCATGGTAGAGATTGCCTATGGTTCGGCCACAAGGCGTTTTGCCTGAAGAAATACTTGAGATTTGCCACTTGCAGCAAGGTTAGTTGTAAACTTTGATTAAATGCTTGAATTTTTATTCTGTGAAGTACTTATTGTTCTATTTTGAAACGTAGGTGGAATTGCTGGCATTCATGGCGTTTGTCCCCAAACACGTGGAACAAGTTTATCGCGACCAATTGGATCGACTTAGTGCAAGCAAAGTGGGTCACTTCAATGTAATGTTTATATTTTCACAATTATAATAGATATTTATATAAATAAAATTTTAACTTCATGACATTGAATTTTATTTTGCACTTCAGTTTCACTTCATATGATAACATCTTGAATAGCTTGCCCCATTATTGCGTCATGGTCGCTCGATAGGAATTGAAGTTACAGTTGAGAACATGCACTTCACTACGGAAACATCAGATTTCATGGTAGTTAATGATTTGCATGTTGGGGACATTGTACTCTTTAGACATACTGGTTTCTTCAGTTTTGAAACTTTTTTCTACTATAACTATAACACTCCCAACTACTTTAATGGTGAGATGAAACTAGAGTCTAATCGTTATGGGGATTACATAACATCTCACCATTATGATCAAGGTAACATTACACTATAATTCATATATTATAAATTATACACTTAACTACAAATATTAACTATTCTTTTTAATATTTTAGACCAAATAATTGTCAAGGCAATGTCCGCTATCCCACCATCCTTGTCATTTAATGCACTACAAAGACGAGAACGTTCTTGGTATATTGATTTCTCTAAACCTTCACCAGTAAGAAACAATATACATGCATTAATGTATACATTCAACTTCCGTCAATAGGAAATTTTTCATTTACTAACTTCTCCTTACATTTCTCTAGCATGATTTGTTGTGTACATTTCTCAACAAATCCCAAGTCTTTTGCGACACTTTAAAGCTAATTGTTGAAAATTGAGAACTAGAGAATGCAAGACTATTCCCACTGTTGTGGGACGAAATAGAAACATGTTTCCAAATTGAGAAAATAAAAGATGTTGTACTATTCAATACAGAAGATAATGTCGTACTAATGATGTTGATTGGTAAATGTAATGTTGAGAATATTTATCAATGGTCGGTTGAATATTACATTCACGACAACATGTATGGTGAATTGAACTTGTTAAATAAATCATAAATATGAACATAATTTATCTCTCTTTTATTTACAAGAATATTATTATTATATTTATTTTTTAAACATTTACATAATAATAAATATAATTTTATAAAGAGAAAATTTCACTTTTGGTCCACTGACTATTAGAGTTGTGTTAATTGAAACACTTGACTTTCAAAAATGTTAATTTAATACATTGACTATGCAATTTCTATCAATTTTGGTCACGCCGACAAATTGCCGATCAAATCTCACTGGAAAAGTTTAATAGGTCAAATAATGAGGGTATTTTAGACATTTTACTCACCACCCCTTTCTTCTCCGATGAGCTTTTCTCCGGCGATGAACAACCTTGATTAAAAACTCCATTTCCGGCGGAGCGGTATTTTTGCAGTAAAAATATATTTGAACAAAATAAAGATGGAGGGAAGTTCTTCAAAGGTAAAGACGATTCAAGGCCGAAGGGAAATTTTGCAGTAAAAATCTATTTGAACAAAATCTATTTTTGCAGTAAAAATCGTCTAAGCTCCCCTGCCCTTGCCATCTTGAACTTCCCTAACGAGTATTATTCTCAGCTCCCCAGCCCTCCTTGCTACTACCCCTCGCTTAATCGCGTTGGCTGTGCCTCGGAGAAGGCCGGCGACCCGTCCGCCGGAAAATCGAAAGAGGTTTTTGAGATTGAGTATGAAGACGGCCTGTTGGAGAGACTTCTAGAAAGAGACCATTAGAAGAAGATCAGAGAATTGATGAAATTAATGTTTATATTCTGTAATATAACATAGTACTCTGTGTTCTACTACTTTCTCTACCTTTTCATGGCATTTTGCTAGTTAGATTTTTACTGCAAAAATACCGCTGTGTCGCCGGAAATGGAGATTTTAAATCAAGGTTGTTCATCGCCGGAGAAAAGCTCATCGGAGAAGAAAGGGATGGTGAGTAAAATGACTAAAATAGCCTCATTATTTGACCAATTAAATTTTTCCGGTGAGATTTCGCTGGTAATTTGACCGGCGTGACTAAAATTGATAGAAATTGTATAGTCAAGGTATTGAATTAACATTTTTGAAAGTCAAGTGTTGCAATTAACACAACTCTAATAATCAGTGGATCAAAATTGTAATTTTTAATTTGACTATAGACTTTTTCTTATTACTAAAATAGTCATAAATTATTTTATCTTATTATATTACAACAAAAGGATAATTACTAATCTTATCTCTTCTCTATATATATTAAAGCAAAATAATAGGAGCAAAAAATTCCCGCCTACCAGCAACGACGTCGTTTAGAGAAAGACGGAATATTGATGTCTTTTGCGTAGAATGCCGTGAAAAACGATTGGGTTTCCAAGGGATTTCAAAAAAAAAAATACTCCCTCCGTCCCGAATTGGTTGTCTCATTTGATTTTTGCACGCTTTTTAAAGAATTAAAGTAAATGCTATGTATTTTCCAATTATGCCCTTCACTTTTGTACTTTTGGAAATAAAAGCAAAAGTCATAAGGGTAATTAGGGAAAAAGTAGAATGATGATGATGTTCAATTTTAGAAAGAGGACAACATTTTGGGACAAACTAAAAAGGAAAGTAAGACATGCAAAATGGGAAAGAGGGAGTATTTGTTTCCTTTATTTTTTGGGTACAGGATCAATTTCAACCAATCAGAATCAAATCCTAATTTTAAATCGGTTGGTCTCTTCGTTTTTCCATAAAAATCTTTATGAAAATAATAATGCTAAGTTATTAATTAGGCCGCCTAATTAGTGAGTAAACGAAAGATCAGCAATCATAACTAAAGTCTTATATATACATCACAAACCTAATCAAAAACAAACACTAAGGAGTCTCAATATTCAATACAAACTAAAGCTCTTCCAATATTGAAGAACAATGTTCAAGCTTGGCAGCCAAATTTTCTCCAATCAACAAAGGAACGCAATATGTCTGCTAACAAAAAAGCTTCATCACAAATCAGAGGTCGTTTTTCATGACCAGTAGGTAAGTTCTATGAATAAATATTATACGTTCTATTGTTTTATTCATATTGTCAAGCTTGACAAAGGGGTAGATTTGTAAAGAGTGAAGGATTTGTTAATTTTTTTTTATCACTGCTATTTTGAAATAAATTATACATTAAATAGAAAAAAATAAAATAAAGACAGAAATATACTTAGCTTTTAACCAGTGCTACAGCGGGAAGGGATGGAGACGAATGAAGTGCTCTCTCCCTCTGAATCGCCGGAGGAAAGAGTCCGGCCACCGGAAGTTCAAGATTTGCTTGAACGCAGCACTAAGAAACCTAAACGACCCAGAGAATCACAACCCACAGGAGACACTCAAATACCGAAGGCTACATGGAATCACCCATGGCCGCTCTCAATGAACCATTGGATACCATCACCAATCGCCAACCACCGATTACCTACAAGCAGACCCTAACGGGGTTCATATCTACAAGGCAGGTTGATGAGAGCATCCCAGAGGAGGAAGCCTCGGATGACGAATACGCCAATGCGCCAGATGATCCAGATTGCCCAAGAATTAGGGTAACCAAAGAAGAAAAAGCAAGATTGAGAAGACCTTGGCGAAGAACACTAATAATTCGAGTTCTTAGTAGAACGATCGGATACAACTTCCTTCTTCGACGCTTGCAGACTCTCTGGAAATTGCAGGGACAGTTGGATCTTATCGACCTTAATTACGATTATTACTTGGCAAAATTTGAGTTACAACAAGATTACGACTACGCTAAATTTGAGGGGCCTTGGACGATTCTCGGCCACTACATCATCGTTAAAGAATGGCGCCCAAACTTCAACCCTCAATTGGACAAAACAGAGAAGCTAATTGTCTGGATCCGGTTCCCAACTTTACCGACCGAGTATTTTGACGACGACTTCCTGCAAAAAATTGGAGATAAAATTGGGAAACCCATCAAGGTTGACGTAACAACGGGATTCGCGTCCAGAGGCAAGTTCGCACGAGTTTGTGTAGAGCTGGATTTCTCTAAGCGATTGCTGGCCAAATTCACCCTAGAAGATCAAGTATGCCCAATTGAGTATGAAGGTCTGCACCTCATTTGTTTTAAATGTGGGAAATATGGGCATAGAAAAGAGCTCTGTGGGATTGGAACTGGCAACCAACAACCGGAAGATTCATCTCAAACTAAGGACAACACGGCAATGGAGGCAGACAACGACAATCACAGTCCGGCCCCCACCAAGAACACTGCTGATACATCGAATATTCATTCCGAAAAATATGGTGCGTGGATGTTAGTACAACGGAAGGACCGCAGAAGACCAAGAGCACCTACTACAAGAGGAGGCCAAGAAAGACGTCAATCCGCAGGAATCTCCCACGAACCTATCACCCCAACAGATTATATTAGCCAACCCCTAAGCTCGCGCTTTGCACCGCTGCGTGATCTGGAAAATGAGGAGCACAACGAAGAATTTGCCTTCCAAGCAGAAGAACAAAGAAACCCGGACACCATCAATACAGATACTCCCGTTCAAATATCAGCAACTGCACCCGATCCTAATGCCCAACCCCCACGACAGTTAAGGGAAATTCGCACGAGACACAGAGGCAGAGGAGGTAAATCCGGGACTCCAAGAAGGGATCAGGTGGAGGAGGCCGCTGTTATTTTCGGGCAAAGGCCGGGTGCTGCATCAACGTCAAGCCTCCACACCACAAGGCAGACAGGTGCAACTCGTGCCCGACAAAGGGGTAGAATAGGCAGACCTGCCACCCCAAGGAGAGCAGCTACGGAAGATGAACACCTAGTTGTTCGTGGAACTTCTAGCGGAAGAATCATCACAAGGAACACTGTTTATCACCATCCCACATGGGAGAACATATGGAAAGTTAAGGTGTCAAGTAAGTTCCAAACACTCATGTGGCTTATTAGACACGATCGAGTCATGTCTAATGCGAACAGGAAAAAACGAGGCTTCACAAACTCTAGCAGATGCGAGGCGTGCAACCATGACAATGAATCAACAGAGCATATTTTCCGTAGCTGCCCGGATGCGCTCACAGTTTGGAACAAAGTCCTACCTTGCATGATCACCTCGGGCTCAAATCTCCCATTCCACGAGTGGTTCGATTGGGGTGTCCGTGGTCCTAACAAAGGTAAGCAGAAAATCAATACAAATATCCTATTTGCAACAGCCATATGGTGGATATGGCGTTGGAGAAATAGCAGAATCTTCAACGGGGAGACGTATAGTGAGCATTTCAAGAATTTTTGGATCCAGTCACAAGCTAATGAGATATCCAATGCCTTCATGAAGAACAACCAGCCAGGAAACCAAAGATCAACAAAGGAATGGAAGCTAATTAGATGGGCTAAACCACCCCCTGGGTGGATCAAGATCAATGTTGATGGAAGCTATTACCCTCAGGACAGAAAGGCCTACGTTGGTGGTCACGTAATAGCGAAGGCTGTTGGTTGAAGGGATTCTCCCACAGCATTGGAGCAAGCTCAGCAGAGATGGCGGAAGCCTGGGCAATACTCAAAGGTATACAGCTAGCCAAATTGATAGGAAGCCGAAAAATATGCTTCGAATCCGACTCAAGGACTACCGTAGATGCCATCAACGGAAACATAATGACAAACACTGCAACTGACAACATCCTTCGAGTATGTATCAGGGAACTCACGGACGTGGGAGAATGGAATCTAACCTTTGTTCCCCGGGAACAAAACTCAGCAGCTGATGCTCTGGCCAAGCTCAAATACCAACAGCTGGGGTCCCTAAACATTAACAGCCCCCCTGAAGAGCTAGCAGACATACTAGACAACGACCAAAATGGCTACCCAGTGTGGCGAATTCTGAGTGTTTAGGCCTCTATTTTGGGTTACCCCCTTCCATTAGAATCTAAAAAATATATATATATACTTAGCTTTTCATATATTTACTCCACAGCAATTGCCGGAGCACATGGAACTATCAGTGGGTGAGAAGCATATACATAGATGGGAAAGGTATACACTTGATTGTATGCATTTTTACTTTCTTTGCTATTTCTGAAGATTGTGCAGGGTGCTGGATGCAGTCTGGCTGACATTAAGGTTTAAATGAAGAGTTTCACAAGTACATGAAAGACTAAAAGCACATGAAGAGTTGCAATTCATCAAAGTGATAAAACAATAACAAGTATAGTACCTGGAAAGTAAACAAAGAAGGTCTGACCAGCAGTAGTTGCTGCTGCAAAATTTGGACTGCAGATTTTGTAAAGCTTTGCATCCTCTTTCACTTTTTCTAGAGCAGAATTTTTTTTTTCTTGGTGCTTGGTGTTGATGTAAATGTGAGCAAAGTAAACTGGAAAAGAAAAGATGGAATATAAATGAGTAACACAGATATTGGAAGGGTTATGTTCATATAAACTGGAATTCTACATTTTAGAAAGTATGCCACACTGTCATTGAGTGACAAAGTAGATGGTTTGTACTTACTGTCAAACAGGATTATATTTTTCTGTTTGTTGGAGAAAAATATACACAGAATGCAAGTTCCACACAAACTTCTTAAGTCAATCCTGTCTTCCCAGATAAGTAAGTGGATGGGAGTAATATGAGGACAAGATAAGTAAGTTGATGGGAGTAATATGAGGACAAGATCAAAAGGCAGAATGTACACCTAACAGTGGCCAGATAAGAAGTTTTTTAAACAAGATAAGTAAGTGGATGGGAGTAATATGAGGACAAGATCAAAAGGCAGAATGTACACCAACAGTGGCCAGATAAGAAGTTTTTTAAATTACCTAGATTAGTTCTTATATAATCCAAGTGTAGATTAGATCTATACTGTATAAAATTGCACCTGTGCGGTGAGAACACCTGCACATCTGTTTATTTTTTCTAGATTATATTATCTACTTAATTATTCAGTTTTTTTTTTTGTGTGTTCAATTACTACTATATATTCATGTTTGGTTTCTTTTCTATTTCTTTATCTAATTTCCAATATTAGACTATTGGTTTCTGTGGAGGATGATACTGAGGAGATGAAGGAGCAGATGCACAAGGAGATGGGAAAGGTATACACTTACAAAAGCCATATGCTTAATGATGAGGATATTTCGTCCCTTACTAATATGTCTGCTGTGTGATATGTTCCAAGTAATATCCATGCTGTGTGATTTAATGATTTTGGGGCTGCCTTCAAATCTCCATGATTGTAAAAAAAAAGTATGAACAAGGCAGCCAACAAATATGCAATTCTCACAATATGCATTTCAATCCAAAACTCTTCCATGAATTTAAAGTGTAAAAAAATACAAATTAAAGTATTTGAATAGTATATGATCTAAAGTGAAAAATTAAATATACAGTGACAAGGATGGCATATATTGAGCATTGATGCAACTATTTTTTCTGCTCATTTCATTTTTATATTTTACAAAAAGTTGTACTGGATAATTGCAGGTCATGAAGAAGCTATAGACGAATTATTTTTTGAAGGATTTGTGAGTTTAGAATGTCCAAAAAATGGAGTATTTGTATAAAATGTAGTTAAATGGATATAAAGTGTATAAATTGAAAAAGAATTTGAAATTTTTTTCCATTTTCCATGTGCTTGGATCTGATTTTGGTTTTAATGTCATATAAAAGCAAAAAAAAAAAGTATATTATGCATGTATAAATTAAACTTACAATGTTTTAACACTGATTCTGTATTTTAGTCTTATAGTGTTGTTGACCTCCCTGTTCCTCCACCTGCAATAGTTCATTCAAAAATAAATTATAATAGTATATAAATAGTAAATAAATTATAATGTGTTTTTAGTATATTCAAGGACACACACAAGGCCAAATTGTTGTTTTTTAATTTTCTGATTTGAATCTAACAAAACAGAAAAAGTATTATGGGGATAGAAAACTTTTAAAACTTAATCAATAGCCAAAACTTTAATAGAGATGATAGTTAAATTCAAAAACTAACAGAATGCAAGAGATGTAAAACAATTTGCATTCTGTAGATAGCATATACTTTGCATTGAAGATATTCTATAGCATTGAGGACAACAATTAGGTTGCATTCTGTAGATAGCATCAGAATACAATTTCATCTCTAGAGATAGATGTTTTTACAATAATAAAACACACATTCAACGATGAAATTTAAACACTATGCAATTAATAAAAAAGAACAGAGAGTCTCATTGTACAGTGACAATGGTGAATGAAATTAACTATCACAATTAGCTGTAGAAATAAAAGTATAGTACAGATAGGAGTCACTATTTTGATAAGTGAAGAATGAAGCAACTTACAAGATCAGCTGTGATAGGGAGGAAAAGGAAACACTTCTCAGAATAAAGGTACCAACTAAAAGCCTTTTTCTGAATAGTTTGAAAAAAGTATGTACACTTTACGATTTTAAACTGACTTTATAGTTAAATACATCTATTAGGTGTGCAAAATAAGGTGTTAAGTATCATAAAACAGAGACTCATAGCCAGAAGAACACAATAGTTATTTACAATAGTGTATACCCATTTTAGATTGGTAAAATGATAGTAGAGAGTAATTGTACTAGATAATTAAACTCCTAGATTACTTAGAAATTGACAACAAAACCGATTTAAACTGTTTTAAATAGCAAAATTGACCGAATTGTTTGAGTTCTGGAGTATTAGACTGAACATTATAAACTCTAAATCTAAGCATGAAAATTAACATATAAATGAAGTTCTGGATTAGTAGTGTTGTTGAGCAAAGCAATTGATAGAAAATTTATACCCTAAATAAAATAGATATGAAGCCCTAGATGAAGTAATCTGAAAAATAAATTAGTTCATAAACGTAATCTAGGAAAACCCTAGGTAAGTACAACTTCATGGACAAAATAGATTTTAACCTCAACAATCATAGCAATACCGTAGTTTTTAAATAAGATACCAAAGTAAAGAACACTCAGAATTGAAGTAAATGAGAGACCAAAGTAAAGAACACTCAGAAATTTCTACTTACATTTAACCCAAGAGATCAAACACAGTTTGCAAGTGGGCACATAAAGGCATGTCAAAACCCAAAGAAATAAGGCAAATAGGGAAGAAAGCTAACATGAAAATCACTTGCCTACTTAAAACTCAAAATCAAGAATCAAACAAAATTTAACAAAAAACATCTATACTTAAAGGCAATATACTTTGAAAACATCTCTATGAATGAAATAAGGCAATATACTTTGAAAACATAAAGACTATACTTAAAACTCAAAATTAAGAAACAAAGATAAATATCACTAAATTAACAAAATTAATTATGTAAAAAAAATAGTGGCTCAGAAAAAACAACAGCTCTATCAATCAATGATATTTAGAAGCTTAACTGTTATCATCAATGCCACAAATTAACAAATAAAGTGGATACTTCCTTCATATTGACCAAAAAAAAAAAAAAAAAAAAAAAAATCCAACCTCACATTAAAAAGATCATAAATGTTTTATGAACTTAGTCAAGTATGGACATCAGACAATATTTTCATCACATGTCACTTTCTGGAAAAAAAATGTTAGTGTATAAATAATGGAATAGTATAAAGATTTATAATTTCAATGCAGCTATATAACAAGTCTGTTTCTTCAACAATATAAATCCAACAAAAGTTAAATAACCGTTTCGACATGCGATTCAATATTCTGTTCTAATTAATAATAGAATATACAATCAATATTGAAAAATATGATTAGTTTGAAATATTTTTAGGAAAATAAGGGACTGTAAAAACAAGAGTTCTACTAAACCAGAATACTTAATGTGTTTACTATGCAATCTGTAAAAAACACATTTAGAAAAAAATAATAGGTAAAGACTAGAAGAAAGAAACAACCATAGATCTACAACAATCAATAACACACTGATAATCAGAAAGCAAGTAGATAAAAGTCAAATAATGAAGGTTACCAAAACATGCATCTGAATCAGGAGAATATAAAACCCTAGATCTATGATTAAGCTATTTTGGGGGTAAGTTCGTTAAACACAATCAATGTGTAGTGTGTTGGTGGTTTTAGAGTAAAGAAATTTATAGAGATAAACTAATAAATTACACGAATTACAAAGATACACTATATGATTGTCAGATTATACATAGAAGAAAATACATACCTGCCTTCGAATTCACTTCCAAATTAGTTGAGTAATCGGAGCAGATTAGTGATGTTTTCATAGTGGGTAAGAAATTTCAAAGAGATGGTAGCTATAGATAGCAAGATCGAGAGAAGACGAGCAAGCTAGAGGAGATAGAGAGAAGAAGCACTCGAGCTCTGCCCAGACTGTCCATCCATGTTCTAGAGCTTTCCTTTTTTATTTTTTATTTTTTATTTTATTTTAATAAATATATTAACCTTCATATGCTGATTACACGTAGAAGTAGATTAAACCATTTACAATTGACACGTATTAGACTAATATATATTATATATACCGGGGTTAGACTTTCATTTGAAAGGTTGTGAGTTCGTTTGAAAGGTTGTGAGTTCGAGCCTTAGTGGAGGCATTATTGGTTCTATGTTTCAGTAGGTTGAGAAAGTATATGAACAGATACTACATTGTAATAGAGCCAGTAGCATTCAAAAAATATATATATATAATGTTTTCCTACCTTTTTTTTTTTTTTTTTTTTTTTGTGGTTACAAATCATTTGTTTAATATTTATTCAATTATGTATATATATACCTCTATCTGTGGTTACAAACCATTTGATTAATATTTGTGTAATTATTTAATGTTTAACCTCTCATTTTTGTTCATGTGTACATGTTATGGGATTATCTTTTCAGAAAATGAAAAAAATCAAACAACATCATCTCATTTATATATGATTTTATTGAGTTTAGGTTATGGGATGCATTATTGGGTTAGTTTTGGGCGGATTATTTGTTTTAAAAAAAATGAAGCTACTACCAATAATTTATTATATTAAGTAATATATTTAAATATTAAATATTATGAAATAACATTTATATTGATTTATTTTTATATTTTTTAATTTAACATACATACATACATACATAATTTCTATTTATTGGTTGAGTTTTTTCTAAATTGAAAATAATATGAATTAAATTCATATATTTTTACACTATATTTAGCATTATTGTATAAACTTTTTTGAATTAACTTCTTATACTTTTTATACCATTATATACAACAATTTTTCTATATCGCATGTGAATTTGTTTTTGAAAAAGTTTGTCTTTAATCATGGTCAAATGTACGCGACACTTTTTAGAATAAGTAATCTAAAGGGATTAGAAACTTTGATTTGTGTTGTTTTTAAAAAACAAAACAAAATTAAAATAATTTTTTTTTTGATCTGTGGAGATAATGAAATTTATGAGTACGGCTAAAAATTTTGTATACAACGAAATTTTCAATAATGTGTAATACAATTTCAATATTAATCCTTAATTAAAAATTTTTCACTGTACATATTTTCTTCATTTTTTATTATTATGTTATATTGTTTTATTATTATTATTATTATTATTATTATTATTATTATTATTATATTATTATTATTATTATGGCCGTGCATCGCACAGGTGCAAATATTAGGAGGTGAGTTTGAAGGCCCATATGCATATATTTACTCATTCTTAATTGTAACTTATTTAGTACGGAGTATTATTTTTGTGTAAAATTATTATTCTACATCCAATACTGTACCGCGGTAAAACAAGTCAACGACAAATCAACGATGTATTTATAGTGTTCTTCAAACTTCACTATTTACTTCGTTTAGCGTGATGATTACTGTTCATATATTATATTATATTTTATTGTAAAGTTGAATTTCAATATGTTGATCGAATTTTTCAAATTTAATAATATTGTAATATTACAAATTAAAATTTGTAATATTAATTTTATTTTGATCAAGTATTAATAAATATTATTCAAACCTAACATGCCCTGTTGAATTATATAATTCTTTACTCATTATTTATGTATTAAATTTTTAGTGTATTTTAGATATTATTCACCTTGAATATCAATTATAATTTTTATTGCAAATATTAATATTCATGATTTTTTTCATACCAAATCAACATAATCTATATCTATATCTATATATATATATATAAAAGTAAAATCCTCCTAACAAATTTTCCCCCCAAAACTTTTGTAGTAAAATTTATTTGGTAAGTAAATGTCAAATGGAAATTAAATAAATAATAATAATCAAATAAATAAATTATTATACTTTCCCTTAGTA